AAGCACCTAAGCTTAGGAAGGTATTGTTGCTATTATTATTATTATTATTACTACTGTTGTTACTATTGCTATTACTAGTGCTAGTGCTAGTGCTAGTGCTATGATATGATATAATATGATTTAATATAGGATTTAACTTAGAGAAAAAAAGAAGGAAGAGAAAGGAGAAGGGAATAAAGATATACTTACTCTAACTAACTCTAACTTACTCGAGCTGCCTTAGATAGAGATTATTTGCTATTATAAACGAGTATTGTATTGTTTGCTACTAGTATACTATAATAGTAGTAAGAGACTGCTAGCTATCTGTAGCTAGAATCTCTAAGCGAGCGTTATTAATTAGCTTATTTACTTTAATTTACTTTAATTTACTTACCTGGTTACTACTAAACCTGATTTTAAATACTAGAATATCATAACTAGCTATATAAGTAAGAATTATATTATTTATTATAAGGGAGTATTATAAATAGAGCGAGGTTTCGATCGAGGGTCGATTAAGCTATATGAAACGAAGCTATCTAGTTGGCTTATTTACTTCAACTTACTTAAGGATACCCTATATTCCATGTCTTATCGCTTTATTAGTATTAGAGTCATAGGCTAGGCGCGGCTACTATGCGATCTGATTAGCTTACTTACTTCTATTTGCTTTAATTAGCTGATATCTGATACTTCGAACCTCTAGAATTAAGCACTTACTACTAGATATACTATAATAAATATATTATTCTATCTTAGGTACTTTATCGTCTATAGTTAAATAATACGCGAGTGATCTATTATTAGTAATATCCTCCTGATCGCTAGTATTAAATTCTCTACTTAAATCGGTACCTGTTACCCTCTTGCGAGTAGTGCTATCAAGGTATATTACTACTTTATTTTATACCTAAGAAGTATAAACGCGATTAAAATGCTCGACTCGGTTAACTAATAGACCTATACTAACTATACGGATATTCTCTGACTTAAATAAGCTATTTAGTAAGGTCCCTGCCCTTAGTTAAGAGAGACTATCTATTATAAGTCTTATTACTTTATTGAAAATATTATTAGAAGTATCGGCAGACGTGTGATCCCCTAGTATATTCTCTCTAAATTAACGCTCTAATATTACTTGTATATAATAAATAGTAGTATTAGTAGTATAAACACGATTAAAAGTAATATTAGTATTATAAGTAGAATTCCGGTAATACTTTATCTCAATCTTGATTACTTTATTTAGATACTTAAGGTAGAGGTTAGTAGGCTTAAAGCTAGTTCTGCAGCCTTTCTAATTAACTAGGCTAGATATAAGTATAGCATGCTAAAGCTCTGGTGTATAAACACTATCTTTAAGTAGCTATTAGTAGTGGAATATCTCGTATACGTAGTTGGTTTAATAGGTACTAAGAAAATTAATAATTAAGGGGTCTATATAATAATAAAGTATACTAATATCGCTATACTTAACTCCTTACTTAACTATAAGGAATAGTTTAATTTCCTGAAGGTATTGATATATAGTTATAAACCCCGGGTCTTCGTGCTTAGTACTATTAGGCTGTTTACTATCCTATGCTAATCTAGTAAAAACTTAGAGCTGAATAGACTTGATATATATTAGAAATATATCAGGTGTAAAGCTAGAAAGGATATTATTATAAGCCTTGCGATAGCTGAAGTCGGTCTTAATATATTTGCTATGATAATCTTTTAATAATAATATATAAAGAATAGCTAGCACACGAGCTTTAAAGCTATAAGGGAGAAGTGCGTCTAGAACGTAGTGCTTTAGACTATCCCTAGCTATTGTAGTACGGCCCTAAGATATTATATCTCCGAGAATAGTATGCTCCCCTCCACTAGTTCCAGGCGCTATTATCTAGTGTATACGTATTAATGATAACCTAAGGTTATATTAGATATAGAACTATATACTAATACCGAGATACTAATTACGGCGATTATACGTCTTCTCTGCGTACCGTTATTCGTCCTTGACTAAGCGAATATAATATATAGTAAGCTGATCTCTATAGAGTAGCTATAGCTGAGACTTAAAATCCTTATCTGGATCTAAGTGTAACTATCGCTAGAAGATGTTATTATAGACTCCTATAGTACTAGTAAGAGTCCCCTTATTTTTAAATATAGCTCTAAACTAGTAGTATTCCGTCTTACGGACTAGAAGGAGATCGAGCTCTAGTATAGAAAGAAATAAGCTTGTCTTGTCTTAGAATATTATTTATACTATAGTAGGATGGAGATCTCGGATAGTATCTGTGATTAAGAACCGGGTAATACGCTCTCTAATAGACTATAATAGAGATTAATAATATATCGAGTCAGGCGGTAAAGGTAGGACTATGTTAAGGGGTAAAGGATAATTAAGACTACTGATCCTAGGGGAAAATACGATATCTTTCTAGGCGAGAGAAACTGTGGGGTTATGTATTGATTATATTAGACCTGTAATTAGTATCTCTAGGTAAATGATAATCGCAGCTATAGTTATAGCCTCTTGAGTCTTAACGTGACTAAGGACCTTATCCTGCTTGTTATCTTGAAAGTTAATATTATTATAGATAATAATACTTTAGGGGTTATAACTAAGCGGAGGGAGACGAGTCTATAGTATATATTAGTCTTATAATCTAGGTAGAGAGAATTAATAAATGAAAAGTAAGTTAAAGTAAATGGAAGTAAGTAAGCTAGTAAGAAGGTAAGATATAATAGCTAATCGATTAGCTAAATAGTAGAGGTATATCTGCACCTTTACTTAAGAAGTAGATTGAAGTAAATAAGCTAATAGAAGGATAGGATATAGTAGGAACCGAGAACTAGGTAACTGAGAATAAGGATAGCGAGCTTATACTCTCGCTTAAAAAGTAAATTAAAGTAAGTGGGCTAATGAGAGGATAGGACGTAGTAGGACGCGAGAACTAGATAACTGAGAATAAAGAGCGTAGTAAGCTCGCACCGTCGCCTAGAAAGTAAATTAAAGTAAATAGGCTAATAGTAGATAGGTACTTATAATTATAAGAGAATATAAAAGTTAAGAGAGTTTAATTATATACTTTAGTAAGGGCCGCGAGTTCTTTTATTATAGTATTTCTAGTCTAGTATAAATAGTATATACCTAGACCTGATAAGACCTCGACTACTCGACGTTTTATACTAGATCTAAGAAGGTATAAGTCTAAGTAAGACTATATATAGTTAGACTACTTCTTAGACTATGTAAAGGAGAGTATACTAGTTATTATAATAGCAGTGCCTTGAAAAGACCTTAATAAAGCGGTTCGGCTTTAATTATACGTGTTCCACGAAGCACGCTTGTTTTGAAGTAACAACTAAAGTAAAGTAGACTAGATAAGCGCTGCTTTGTTTATACTTGAGAAACCCTGCTCTATATCTATCCCTTTATCTATCCCTTAGATATTAAAAGGCCTAAAGTACTAAGTCTGACGTAAGGCCTTAAATTCCGAGCGTAGTAAATTAAGAGGAATAGAACTAAACGCCGGCTTGATGTTATCTAAAGTATGTTAAAGTATCTTCCGACGCTACTTAGCTATATAGATATATCGCAAGTATATCTTATAAGTATAATCGTCTTCTGTAATAAAAGTAGTAAGGAACTTCCTAAGAGACTATTTATAGTGCCTGAGAACCTTAAAAACCTGCTCTACTACAGATCCTTTTAAGAGCTTTATCCTGCCTAGAGCTCGCTGATATTATATATTCTCTAATCCTCCTCGTATAGTATTAGTAGAATCAGAGTCACTGTTAGAGTCTCCCTAAGAGTCGCTATTAGATTCGCTACTAGAACCTCTATCGGAGCTATTAGTAGAGTCTCTACTAGAGCTGTTATTAGAATCATAGTAGAATAAGCGGGGTAGGGTTGATAGTAGGAAAGAAAGCTCGCTAGAGATATTGAATAGACTCGATAGGAGGTTCGAAAGCTCGCTAGAGATATAAGGTAGAGGAATCGATAGAAGGTTCGAAAGCTCACTAGAGATATTAAATAGACTCGATAGGAGGTTTAAAAGCTCGCTGGAGATATAAGGCCTCATAAGTAGCGGTTATCTTTCACGTAATAGGGGTAAAGATAGTAGTAAGGAAAGGCTACTTATACCGGAAGCGCTATGAGCGGGTATTGTGTTTAAGTCGGAATATTACGCGATTTAGGCTAAATGTAATAAACAAAGCCTAGTACAATCGATAGAGGTTGAAAAGAGCTTTTAAATGCACTTTTAATAATTATAATCAGTTATAGTTAAGAGGTAGAAGTACTGTGTCGCAGTAGGTGGTTCGATATTAGCTGTTCCTCACTAAAAGTATAGCGTAAACTACTAAAATACTACTATTTTCCCTTAGACCCTCCGGTAGGAATTCGTAAGCTCGCTCTATCTCTAGTATCTGATTAGCCTATTTACTTCAATTTACTCTAATTTACACTAACTTGCTTACCGAGACGCTAAAGGCTGGATATATAGGGCGTGGCACGAATTACTACCAAAGGAGGGTCTGATTTATGAGATAAATTGGCGATAAGGTAATAAGTAACCTTTGGTAGTATCACGTGAGCGCTGAGTAATGTCCGAACAGCCGAGAGGAGCAGCGAAGGGACAAGCGACCGCTCAGGTATTAAGTTAAGGGCCAAGAGCTTCAAGAGAAAGCACCATTTTCAAGAGGGTTGTTATTATCAAAAGTGAAGTAATTTCCACTTACTCCTTCTACCAACCTACCTAAGTCACAGCCGTCGTTGCTTCATGTCTGATCCCCGAATCCATGCATCGTGACAATGCAGATCTTGCCGAAGACCCTAGTCCGGTCGAAGCTTAGTTCCCGCTGTCGTCATGGTGTTGTTTTTTTTTATCTCTTTGGCGTTGGTTGATATAATAAGAAAATCCATTGCCGATTGCCGTTCGCGGTAGAAATACCGTGCCGTTCGCTCTGTAAGTTAAGTCATATCTTCATTCTCTACTTCTTTTCTTTCCCGCATGTCCGACATGGATCGCCCAGTAGATCAAGGAACAACGGATGCTCTGCCAACAGTTGAACCTCCTTCTCCTTCCATTGGATCAACAACGAAGTCAAAGGGAAGCAATTGGCGGTCTGCTATTCAGTACTTCAATAGAGAGATTGCAATTGAATATGCAGACATACCGATTATAGCATGTTGTCTGGTATCCGGTCTTTGCGACAGCAGCGCGTACAATGCCTGGTCTTGTTTTGTTTCGATGCAAACTGGTATGACTCCCTCGACCTTTCCCACTTACGTCTAATTGTGTCAGGCAATACCATCTTCCTTGCGCTGGGTGCATCTGATCAACCGAAATCGAAACCCTTCGGCTGGCTCAAATCGCTCGTATCGATCACCTCCTTCCTGCTCGGTTGCTTCATTTTCGCATCCACTCGTCTCATCAACCCAAAAGCTCGCGGCACTCTCGCAACCTCCTTCGTCGTTCAAAGTCTATTTATAATCCTTGCCGCAATACTTGTACAAGCTGGAGTTGTGCCACAGCCCGATGGGATAGTCACGGAAAGTGGATCGAAAGTCAACCTTCTAGAACTACTGCCCCTGGGCTTTCTGGCTTTCCAATCGGGTGGACAAATTGTCACATCTAGAATATTGGGGTTCAACGAAGTACCTACGACCGTTCTAACGAGCGTTTATTGCGATATTGCGAGTGATTCCCACATACTGGCGCGAGATAATGTCAAAAGAAATCGAAGAATCGGCGCAGTCATATTTATATTGATTGGGGGCATTGCTGGAGGTTGGATAAGCAGAAGTTCTGCTGGAATGTCAACGAGTTTGTGGATTGCTGCTGGCATAAAACTCGTCATCGCCTTTTCTTGGTCCTTGTGGAAATCGAAGAACGCGAATCAGATGTAGGAAGTTACACGTACGAATATCATGCCAGTAGAGATGAGGGAGATATCATTCGATGCTACAATTATAACCCAGGTCATGAGGATCCTACCCAGCCAAAACAAGACTAATGCTAATAATTAGCAGACTCTTTCCTGAATTTATTATTATGGATCCGACACAGACACATAGTCGCTGCTGCGAACTACTTGTCATGTCTGATCTTCATGTCCTAAAAGGTTTTGGGGAGATTAGACATTGACTTCAATATCTAACTCAACCAAAGGGCTGGTTATCGTCTCCTTCCACTGTACAGCTCCAAAAGTCGTTAGAAGTTAGCACTCAACCTCGATGGCTCAGCAAAGCTACGATCCGGCTTCGCCAACTCACTAGAGCCCCGATGTGGAAGATTATTCGCTATCGAGGCAGCGGGTCGAAGAACCCTCTGAGTCTCAAATCCATTCTTATCGACCGCACCGGGCAATTGTGCCTCGAGATTCTTCATCTCCATCTGGTCCATATAGGTGTATCTACGTCCAACCAGATGTGCTGCAGGCGGTGCAGTCATATGCTGCACTTCAAGCTCGTTGCCGAACTCATCTATTTCGAATATTGGCATCTCATCTAACTTTGACGGCCAGATTGTCAACGTCGATGCATCGGAGCCTCGTCTGGATTGAGGCAGCGGTGGTAGTGACTCAAGATTTTGCTCAGGATTACCTTTATGCTGCTTAACAGGCTCATCACCAGCAGCCAACCAATGAAACTGTGCATTCAACATACACACCGCCGTCACATCATCATCCATCTCATGTCCACTCGGCATATTTTTCCTATCACTCACCTGCTCACCCATCTCACCTTGTTCACGAAACGTGATCACACCAATTCCATCCTTCATCGGTGTAAGCTCACCATGATACGCATTAACGATCCTAAACGCCTGCGCCAGTTCCCTCCTCGCAGTCTCAGAGATGGCTTCCTCGTCCCAGAACTTGCGACACTCAAGGCAGAAATCGTTGATGTTGATTTGGCTGACGTCGTCGGTACACGCGGAGAGGAAGAGGGCGAGGAAACTGCGGGAGTGCCTGCAGGGTTGGTGGTCGATTCGGATATGTAGGCAGAGCATGTAGGTGATGGTGAATGTTCTGCACATTTTGGTTGTGTTTGGCGCAGCTTAGAGTGGCCGTGGTAGCGTCGAATCTAGGAGGCGGGATCGAGGCTTGAGAGCATTGAGAAACGTGGGGGCGGTCCATATACCGGATTCGGTTGTTCTGTTTTACAGGACCATTAGGTGGCTATGTCCGATGTGCATTATTGACAAAGGATAAAGACGGAGTAACAATGTCATTGCCTGGATGTCAAAGAGGTGAGGATGGACAATGAGACGGCTTCAAATGTTACTCACTTGTTTCTGGAAGAGTCACTCTAACATGCCCCAAGCCCTTTATCCTTTGTTATCACAGACTTGGTGGCCAGGCGATACAAGAACAGTCAAAACAGCTGATTGCAAGGAGATATCATCCATGTATTCAACCATCAGCACTCTCAAACAAAGACACAGTACAGCACAGTCAATCATAGAAACAGATGTAAAATCAAACATAAATCAGCACGACCCCAGAATCCCATTCAATTACACTCGAGTTTCGCTATTGAGCGATCAACCAACTCGTGAAGCAGTCAATGAATCAATCACTTCCCAAAATTCTTCTCCAGCAACCCGAAAGTCCCAACAACCCCTTCGCCAATACCACCTACACTATACCCCTTCGCAGTCACTGTAGAGAAAGTTAACGTCAGTATTATTTTCTTTCTCGTTTAAATCAGAACCACACAGTCGCTCGTAACCCCCGCCGTTTCCCCAATAACCCACCCATTAACCATGAAACGCAGGTAACAAAGAGAAAATATCAAAACTTTGACAATAAAAAAGGAGAACTTACTATCCGGCCCCTTATCCCCCAACCCCTCCACCAACCTCGTACTCTCCAACCCAATTTCCAACACCGTCCCACCCACATACTCCTCACCCTGCACAACACTCAACATCACCTCTGCAATCCTCTCCGGCCTAATCCACGCATCGACCTTCTCATCCACCCAATTCCTCCTCTCGCTCCAAATCGGCGTATTCACAATCGCAGGCGCCACGCCCGCAACGCGGATATTAGATTGCTGCTCTAGCGGGCCGAGAGAGCGGATGAAGGATGAGATGCCTGCTTTGGAGGCTGCGTAAAGGGGAACGGGCAGGAGAGGGAGCTGTGCGGCGATGGATGTTATGTGGAGGATTGTGTGGCGGGTTGAGGCTGGGGAGGGGGATTGCCGTTTGAAGATGTCGAGGGCGAGTTGGGTGGCGCGGATGGGGTGGGTGAGGTTTATTTCGAGGGTTTTGAAGGTGGAGTCTTGGGGATTGGAGGAGGAGTTGGTTTTGGGGTTGGGGATCCAGAAGTTGGACCAGGACTTGAGAGGTATGTTAGATTGCTTTTCTTTTTTTTTTTCCAAGCTTCAGAGCTCGGGAATGAAGACAAACCGGTTCGAAAATCCCTGCGCCGGGAACGACTAACTCCACGCTTCCGAACTCACTGATCACTCTCTCGAACGCTTTCTCCAGCTGTCCCCAATCTGTAACATCAGTCTTCTGGAAGACGGCTCGCGCTTTACCTCCTCCGTTCACTCCATTGCTGTTACCATTTGTAGCGGCAGCGGATGACTTGACGAGAGCTTCAGCCTCTGGGAGCAATTGAAGATCGGCGATGAGGACGTTGCAGTTATTCTCAAGAAGGAGTTTGGTGAATGCAAGACAGATGCCGGCTGTGAGAATTTGTCAACGAGAGAACTTTTGAGACTCAATCCAAAATTGGGCAGGGTGAGATACTCAAGGATTTTTGAGAAGTAGACAGTGGGAGGTAAATGTCACTTACATCCACCTCCTGTTACGAGAGCTGTTTTGCCAGAGACTTGGAGTGCCATATCGAAGTTTTGAGATGGGCCTCAATTCGGGTCCCCTTGAAATTTTGTCTCGGGATCTTCAGAAGACTCTCTGTAACCGACCCAGTGGTACACCAGAAGCGGGCAGCAGTGAGTAACACAGACAACGTCAACACGACTACCAGCGGAGCCTTTCTTAAATGAGAAACGGCCCTTAAAATACCAAATTTCCTTTCGCAGTAGAGCAGAACCCAACAAAATCTCAGCCAGCCTTAATCTCGTAAACAATAAGAGACTCGCAAAACAGTACCAAAACTGCAGCAGATGTCTCGCATCCTCCCGAGGTCACTTTATACATGACAGGACGAGCGGGCCGTAACTGCATGCAGGAAGGTATTGGTTTCTACCCCGCTTTATGCTAGTGGTCAAGTGTACGAAGCTGGGGGGTTTGTCGAGGTTGTTTAGCTTTCAGCTGAACTTTGGCGGTTTCATGGATGGACGGGCTGAACAGGGAGAACCTAGGTATTTTCCAAGTTGGGCATGTTGTTCGTAATCACGTGGCTTGAAGGGGTACGGTTAGGGGGCGGGAAATGCGGGGTTGTTTTCTTTAGCGAGGGACAAGAGAGTGGAAGCGGGGTTGCAACAAGTAAACTTGCGGCGTTTAGGATGGGCAATAGAAGACGGGTTCGGACTTAATCAGCTCGACTCTATGTACATCCGGGTGATGCTTCTTAGAGCCGAAAAGTCTTCTAGTCATGGTTCAGCCTGTAAGTTATGTTTGCCTTGTGGGATGGCGATGCCCCTTTGTTTACTTTTTTCACGAAACTAAGGTTTTGGAAAACGTGAGTAACATTCGGTCCGAAGTCGTCAATGTAAGTAGGGGTAGCAAGATAGATGCTTTGTTTCTTATTGCGAAGTCGGCCTTTCCCTCTTGCCCAAGTGGCCCAAGTTTGTGGTTTTCGACTGTTGCTTTCTTGACCCTTCTGTTCTCTGTTTTCACTCTTGTTCATTGCCGAAAACTTGTACTCCTGGCAAGATTCTCTGTGTTCGATGTTCTAGACTTTTAACCCTGGCTTCTCAGAGAGTTGTTTCAACGATAGCTTCGGATTTGTTCTGCTATAGTCAAGTGCTGATCAATTGTGGCTATTGTTGAAGTTCTTCTTGACTTGTCTTAACGCAAGCATGACCTTTGAACAGTTCAGAGGGTCGTCTCTATAAAAGGAGTGTGAGTACACCTGGCTTTTGTTGTTCCTTACCCTCTCCACCCACAGCAAATCCCCACCTGGTGAGTCCACCTTCACTCTGCCTCGAGTACACCTGGCTTCTGCTCTCGCTCCTTCCTGCGTCCACAGCAAGATACTCAACTGGTGAGTCCAAGTTCAATCTGACCAATACATCTGGTTTCTGCTCTCGCTACTCTCTCAATCCACTGCACGATTCTCAGTTGGGTAGCCCATCTTCAAACTGCCTCATCTGAAACAACTTGTTAGTACATCCACACTCTTTACACTTTCCAAGATGTGTCGCCAGATACAGATCTATCACCGTTCCTGCCAGACGGAGGGACAACACAAGCAATTTCTCTGTGGAGATCCCGTCCCCGAAACAGTCGGAGGTCGCCGCATCCGAACGCAGACCTGCGATAATTACCCAATGCCAGACTTCTGTCCGTCCTGTCTCCTCGCAGGCGGCCTGTTCGAGGATACTATTGGAGTCCTTCAGAGAGAGCAACTCCTTGACTCTGCCATGTACAAGAGAAATGCTACCAGCCTCTCCCTGGCATTTTCTGAGAGAGTCTGGAAGCGAGCAGAGAATGATCCCTACAACAAAGGCGACCCAGATTACTTCGTCGCCCATCTGCCACCCTTTGGAACATCTAGAGCCGCTCAAGCCTATCTCGTCTGGGTCTTAGGCCGATTGAAAGTTTCATTCTGGCATCAAGTGATCCAGAAGCGTGAGAGTCCCAGCCAGTTCCGCCGTAAGTTCCTCATTCAACTCCAGAACTATCAGATTGCCAACTATCTACAGCAAGCTGAAGAGATTTACGACCTGCGCGAAACATCAAAAAGATGTCGGCCTCATATCCTGAGAAGTAGGGTTCAGCAACTCAGCATCACCACCCTCCCTGCTGAGGATTCCAACTGTAACATCTGCTTGCAGCACCTTGGCGTATCCGACGGTGACAGTGTGGCAGAGTGTCTTGTAAAGACACGCTGCAATCATCTTTTCGGTGATCAGTGCATCTACTCCTGGATCCAGGACAACGAAACTTGCCCGATGTGTCGGCACCGGTTGCTGAGTTTCAGCGAAGGTGAAGAGATGTATATCAGAGAAGCCAGAGCTCAAAGAGAATTGACGGGAGTGCCGAACTGGCTCGTCCGTCTCACCGGCTTTAATATCGAAGGTATTCGTCAAATTTGTGAGGAATCCATCAACTTTGATTCGTTCCATCTCACTGTGCACGGTGACATCCCTCCCGAATATCACGAGGTCGATGAGAACGCATTTGCTTACAATCACTTCGGGTTTCTTCAATAATTTGGGAGAATCCAGGTGGGGTTCTGCTCTTTCCTCTCTAGTTGGAGGGCCTAGGCCTCACCAGCCTCTGTACTTTTACATGATCATTGCATCTTGACGTTTGCAAGTGCCAGGGCGTTCTTCGGGTTTCTATGTCTTGACGCGATGGTTGCTTCTACACATCTGCAGCTGAGGGGGATCTCTCGCTGTCTCTGTACTTTTACGTTATCATGGCAGGGCGTTCGGCGGACTTCAATGTCCTTTCCCAATCCTTGATTTCACAAATCTGCAAATGAAAGGGGGTCTCTTGCAGTCTCTGTACTTTTACGCTATCATGGCAGGGCGTTCGGCGGACTTCAATGTCCTTTCACAATCCTTGATTTCACAAATCTGCAAATGAGAGGGGTCTCTTGCAGTTTCTGTACTTTTACATGCTCGTTGCTGCTTAATTGCAACTACGAAGGCGTTTGGCGGTCTTTTCTGCTTTTACATGATCGTTGCCTTTACATATCTGCAACTGAGGGAGAAAGCCCTCTCGCAGTTCCTGTATTTTTACATGATCATTGCTGCTTCATATTTGCAACTGCCAAGTGTATGCGGTGGGTATACCTTGCATGGTCGTTGCAAATTCATGAACTACAGCCTCCGAGTCCTCTTACGAACCTGGCTTGGCCAAGTCGCGACTCGATGAATGATAAATCCGAATATTGAATAATGAATGATATTATTATGATACACATACACAAAATTCCCTCTCTGTTTTCAACCTTGTTTTCTTCTTCTTCTGTGATACAACCCCTGAGCCTAATGTATGCTCAATTCTTGGCACATGCACGTCAAATTCAGGCAGGTTAATAGTCTACTCTCTCTATCAATTATTTCCAACCAGTGATGTTCGCTATTACCTTAGGTGCAGTTTCCCGCTCACTGCATTTTGTGGTTACTTTAACACTGAACGATTTTGTCAATTCAGTTCAAAGCGTGCGCTGCTGGACCCCCTCTGCCATTTCATGTCTGTTTTAGAGCCCGATACACTCGATCTTGTTCTGCGTCTATTTGCATGTTTTGCAGAAGAAAGACAGCCATGAAAGCGCTCCGCAGAACAAAGAGATAAAGAACTCCTATTTAAAGGTGGATGTGTACCTCTATCAATCCCACTTCTAAGGCCGGGGAGCAAAACTTCAAGGGTGGAATAATTGGTAAGATATACCTCCAGTTTCAGGCACGCGCCACTTGAGGATCACACCCATAGCAGAATGTGTCTGTATTTCAAGGTGACGTTCGGATCCTGCCCCCAACACATTGGTCGGTCCTATTTCTTCCCTTGCGCAAGTCCACAAACTTGCCACCCACCGGCGGAAAAACAAGTTAGAATGGATCCGTATACAGACTATGTAACAGGCGAATGTTTACAATTCCCAGACTTCTGTCCTATTTGTCTTGAGAACGGGGGTGACTTTAGCGAGTTACTTAATGATGAGGCTAGGGATAAGTTGACAGGTCATCCATTGTTTAGCGCCTTTCATCGCTATGAGCAAGGGAGAATTGCCAAGCAGATTTGGGAGCGAGTTGAGAGTCACCCAGCTCAAATCCTTTCCGACGACTCTATCCGTGTAGAAGAGGCTACCCCTACCTCAAATCTGACATTCAGAATCACCCAGGATATTTACGATTTGTTGTCTTACTCCTTTTGGCGCGAGGTAATCAATGAAAGAAGAAGTCCCAGTCCAGTCAAGCGTAAGCTTCTGGTCCAATTGCGCAAGTATGCTATGTCACAGATCGTGCAAGAACGTTCTCGATTATATCTCCTTGAACAGGCCCACGAGTCCGTAAGACCAACTCTGCTGATGACCGTCCTCCGCTCTATAGGCCTTGATGATTTGGCAGATGCAGACAGCGACTGTACTATTTGTATGGCGCCGTTAAGCAATCCAGGTGCGGTAGTAAAGCTTGAAATTCCTGTCAAAACACCTTGCGGCCATATTTTTGGCAATAAGTGCATCTGTACCTGGATTAGAGACAATACCAACTGCCCAAACTGCAGGCGCGAGCTCCTATCACTCAAAGCTAGTGAGACAGTACTTGCGGCACAGCAGGAGAGTACCAGATCAGAGGTAGCCATGCCTATGTTCCTCTACCGACTTCTTGGTCTGGATCCAGCCCTTGCCGCTGGTGACTTAGACATCATCAAAGAAAGAGGGCTCCGTTGGTGGTTATTCCAAAGACGAATCAAAGAGCCTGCGGAAGAGCCCGAAGCTATGGCTGCCGGACTGGTCACTCTCACCTTGTCTAGTGGCTCGGAAACTCCCCCCAGTCCAACCCAGCATGAAGCAACGTAATTTAGAGCCTCTTTCCAAAGCATTTTCTCAATGCGGCACGACCTAGAATAAGTGAAACTGATGTAATTGTAATTTTAAAAGTGTACCAAACAAAGTCATTCAATTTGTCTTACTTAAGTATTCCTGTCCCTCAATAATAATCACCGTATTCCTTAAATATCAATTTATACTTGTCCCGGACCGAGTTTATGTTTTGAAAAATAATAAAGCTTCTCCAAATTTTCTCTTCCCTATATATGGGGACGATCATTGGATTCATCTTTGATACAATTCTGTTATTAGCTCATGTCATGTCAGCATGTCCATTAACAGCGTTTCAGTTAGTAGTTAGCCCGCTAAGCTGCCTCGAAGGGAATTTCACGCTAATGTTGGTAGTTTGTTCTCAGATTTTTTGCTTTGTTTACTAGGGTTTGTTGTTCTTTGAGTGACTTAGCGCTGTATGATATAAACAGGAAATGAAGTCTCCAAACAGTCAATATTCAATTTGAGTAAACTGAACAGTATTTTCAATTATTTTATATCATAGATGGCTAGTTTTGAAAATGCAGTTTCTATTATTGAACTACAGCTCAGGAGCTTGCCGTTCAGAACCGATACACACCAAAGAAGATCTTCTCGTTTGAGTGAACTCGGACACGTAATCGCTGAAGATCAAGATACATACGATCATCAGCAAGCCATAGAATTAGCACATCTCAACCATACAGGCGTGGCCACAATGTGTCTTATTCATGAAATGCACTACAGTCAATGCCTGCATGTGAGAACACAGTTTCGGCAATGTAGTAGCATGATGCACTACTACCCACCTCGGAAACATAAGAGCCACTATGATCGGTTTTGTCCCCAGTGTCTCCTTCTACCAGACCCAAGAGACTCTGGACTCCATAGAACCGAGGATGGCAGCCGATACCGCGGCCCGGCTGCTCGCCCCAGACTCCCTTTCGATTCAAGTCGACAGGAGGCTGCTAGGCGTCTATGGCTACAAGCCAGAGCCCATATCCATGACCATCCTAACGACGCGACCGTCTTCGTGGTCCCAGAAAATGATCTAAACGAGCCTCTGCCCAAACTTGGTCGTCAGATGCTGGCAGGCATTCACCTGCTCCTCCTGTACGACTTCTGGAAGCGTCTGGATGGCCCAGATCCTTGCACAATGCCACAGAGAATGCTCATTGTCCAGCTTCAGACTGCCCTCGAATACAACGAATGTAAAGAAAGAATGACATATCGTGGGCCCGAGAAGCAGCCACGCACACGCAATGAGATCATAGCGGATAGCTTGATGGGTATTGGCGTGGAAGATATCAAAAATTACGATGTCTGTTCAATCTGCTGCTCAAAACTCCATCCTGTGACTGAAGACGGCACAACAGAACCTCCAGTCAAGACGAAGCAATGCGGGCACGTTTTCGGGGAGAATTGCATTAAATCATGGTTAGATACAAACTCCACTTGTCCCAGGTGTTGGGCTGAGATTTTGAAGTTACAGAACCATGAGCTTTACAGACACGTGACGGTTTTGTACGAAAATCTTCTGGGCGATGAACACGAAGAATCCCGAGCAAGATCCGACTTGGGACGCCCAGAAGATTATTCAGAAGACTCGGAGCTACCCGGTTCAGAGCCATCGGATAATCTGACCAACTCTATGACATCGCGGAACGCGCTTGAGGAATTGAATTCTCTCAATATCGCAGAATATGGAGAAGATGATCCTGCAATGCCGCTTTGGATGAGAGTTCTTCTCTGCGCTCGTGAGAAGCGGGACTGTGACTTTCTCTTCATGGGTTTCACCGAAAGCCAGATGAAATTCATGTTTGACTACAGACTTCGACCCGAGAAACGAGAGCAGGTAGGAGATCAGCGTCCGAAGTTTAAAAGAATGCATCGTGATAGCCTTCGAGCCATCCTGAAGTAGACTGTACGGCCTCAAGTCCTGTGAGGTTTCTGCACAAATATGCCCAAATGAAACCCTGGTAGACATACTTCCAAGCCTTATATTTACTGCAATATTTTGAACGAAGAAACAATAAAGAACATTTTACAATAGAGCCCACTGGTAGCTGTTTGACAATTCACGATTGCCAGATTTTGATTTTGATTTATGTGATGCCTGCCTGTTGCTCATCCTTCCCCTTTTGGCGCTAAGCGAGCTTCGCTACAGGAAGCCGAAAGGTCAACAACACAGGTTATTTTCATCGATTGCAAATCGCGACAGATGATTTGAGCCTTGCAGAACGGTGGATGAATGGTTGCAGCAACCAGTATTCTGGATTTAAACTCATTCATGCTCTTACGCATACTGTATGTAATAGCATCTCGATAATACTTATCATGCTTCGTGGCTACACTGCAAAGCGCGGAGTGACGAGCGACGGGAGAATAAATCAAGACTGGCTTGAAGGTGCTGTCCGTATTCTCCAAAGGGGGAATCATAGTATTATATCGCATGGGATCGTTTATACCTACTCCATAACTCGATATCTTCCCCGGGAGTTTCAGGTGGAATTAGAAGCACCTTCCAGTGGTGGCCAACAGAGACCAGAGGGTGGCAGATTTCTCTAGTTCATCTGGGTGGACTGATTCCATATGCTGAGATCTCGGGTTAGATCCTTCTTCCGTCTTCCTTCGTCGCGAGGAACAGTCGAGCTTACTGCAACGCAGTGTGGAGGCAATGGTTCACTGGATTTCGATGCGGGGTAAACGCTCAAGGTGCGGGGTAACTTTTGGAGATTTTGATATCTAAATTTGAATACTCCTTGGGAGCTAATTTCGAGACTGACATGTAATATATCGTGCTAGCAAGAAAGGTCTAGGTAATAGTCTAGCTCTCTGCTGTGGTGTGGCCTGACTTGTGGTGGGGGATGATCCTGTGGAGGATGACTAGAACAAATTAGGTTCCAATCCCGCCGTGTCCATCAAGATGCACAACTTTTGTGAGTGGAAAACTAGGCTCCCAAGAGCATCAAGAATTGAATGGAGAATGGACATAAAGGGGGATATCAGCCTTCTTAACAAGATGTCTGAAAGAGTAGGGATCGTTCTAATTGAGATGTTGTATATATCTGTCATGTGATTATTTTCATGGGGAGGTTTTCCGGTCCCACCACGAGCCGTCACGGAGCCCCACTTTACGTCCTCGAACTCTCCGAGGATGGAACTCTAGTGTTGTTAAAGGCACTACTTTTGTTCTAAAAACACCTTCTTCGGAGATATGCGTTAGCAGTCAAAGGCTTTCGTGTTTGCTCATAGTGAAAAATGTTGGCACGCAACACCCCTCAATAACCATCTCCATATCTCTGCATTGGCTTCCATACCGACTGGTTGAGAGTATCTGCGCACATTGAATGCAAGCACATTAGGTTTAATTGTGGGATCGGAGACCACTATCTTCCGACTTTCTGCGGATCCCACAACTCGGTAGTTGACCCTGGCATTGTTGTGCTCCTCATTTTCCCCTCTCGCAATAAATAGTATATTCAATTCTTTACCCATTCCATTCGCCTCATACTAATCTAACAAATCCGTAATGGCATCTCAACTTAACCATCCGATCTTGGGTAAGATCCAGGGAAACTTGAAAGACAACGTTGTTCAATTCCTTGGTATCAAATATGCCTCTCTCAAGGACCGATTCTCACCAAGCGAGGTCTTCGATCACAGCGGAGCGAACGTGATAGATGCTACAAAGCCAGGGTGAGACAGCCATTAGCATAAAAGACATTCCTAATAGATCTGTAGGCCTTCTGTGATATCTCCACCAATATGGGACCAGGAATTCGGAATAATCCAAAAGTCTCTCCCCATGCCCGAGATGAGAATGTCAGAGCTGGATGGATTGAATCTCAATGTCTCTGTACCTTTAATCAATGGGAAATTTCCCAGCCCGGAGCAAAAGATACCAGTTTTCATGTTCATCCATGGAGGGGGTTTCGCGCTGGGCTCAAATGCTTGGCCACAGTATGATCAAGCACGTATTGTGAAGATGTCAGCAGAAATCGGGATGCCTATCATCGGAGTCGGTATCAAGTAAGACTCAGTATATACACATTCCTTACTCAACGGAGTACTAATTGATGATCTACAAGTTACCGACTTGGTTTGCCAGGCTTTCTCACTTCGGAAGAAATGAGAAAGGAAGGGTATGTTGCCAATAATGGCCTGAAAGATCAAGTCACTGCTCTCCACTGGATCAAAAAATATATCGGAGGATTCGGGGGTGACCCAGGAAGCGTTACGGTCGGTGGTGAAAGTGCTGGATCAGGTCAGTCTCATTTTTTATCAACATCTCAAGCGCTAATAACCTGTAAGCGTCCGGGAATCTGCTCCTTCATTCGGTCGAGCCACTGTTCAAACGCTATATGAGCATGTCCGGCACCTCACTCATGATAAAATCACTCCCTCCACCAGTCTCAGAGTTCGCTTATTCCTCTGTGATCGATATCCTCGGGTTGAGGGAGCTTTCTGGTCCAGAGCGTATCAAAGCTCTCTTGGAATTGCCGGTCGGGAAGCTGCTCAGCGTTCCACCAACCATCCCTCTCCTGCCAGTTATAGACGGCGATCTGATTCGAAATGCTGTGGATTTCGCTCACGTGAGCTCCAAAGAAGATTCCCCTGAGTTGGACATGCCCGGTAGGAAGTGGTGTCAAGATCTCCTCATTGGAGACTGTCAATTTGACGTTGGTTCATACTCCAACAATTGCCAGAGAATATGACTAACAAGATAATAGGGATCCATCGGAACATTCTTGCTCGGTCCGAAAGTTAATAACATAGCAAAAGGATTTTGCGAATCTATCGACAAAACACTTGCCAACTATCCTTCAGCAGCGGACAAGGTTCGCCATGCTTATCACATCACACCGGACCTTCCTGATAACGTCGCTTTTCGCAATGTCCTGCAGTTTCAGACTGATATCGGTTTCTATGCAACAGCTCTGGCATACGCTCAAGGGTGGCCAGGGAGCGCTTATCTTTACCACTTCAACGAGCCGAACCCATGGGATGGGCCGTGGAAAGGAGAAGCTAATCATGTTCTGGACGTTGCTTTCTTATTCCAGAATTACAATGAGCATCTGGAGCCTGAACAAAGGGCTGTAGCTGTGAAATTCGCAGAAGATGTCATCAAATTCGTCAATGGTGCTTCCGACTGGAAGCCTTACGGGGAAGTGGTTGGAGCTCGGGTTTACGGTCCTAGTAAAGACGGACTCTGTGGTACCTATGTGAAAGGTACCTCCCAAGCTGGTTCAGGGAGGAAGAGTACGATCTTTGAGCTTGCAGAGGAATTTGGGCTGGAGCCTCTGTCGGCTGCCTGGGGAAATTTCATGGCAGGCAAATAAATGACCAGGAGGATGGATCGAAGTCTCAGACACAGAATCAGCATCGAAAATGGAATAGACGTTCCCAAGAAAAATCATTTGCAGTTGGGTTACGCAACATGCTCGATTGCCAAGCTAAGCGAAAAGTATAAACTTCGTCGTTTTGCATATCTTGCAAATTATTTGTTGTGCATAAGGCATACGAGCTCTGCGGCTATGCTTGCCCATGCAGTGGATTCGTTTTGGGGTAAGCAGAACATACTTGGGTATTGCTATTTTGCTCGTGTGACTATGTGATTGGTCACGTATAACCACATATACGGCTACGTTCCTGCACATGTTGACAGCAGATCCAATATAATACGCAGTGAAACGTCGGTAAGACTCTGCCGAGTGATTTGTTAATTATTCGTAAGAGAGGACGCGAGTCGAGTTTAGCTGCTTTGTGAGAATGTTGTAAGATAAAAATACCCCACTCGGCAGAGAATACCCCACCAAGGCCGCTGAAAGTACCCCGCAGATCAGAGTTTCCAGGGATCGGGTTTCCACACGTCCCGGTATTAGAACTAGGACCACCTTGACTTTTGACATGCTCGGGGACGAAGAAACAGTGCTCCCGCTTGTGAAAAATCTCATCAGCCAATTATGGGCTTTAGCTCGGCTTGGTCGGATTCAGATCAGAGGTGGGAGTCGAGATCGGGGGTTTCCCGTGTCAGCTTGGTGAGTATCCAAACGTCTTCGGCTAGGTGATCCATCTTGAGACCGTATTGACGCCATCTGCGGGGCTAGAGCTCCCACATGTGATATAAGAATACTGCTTGCTTCTCCAAAATTTTCCGTTTCAATTTCTTCAGGGAACTTTGAGTCTCAAAACCATTCAAAGAAGGCCAATTCAACCAAAGATATCCATCACAATACTGCTCCAATAAGTAACAATGCCAGCTTCGACTTCAAAAGGCGAAGACTACCAGAACATCTTCCATTGGGCTGAGACACAACAAGATGGCGCGATTCCTTCGTTCGCTGTGAGGAAGAATGATCCATACGAGGTATGTAAAGTATTCGGACTGTCGGGTATTTGCTGACAGTTTTCTAGTATCAAGCAGGCTTCGGTAATCAGTAAGTAACTCAACAAAGAAGTCTAAATTTCAAAAACTGAGTGGCGGTAAAGCTTCGAGTCCGAAGCCGTTCCTGGAACTATTCCACAAGGTCAAAACAGTCCGAGATGTGTGAGATTCGGATTGTATGCAGAACAAATGACAGCATCAGCATTCGTTGCTCCTAGACCCAGTAACAAGAATGCATGGCTGTACAGAGTTCGTCCGGCAGTTGCTCATGAAGGATTCGTAGGTGACACAAGAGCACTCTGCTATTGGCCTGGCTAAGTTTTCAATAGACGGATATGCCAGACAACAAGGACACGGAGTCCAACTTCATGCCAATCAATCCTAGAGTTCACATCTCACCAACTCAACTTGCATGGCTACCCTTCGATATCCCTACCGAGGGAGGTATCGATTTCGTATCTGGCTTGAAGACGGTAGCCGGCTCAGGCGAGCCGACCCTCCGAGAGGGGATTGCCACACATGTGTACACCGCAAATACCAGCATGTCCAAAAAGGCATTTGTAAACTCAGATGGAGACTTCCTGATCGTTCCCCAACAAGGAGCATTGGATATTCAAACAGAATTCGGTCCTATTTTTGTGCAGCCAGGCGAGATCTGCGTCATCCAGAGAGGAATCCGGTATCGAGTGGAGCTCCCAGATGGTCCTTCGAGGGGTTATATACTGGAGGTCTGGGGAGCAAACTTTGAACTTCCGGAACTGGGACCACTTGGAGCGAATGGACTTGCAAACTCACGTGATTTCCTTACTCCGAAGGCGAAGTACGAGATCAAGAAGGAGCGATGGGAAATCGTGTACAAACTCGGTGGAAAATTCTTCAAGAGTACACAAGGGCACTCACCCTTCGACGTTGTTGCGTGGCATGGAAACTATGTAAGTTGATATTGCCTTGCCATGAATAATTACAGCGCTGACATGCGGAATCAGGTGCCATACAAGTATGATCTAACGAAGTTTGTCAATGTTGGTTCAATCTCAGTCGACCATATCGATCCATCCATTTTCTGCGTTCTCACAGCCAAGTCTCGCGACCCTACCGCCCCTCTCGCCGACTTCCTCATCTTCTCCCCTCGCTGGGATGTCGCAAGTCACACCTACAGACCGCCATACTACCACCGCAACGTGGCATCGGAACTCATGGGTCTGATTTACGGTGAATATGGAGGTCGATCAGACTCCTTCCAACCGGGTGGTGTCTCGTTCGAGTGCGGTATGGTTCCTCATGGAGTAGCTTACGAGGAGTTCAAAGCTGCTTCTGCCGAGCCTCCGCCAGAGATGCAGATCTCGAAAGGAGCAGTCGCATTCATGTTTGAGAGTAGTAGACCTTTCACCATCACCGATTATGCGTGGAATAGCAAGAAGAAGCATGAGCATGAGCCTAAGATGTGGGATAATTTGGTGGATAACTTCTCCACGCATCAGAAGGAGATTGAGGAAATATTGAGCAAGACGAAAGAGTTGAAGATCTCGAATGGGAATGGATTTGCCAGCGGTAGCGCATGATGTATTAATTGGAAGTTGATGAGCCATTAAACGCACGTACTTCGCGTGCAAAGCGAGAGTAGCTTTGACTCATTTCTTTTGGTATCAGTTCTCGACCAAGTTTTGAGCGATTATCCACAGTTGTTCTCCACAATATGCAAGACATTTTCAAGTTTTAGATATCTTTACCATCGCTTCCCAGTGCCAAATCCACGACTACTCTCCGCTAGATTTACCACAGCTGGAGGCGTTTGCCCTCGACCTCCATCTGGTAGTAGTGAGTGTCCTAATGGGAAGGCCCTAGTACGAGCAGGCACATCTGACGGAAACCCTTCTTCTTTCTATATTCTCATTGCACTCACAGAACACAAAAAATATACCAAGCTATCTTATACGTCAGCTTTAAGACAGAATAGTACGAGTACAGCTTAACCCTGGTAACCTTGGTCGGAACAGAAAGTGCTTGCCATGAATGCAGAAACTGACAGTATGCATTCAACGGTATTCAATATATAGTTCTTAAAATCTATCATATATGATCCGCTGAAGAGTGTACAAGGCAGCTCAGGGCAACATGGAAGTCGGACTTTATCACGTGGTGTTTACGTCGGCTGTCGGGCGTACGCTAGGTACCTACCTACATAAGCAATTCCGCTCCGCCGACCGACTTTCGATCTTCTGGATACGCCGCCTCGCAGGCAAATTAAACATTCATTGTTAGAGTGACTTAGGAGCAATTGATGAACCTGTGCAGACGAAAAATGAATTACGGTCACATCAGGAGTAGGTGAGAGAAGTGGCATTTCATTACACTCTAAAATCGCAATTTTGAACACCCATAATCCAGATAGCAAGAAATCATGCACTCTCAGCCAACTTGACCAGACCCTCCAAGTTGATACTCTTTGGTCTCTCAATCGGCAGACCCAGTGCTCGGTCCCAGATGAGCTGAGCCAATGGTCCCAACCCTCTGCTGACACCAAAGGTAGCAGTGTAGTAAAGAGTCTCATGGAAACCATAGTGATGGAAGAGAACGCCAGAGCTTGAGTCAACGTTGGGGTATGGGTTCTTGGTCTTTCCGTGCTCCTTCAATACCTCAGGAGCGATTTCGGAGTTCTTCTTAACGAGTTGGAAGACTGGATCCTTGGCGATTTCGGGTCGAGAAGATGCGTAGTCCATGAGTGCTTCGAAACGAGGATCTGGTTTGCGTAGAACGGCATGGCCGTATCCTGGAACGACTCTGCCGGACTTGAGGGTGGACCAGAGGTAGTCGGAGACATCCTTGTCAGTGAATTTAGTTCCGACATGTTCTTGCATTTGGAGGATCCATCTGAGGACTTCTTGGGCAGCAAGACTGGAAGAAGTTAGTAAGATCTCGTTCAACTCCTCGCTTTGTTGCTCACCCGTGAAGTGGTCCAGCCAGGCCTTGCAGACCAGCACTGTAACTCAGGAAGGGATCACTTAATGCGCTTCCAACCAAGTGAGTAGCGTGAGCTGATACATTGCCACCCTCATGGTCTCCATGCAGAGCCAAATACAATCTCAACAAATCCTGGAAGTTCTCGTTCTCCTTTCCACCCTTGCCAAGCATGGCGGCAAAGTTATAAGACCAATCTTGCTCCAAGTCAACCTTCGCTGGAAGAGCTCCACCACCCTGGTACGAGTTCTGGTAAATCTTGGCAGCAATTGTTGGGAGCTTTGCAAGAAGTGAGATGCTGTCGTCAAAAGTGGGTTCCCAGTAGTCAGCCTTGTTGATACCTGCCTCGTAGGCTTTCGCGAATTTGGACGTATGAGAGAGTGCTGAGACAGCAATGGCGAATTGTGTCATTGGGTGAAGATCTTTTGGGAAGTTGTCGAGCATCTTGCTGACAAACTCTGGAAGTTCTGACTTCTCAGCAAGCTCGCGAGAAAATACCCGCACTTGAGAAGTGGATGGGACTTGTCCAGTCAACAGGAGCCAGAACATGGCTTCTGGTAGCATTTCTGTGCCAGATGTGCCTTTTGGAAGCTCCTTTTGGCAGTCTTTGATCGTTCGCCCGTGAAATCTAATGCCCTCGTTTGCATCAAGAACTGATCCTTCCCATACCATCGCCTTTAATCCTCTGCAACGCTGTCAGATGTGCATTCCCTATGAGCTTATTTTGCCATACCTCATGCCTCCAATTGTGTTCTCAACCTTCACATCGCCAATAACCTTGCCTCCCAAGGCTTTTACCTTCTTCAAAAGCTCTCTTTTGGCCGGGATAGCCTCTTGAAAGGTTGTCTTAAGATCTGGCTCGGAGGAGGTGGCATAGTTTCGGGAGACAGGGAGAATGGCAGGACGGACAGCTAATGGCTATATTGACTTAGCAAACAGACATCCTGAAAGCCCATCGACAGTGCTTACTCGGAATGTCCTCAATGCCGACGAGGCAGTTCTCGCATTCATAGCCATGTTGGAGCACGGTTGAGCGCGGGGTATTGTGGGGTAGATCTGAGTTGTGGCGGGGAAATTGAGTTCGAAAGATGTTCTATTATTGTTTGAAGCTGCGACTTTGGAATAACTTCAATATTCTGTGGTATAATCAACAATTGAGAAGGTAAGCAAAGAAATTTCAAACCAGATTTGGAGCTTGAAGTCGGTCAAGCAGGTACAAGACCGCCCGCATGCCCGCTAGAGCTTGGACCGAGGTCATCAATCCCCCGCCGCTAGCCGCCAGCCGTTTTGGAGCCGAAATCCTTTTGAGCGCTGCCGAGTTGAACCGCCTCTCCAAGCACAATTATATCCGATGACGGACGGATCTTGACGTGTCTTGCTGTGCTTTGCCTCCGTGTTGATTGATCAGCAACGACAGGTAGGAAAGTATTTTGGTGGTGCCTTTTCTCCTTTCCTTTCCTGCGGACGGCAGACCTCTCACGATGTTGCGCAGAGTAGCTTCAACAGTTCCTCGAAGGGTGGCGGCCGCGAGATCCTCGAATATCTACATACGAAACTTCTCGATATCTGCGCAAAGAATGTCTGCGTTGAAACCTTTGGAGAATCCAATATCTGCCACCCTTCCATCTGACTCATTTCAGCTTCTCCCAGAATCACAGAAGGCTGGGGCCGCTGAGGATGCTCTGTACGAGCAACAATTGAAGGATGTGGAGGCATGGTGGGAAAGTCCAAGATATGAGGGGATCAAGAGGCCGTATTCTGCGGAGGCTGTTGTATCGAAACGTGGAAGCCAGTTGCAATCATACCCAAGCTCGGTCATGGCAAGGAAGCTGTTTAATCTGATTAAAGAGAGGGAAGCCAAGGGAGAACCAATACATACAAGTAAGTCCTGGTGACATTCTTGCTGTAGCGATTCCTAATATTTTATAGTGGGTGCAATTGATCCCGTACAAATGACACAACAAGCGCCGAATCAAGAGGTGCTCTATATTTCTGGCTGGGCCTGCTCATCTGTCTTGACAACAACAAACGAAGTCTCCCCAGATTTTGGCGACTACCCTTACAATACTGTCCCAAACCAAGTACAGAGGCTTGCCAAAGCCCAATCGATGCACGATAGAAAACACTGGGATGCGAGGAGAAAAATGAGTTCGGAACAAAGAGCGAAAACTCCGTATGTGGACTACCTACGACCGATTATTGCGGATGGAGATACTGGCCATGGCGGACTGTCAGCAGTACTGAAGTTAGCGAAGCTCTTTGCTGAGAATGGTGCTGCTGCAGTACATTTCGAGGATCAGATGCATGGAGGAAAGAAGTGTGGACATCTTGCCGGCAAGGTGTTAGTACCAGTTGGCGAACATATCAACAGATTAGTTGCGGCTCGATTTCAGTGGGACGTGATGGGCACAGAAAATTTGGTCATTGCCAGAACAGATTCGGAGAGTGGCAAGCTGCTCAGCAGTGCTATCGATGTTCGGGATCACGAGTTCATCTTGGGTGTGGCGGAAGAAGGCATCGAACCGCTCGCCGAGACACTCCAAGGAATGGAATTGAATGGAGCTTCAGGTGCTGAAATCGATGTTTTTGAGGCTGACTGGGTGAAGAATACCAAGCTGGTGACCTGTGACGAGGCCGTCGTTAAGCAATTCGAAGCGCAGGGGGTATCCCAGACAAACATTGGCAAATATTTGAAGGCGACAACAGAAAATCGCGACATGTCGATCAATAAGAGATTACAGCTCGCCTCTGGATTTACCGACAAGCCCGTGTACTTCAACATCGATATTCCCAGAACAAGAGAAGGATTCTATCATTACCGTGCAGGTATGACAGCTGCGACAAAACGTGCCATCGAATATGCACCGTACGCAGATCTTCTTTGGGTAGAGACTGGCGATCCAAATGTCGCCAACGCCGCACAATTTTCTGGAGAGATACGCGCGAAGCATCCAGGGAAGGGACTTGTATACAACTTGTCACCATCATTCAACTGGATGGGTCACGGCTTCTCAGATGAGACACTGAAGTCATTCATTTGGGACATCGCCAAGCACGGTTTCGTTCTTCAGCTCATCTCATTAGCTGGACTACACAGTACAGCAACGATCTCGAACGAGCTGAGTAAATCATTCAAAGACAATGGCATGTTGGCGTATGTCAACCTAGTTCAAAAACGAGAGAAAGAACTTGGTGTTGATGTTCTCACTCATCAGAAGTGGAGTGGTGCGTCTTACATCGATGGCATCTTGGGGTCTATTCAAAGCGGAAGCAGTAGCAGTAAAAGTATGGGAGATGGTAATACCGAGGGTCAATTTTAGATGTGGCCATGCATATACGGCGTTGGAGGTTCGGTTTTAATTACACCAGTGTATCTAGGTAGTCTTTTGTTTTCTCGTTCTCGCGCTGTGCCTTTCTTTCTATTTTCCGACATTGGTGTGCAAGTGCAGCTCGCAGTTCGTTCTTTCCATGTCGATATGGCCTTGAAAATGGCCAAGTGCAACCCCCTCGAAGGCATTTCCACTCATAATTTTCTTCCCTCGCGCAACAACTTTCATCGAATATCATTTCCTTTCCCAGTAACGTCTTCATTGCTAGCCACATCACTATTTCTAGCCATATTATTCGTTATACGCGACTGAGTCCACATCACCGACCGAAAAAAGAACGAGATCGAAGATAAGATATGGCGGAGCCATACTCTGATTTCCCTCTACCAGCCGGTATTACGAACAACAATTCCCAACGAGCAAATCAAGACGATCCACCAGCAGGTAGAAGCTACTTCCGCCGGAGAGCTATCGACCAGGACGTCGTACCCACAGTGGATATATCCATAGCACTCCACCAACAACTTCACCCCCTTGTGACAACAACTTGGATAGACCAGTACGATTTGAGTGCACGCTTGATTCCATATCGCAAAGCTCTCGTCTCGATTCCATGGTTTTGGCAAAGCCTTTCCACCATCTGTGAACTCCAGAGTCACCGCAGAGTGTTCGGCGACCATCCTGCGGAGACACTTACCCCCAGAAGAGCCGAAGAACTGCGCGAAGAGGTCGTAGCATATCTGCTGGGGACTCGCCCATATGAAGATAGTTATCGACAACTGGAAAAGGGCTTTTCGGTTAGCGGGCACAACGCGCCAGGATATCTCAAATATCAAGAGGAGTGGATAGAGGAGAGAAAAGAGTATTTGACCGAGGATACTTGGGGTAAGCCAAACCGCATCTATCCTTACTTTATTCTTGCTCCGTGACAAACATCGTATACAATGGACGCGGACGTTGCTTGGTTCACATCCGAAAAAAGCAGTGACTGATGGCTTCACAGAACTCAAAGAAATAGCTGTCTCGCCACAATATCAAGGTATTGGTCTCGGCTCCGATCTTGTGAAAAGTTGGCTCAAAGCAGTCGACCTCGAAAACGGCAGTGCATTCGTTTCCGCCCCAGCACATTCAAAGTCCTTCTTCGAACAGTTCGGCTTTGAAACTCAAAAGATCTCGAGCTTCGACTTAGGCATGGTCCTGGATCCTTTTGTAGTCCACCAGATGAAGAGGCCACCAGATGAAGAAGACCTACACCAAGCACCTAGTGGTCACGGATGAGAGACACCAGCTCGGAGACTCACAACAGCCAAGCCGCCACGTGACCAGACTTTCTGTTCGTTGGGCTTGGAAGTTCCAGTACTGTTTCGCGAGTGATATTTTAAGGTATTCCGGGTATGATGCACGGTTTTACACAGCGTCTTTTCTTTACATCATTGTCACATCTGGTGTTACTCTTTCATGATCAGCGTGTATTATTAGCGAGCACTGCAGTTTTGTCTGACTCGTTCCTTTCTTTGTCCGGTGCTACCTACCTACCCAGTGATATATCCACGTGGCTTACCGCATGTTTAGTACCGCACCAACCAGAGTACCATCCCAACAGCCTAGCCAACAAGTGTCCCAACCCTCAACGGAGCATACTTGTTATCTCAATACACCACAAAAAATTATCTTTACCGCACATCAAAAAACATCATTCACATCTGTCTGTAAACATAAATTTTCAAATCGCTTCACCAAGATTACCAATACACTTAAATGCGCAAACCCATCCCCATCTCCATCCACGCTCCCAGATCAGCTGACCTCGACCTCCCGCCGCTGGCGCGTCTCGATATCGCCGCCAACTCATCTCATCCGCTTGTCGCACTCTCGTTTCCATACCCTTTCCAAGCCTTAAAACTCTTTCTTGCGCATTTAAGATTCTGTTTTGAGAGGAAGGGGGAGTATGGGATTTTGGTGGCGAGGGTGAGATGTGGTGTGGCGAATGAGTCTGACAGCTCAGACGCGGATTCGGGGGTTGATGTTTCGCTTGAGGGAGAGGAAGATAGTGGGAACGAGGGTGCTAAGGGCGAGATTGTGGGATTTATAATGTGGAGAAACGTCCCGTCATTTCAGAAAAGGGAGGGAGAAGAAGTAGAAGAATGGGATTGGCTCTCCCAGTTACCGAGAGGTGCAAACACGAGCCTTTGGAAGCGGTATACCGAAGTCATGAGTTCAGATCCTGGAACAAATGAGAGCGATAGTGTCGGTAAGCTTATTACTTTGCTTAAAGTCTCCTGGTTTCCTCGAGACCCTGGGAGCTTCATTTGTACGCAATCAATACTAACATACAGCCAGAAATTCTGAAAGTCGCAGTCTCACCACAGCACCAACGGCGCGGTATCGGAACCAAATTGCTCAAGGCATGTCTTGATGAAGTTGGGGAACGAGATGTTCGTGTACGTGCCTCGAAGGATGCGAAGGCGCTGTATGAGAGGTATGGGTGGAGGTGCGAGAAGGAATTCAAGCTGGACTTGAGAGAGTGGGGGAGGTGTAGGACGTATGCTAATTTTGACATGGTTCGATCTGCTGATGCTTGACGGGCTTGACGAGTTATGAAGTGTGTTTGGCGTTTGAAATATAGATCACGAGACAACGAAGGATATGAAAGCTGTTCAGTCTTTTCTGTCTGATAATGATATTGGAATTTGAGGCCGACACCAGCGAAGAACGATGTCTAGTTCGCATGAACACCCTTTTTCTCAAATTCAGATCATTCATCATCCCTTGCGTCTCTTCAGTTTCTCTGCATTTCTCAGTTCCGCGTCCTGCTTAGAAATTTTGGCAAAAAGCTTATTATCCTCCGGATTTGGATGTATTGGTGCTGGAATGGGGTCCGACCTCGTTCTTCTTTTCTCCGACATTGGCTGACTGTCCGCAGGTCCGGCTTGCTTGCTCGCCTTCCTTTCATCTCCTTTGCCTCCCAAAGACCTATCGGTCGCTACCCCAGACGTCGGGCTTTCTGTCATGGAAGGTTGACTTGGCGACGTTGAGTACGGTCCGCGATTGTCGTTTTTGCTTGGAATTGGCCTTTCAACTTCTATTGTAGACTCGGGGTCAACTGCAGAGTCTGGATGTCGCTGTGTCATGGACACCGATTTGTTTCCTTGTGTGGCCTTTTTGCCCTCACTCGTGGGGCTTAACAACTTGTCTGGCAGTTGCTCAAGTATTCCTGGACTTGTGTCTGTATGGCTCGATTTTCGTAGCTCAGATCCGCGTTGAGACGGTACTTTGGCTGAACCAGTTGTTTTAGCCATTGTATCTTGAACAGACCTCATCGGCTTGTCATGGTCGAGCCCATGCAACTCTGGCTTGGGAGCAGGCATTGGCACTGTGCGGATACCCTCCGGATGATCAGACGATAGAAAGACTAATGGATGTACAGTCCCAGCATTGGTAGACAGAATCACCGGTTCTTTAATCGAGGTCGTGGCCGTGACAAGAATCTCTCGATTGGCTTTAATCTGGGCGGCCTGTTCCTCTGTAAACACTATTCTGTAGTTATTCGCCCAGTAGTTATGAGGACATTCCCTCTCTGTGCGGAAAGTGGCAGACTCTGATGCCTGGGGGATCACAGAAGATGATGGAGCTGAGAGAAGTTCTGTCGTGATTTGCTGTTCTGGACTAGGTAAGTTGTTGCATAACATATACTCCATGGACATTATGTTTGGAGTTGAGCTCCCGGAAGCCATCGCTGATGCTGCTCGAACCAGTCTTTCGTTGGAGAGAGATGTTGCTGACTAAAGAGTTTGAAAAAGAATAATCGTTGATGATAGAAGTTGGGAAGAAAATAGAATTGGAAAGCCTCCAAAAGCCTTCTCTGAGGACAAGAAAGGAAGGATCGACGAAGTGCAGCATAGCGACAATGGCACGAGTAATGTGCGCCTTCCTCGAGAACAAGCACCACCTTTCAATAACTTTGCACCTATTTAATTGTTATGAAAAGTATATGGTGTTCTCTTTTACGTACAAATGAATATTTAGGCAGGACGACGGACGTTGGATTTGTTTACTTCGCTTAAATTCGGTCTACCACTCGTCAGTTTGCACGACCGTGTTAGCCCTTTTTCTCAGCACACTCTTCTTCAAACTACCACTTACAGCGAAAAAGAAATGACGGTACGAAAAGAAAAAGGAAGAAAAGTCATTAAATTTTGCTACTGACATCTTCACCTAAAAATGCCACAAGAAGTCAGACGGCACTTTGAGAGCAACGTTTTCTATTTTACCAACACTCCATCATCTATTCCAGCCTATCTACAGCCTGTAATTCTTCATTTGTACCATAACATGATTCTTCTGGCGAGCCATTTTCAACGACCATGAGATGCCCGTCTATGATTTGCCATACTCAACATGTGAGCAAAGACTCGGCCACATATATTACAGGGAGTTGGCCTGGGTGTGACACTTCCGATACCCATTCGCTGGTTAGCTAACGACGGACCGAACTCTTGGCCATTGAATGGGCCACCGATCGGTTGCATGATGTTAGTCAGATTGCTCATACGGTCACCCCGATGACCACCCTGGTATTGATATGCAAAAGCCCTATTGCCTTGTTGTATGTAAGGTTGCATCTGGGGAAGGTTGTTGAATATGAGCATTCCGGTACCTTTGGGAACACCAGGGTACATATTGTTGGTGGAGATATATTGGGCATTACCCATATGAGTACCGAATCCATTTCCCGACCCTACATATCGGAGATGTGCGTTTTCCATGTTGAGCCTCATGCTTTCCTCTGCTAGATTCTGGTGGAAGTCCCTTCCGGACATCTTTTGTTTGTATGTTGCGACGCTTGGTAGTGGGAAGTTGCGAGGTAGCTCGTACGTTGCCGTCCTTCTTTTGACAGCGGATTGTTTCTTTGGCGGGGCGTTGTTCTGAAGTTTTGAAGGAGGAACTGATGCAGGAAAGGTTTGTCTTGGAAGAGAGTTCATTCTCTTTTATACTTCAGTCAAGGATTTCATGATGCTTGTGCTAGTCAAGCCAGCAAGCCCATTCAACGACGAACAGGTGTTTGCGAATTGGCTGTTCCCCGGTCCTACAATCACAAGATGTACAGATTAGAATAGATTCACATGGGCCGTGGTACGAGTAAGACTGAGGAAAGCTTCAGGGACAATCAGCCGGTGATTATGTAAAACGCTAATTGATAAAAGGCTTCCAAACTTGTGAGAATTTGTCAACTTCTTAAGAGGAGTAGCTTCTCCCGAAGTAACGATATCTAATTTCATTCTTTCGAAAACATTTCTTATTTATCTAAATCCATGCAAGCCCATGCTCCTTTCACCTCTAGAGAATGCCACCTATCATTCACACCGCATATAATTAGACTCACGACGCAGTCGACACCGGCCCCGCAGAACTCCACTGATTCGTCACCGTCCCTGTCACAGTAACACTCGTCGCCACATACAAATTATACATCTTGCCAGCGCCACAAGACACGCTTGGATCGCCCTTACACGGTATCGTACACGCCTTGGGTCCAACAAGCGAAGCAGGTTGCGGTGTGGGCGCTCTCGTGGCCGCATAGCATTCTCGCCCGTACTCGACACCGGCATAAAGGAATGTGGTAGCTGGGCTAGCGGATCGGCGGGCGAGCGCGGATGAGATACAAAGGTCGGGGGTCATGCTGTCGTTGCTGAAGAGTTTGGGCATGTTATGTCCTTGGAAGGGACCTGTGGCGGGATCGTTATAGCAACCTAGAGAGGCGAAACCGCGGATTGCGGAAACGGTTGGGGAGCTGGTTAAGGTTGAGAGGGTGGATGGTGTGCTGATGGAGGATGGAGGTGATGTGGTTGTTGGTGAAGTCAGAGGCGTCGAACTAGATGATAATGGGGTCGATGAAGATGTACTAGAAAGACTTGATGATATTGAGGCTGATGAGGATACAATTGACGAGGTGGTCTGAGACGGCGGCTCAGGAGTAATTGAAGATGAGGTTGATGACACAGATTGAGAAATTGTTGTGGTGGTCGAACTTGACGAGAATACAATTGACGATGTCGTCTGAGATGGTGGCTCCGGAGTAATTGACGATGATGATGATATTGATACGCTAGAGGCAGTTGAGGATGTGGTCGAGATGACCGAGGATGACTGACTCGAACTTGATACTATAGCGGTTAAGTTATTGTACATTGTCAAGCGAGAAGATCCGCCACACTGTATTGTCAGTTTCTGATCAAGAACATCGATGTCGTAGTTACTCACGACTTGAAGCGGATTTCCCTTGCAAAACATGGAGCAAGAACTCTCGTCCGTGATATTGCTTCCAGCAGATAATGAGTTTCCGCAGAAGCCTACTTCTGTTAGCTAACTGAATATCAGGATACGAACGGGATCCTACACCCTCTGCGATACTCGATACCAAACCAAATATAGCCGACACAGGTTTGCGCACAGATCTCAACAGTCATCGTATCATCTGCGAAAGACTTCAAAGATAAAGCGCGACCCTTCGTTGACTCAGTGTAACACCCAGCATACGAGTAGGAGCCAATCGATCGGACGATAGCAGGACCTGTTTGAGTTGGAGTTGAGCTAGGTTTGGTCGATGTTGTCCCCAACGAAACTGTCGTGGAAACCGAAGTACTGACGCTCGACTGGGAAACCGTTGACATGCTCGAGGTATGTGAAGCTCTCGATGACGAGGATGATACGACAGGAGGGAGACCAGGTATCGAGTCCGGCCCAGGTGTATATCGAGTGCGGTCATAGAAGATAGAAACATATGTGCCATCCCCTCCACAGGGTTGCGTTACGTCTCCGGGACAACTCCAAGCACACTTCTTCAAGCTCTCATCGGTACTACATTTGTAAGCACAAAGTGGAGCCAAGGGGGCATCGGTAACTTACTATCTCATGTAAGTTGGAGGGGTATTTCCACACTGGAGTACTGTCAGTAATAAGACACCAACATATTTATTCTTATGCTTACCCAACACTCCGTATCTGCCCCGAGTTAGCTTTGGCAATCCATGAGACTGGAGGTATACGACTTACGATACTCAGTTCCTGCGAACCTATATCCTCCAGCAAAGCATTGTTTCTGACACCAGCCGTTCTCATTCTGCGCCGAGCTCTGGCCTTTACTGAGCAGACGTCCACCACCATCCCAATAGCAGCCGAGATACATATACTGAGATGATCCATTCGCAAGCAAAGGTCCAACCTGCTGAGTGATGATATTAGCAGTAACAGCTACATCATGTACCCCGAAAGTGACGTCGCTGTACACAAAATTAGCAGAGTTGACCTGCCAGGCCAACGAAAATATGAGCTTTCTCAGTATTCAAGATCCACACATCAAAAACACCGTGATCCAAACGGTTGACACCAAGCGGTGCAGCAACGATTGAGACTTGGCCTTCTGCGCAGTTATTGACGTCGATGAACTGCCCCTCGTGCAAATCCACCAGAGAATTTGGAGCAAGTAGCTCTGTGCCGACCGGAGGTTTGCTCTTGGTAATCTGAAGTGCCGAACCGCCTTCGTTGCATATACGGATATACTTTGACTGGGTAGTTCCATCAAGAACATTGCCGAAGTCCATGATCAGAGGCTCAGTGAAATCCCAGCCACCCTCGAGTGTTGACACAGAGATATTCGCGATTGGAGCAGTTGATGCGGAGCCTGAAAGGATAATGTATTCCGCGCCGCCTGTCATCCAGAATTCTACGAAGGAGGTATACGTTCCTGTCGCACTCGCCATGAACTTGACTGAAACGGTTAGCGATCCGCCTGTCTCGATGGTATCCCCAGCCTTCGGAAACTGCGCTGACAAAAACCCATTGCCAAGATTACCGTTCGTGATGTTAGTCCATTGAACTGCACCGTTTATGGTGTTTGACCAAGCAGTCCCTACAATGCTGAGGGGTTGAGCTCCAACGTTGGAAAGGATGAACGATGCTGTAAGTCCTGACGGAGCACCCGCAGAACCGAGGACAACACCACCAAGATCGATCTCTGTAGGCGTGATAGTCATAAATGCATTTTGGGATACGACTCTTCCTGTCAGAGACACTGGAAGGACAGTGCTGTATTTTGGAACTCCATTTGTCGTCAAGATGTTCAGACTAGTACTTTCCACACCGGGAATAACCTTTCCGAAGGATGCCTGTGGTACATCCTGGACAATAGCTCGAGTCAAGTCCCAAGTGACTGGGAACGAAAAGGTCGCGTCTTTCAGTAATGGTCCCTGAGGCAGTGTCGAGTTGTCACATTTCCAGTTTGAGTTTCCGGTTGTGCAGCCATGGATCTTCGTGATAGGGATCAGTGCTTTGCAATCGACAGTTCGAGTAGCATTCGTGCCTATCATGACATCTCCAAAATCAATTGGATCTGTACAATTGAGGGGTAGAGCAACAGGCGAACCCAAGCATATGACGTTCCCATTGTTATCGGTGGTGTAAAGACGGCCATCTCCGAATGCCGGTCTTTGGAATTTGTTTAGGCCTCCAGTCGCTGGAATGGGAATTGGCTGCAGAACCCCATTGACAGGAATAGCGTTGAAAGCTTGGAGTCCAAGACTTGGGTCGGAGATCCAAAGAATCCCTGTGCCTACTTGTCCCTTGTAACTGGTTGTCGTGGGGATACCAACGCCAACTCGACCAGCTGCCGGACCATTTGACTGACCGACAAGGGTGAACGAAGGAGCCCCCTTAGAATCCAAGCCCATCTTGTAACATACAGTTGCTCCACCGGTCGGTGTGAAGTAAATGTAGCCACCCTCTAGCGGGTACGAGCCAACACCAGCAAACACAGTTCCCTGAGCAGTAATGGTCTGAATCACGTTGTCGGTCCCTCCTGGTCCTTGCTTGAATCCTCCTAGATTATTGGCATTCATGATATAAGCTTTCGAGTTCTTGCCCAGCGTCACAGCCATTCGCGAAACGCCAGTTCCTTTGAATACTGTAGGATCAAGTAATGTGACACCAGATGATCCAAGATCACGATCTCCTGCATCCATAGATATATACTCGTAAGGCTCAAAATAATCGTTCAGAGTAATCTTTCCCTGTGCCGAAACACTGAAGCTGCCAACTACTTCATCCAGAGTTGAAAGTGGAGTTCGGCCAGACGCTCCCACATCGCCGTTGGCATGGCCTTGACCATTTCTGAATCGAATCAACTGAAGTACCTAACTTTGAAGAACTGCGAAGCTTACCCTGTTGCCAGGAAAATACGATTTCCGTCAACAGCCAAGCCCATACCGCCTGAATCCCGTCAAGATATACTCCGAGAATACGGGACGTAACTAACCTTGCCAGATACCAGCTTTCCCTCCCTTCTCTACCAAGATATCGCTCTGAACTGGAGGAGCACCTGGGCTAGATTCCATTGCAAAGATCGAGGTAACGCCTTTCTGGTATTAGTGAGGCGAAAAATCGGCTGGAGGAAACTGACCAACTCCTGGCGTCGTGCTCACTGCGACGACCATGCCAGTATAATTGAACAGATCGCAATGACCTCCAAATCCGCCAAGTACAACGCCGTTCACCATTGCGAGTGATGGTCGCTGCAGGACAGTGCCGCCAATAAAGTACCTGATGGTGTCAGAAATTGGAAATGTGAGACGGACGAGATGCTGACCTTGCAGGATCGTTGTCAGCATTATGGCCGTCAATCAAGATAGGGAATCCAGGTCGGTCTTGCAATGTCTGAACGTCAACTCCATAGAATTGGTAGATGCCTTCGAGGATAGTCAGCAAATCCGAGGTATAAAGTACCTTCTCCACAAACATCTTACCATTAGCAAGGCCACCACTTGCTGCCCCATTTCGATATCCCTTCGAGAAGAAGTACGCCGTATTGGTTGTGGGGTCAATGATCGGTGTTCCCTGCTCAGCTCTTGGACATTTTGGAAAGAAAATTCAGCATATCAAACTCACGATAACTCCAATGTAATCTGGAATATCTGTACATCCAATATCTTTCTGCAGAAACGGAGGTTGAACAGTCCGAGAGTTCAACAGTGTTCCATTGACGGCATCAAGCGTCCGGATAACATTCTGTGCGGACGCGAGAAAGACAAGCTGTGTGCCGCCTGGGGGTGTATAGACGAGTGGTTTCGCATACCATCTCTCCTTGTTGCCGTACGTATTTTTCCATAACATGCCAAATATCGCCGACCCGACTGTGTTGGGGTGGAGATTGTGGTTATCCAGATAGCCTGATTGGGAAGGGTCCGCATCTTGAATCTCGTCCGTTGGAGCAAGAGAGCGAACAAGGATAGGCACGAAGGCAAGAAACAAGTATATCTTCATCCACATTTTAAATGCCCGCACAATCATGCGAGATACCCTTGGTAGCGACGGAATGTACGAAGGACCATCAAATCCAAGTGCGAACGAGTGGAAGGGACCTAGAAATGCAATCCAAAAGGTGCTGCAAGGACTTTGACAAGAATACAGACGGCTGGACTTGGCTTCACTAGGTGTGGACTACAATTCCCTCGCCTGGACCTGTGTCACTGTCCATTGTCAAGTCACAGCACTCGTCCAGAAAGAATTGTCCGAAGTGGAATACAAATAGTCGGGATCTGGCAAGGGTCGGACGAACAGCTTAAAATGTTTTACCAGCAAATGCGAGGGGAGGGGTCCCCAGGCAATCAAGCTCGAGCCTCTGTGAGCTAAATTCCAGGACGAATCGCAGGAACGAAGCCGCAATCCAGTGGCGCCGACGCGGGCTTCTACCCAACGCCATAATATTGATTGGCAAGCTGTCAGTGGTTGGCGTATTCAGCTATCCGCATCGTCGTAGAAGTTATCAAAATGATCCCAGATGATCGAATTGGGAAGGAGGCCCGTTTCCCAAGCTTTGCTGAGCACTGCTTATTCGTCAAGCTTTCTGTACCAAGAATATTGAATATGAGTGCATGCGTACGTGAGCAAGCAGAAATAGATCATTCGCAAGATCACGCACGATTCAGTTTGCTGGTGCAATGTGTCACCAATCTACCTTTGCCTCGGGAGGACCAGGAACCAGAAAAGGGGAGCGGTTGACATAAGAAAATGCTTGAACCATGATTGTTTCTCGTACCTGCATTGGCAAGAGTCGTGCTAGTTTTCTGAAGGGGTCAATCAGAAGTCTGGAGCTTCGCGGCTACTGTAGCTAAGGCTCAGCTGGCCACAATCTGAGCTGTCAAATAAACATGCTTTTCCAGAGAGTCTCAATTGGCTGCCAAGTTTACCATCCGCTAAGTCGTCCCATGGCCCGTCCCAGCGGGGAACTGTTCATCAGAGTAGATTGCGGCCCATTGTGAGACCTTGCACACCCCAATCTCATGAAATACACGGCTTGAAGATCATCGAAATTCTGTTGCCTGGTGTCCGACGGCGCGCGTTGCTTCTTCGGTCGTCGTTCGGATATGAATGTGTGCTGGATAATCTGGGAAATGGTGAGCTGAAGAGAACGCATTGACAGAAGCTTAAAAATCCAGAGGGGCACGCTAAAGCCTCGACGCGAGATGCTAAACTTCTAGGCGAAAGCTTCCTTTGAGACGAGCTTGGCTGGACTTAGAGTGGAAGCTTGGTACCACGAGGGAACACACGGGACACGAAATCCACAGATGACTCTGGTGGAGACTGGGAATGGAGTAAGTAGAGCTTTGTAAGCCCACTTTCACGCTGACCGTCCCATTCAATAGTCTATATTCCCCCATAATCCTTCTACTCTGTTTTCAAGTCTCGAATCTTTCTGTTCCACTTCCTCTCTCCCCGACACAGCGCTGCACCGTGACGACTATTTTGGGGCTTAACAAAGCACAGAAGGAAGTGGCATGCTCGCAACCAACGGCGTGGCCATTGTCATTCTTGCTCTGGACGCTCGACGTTCCAATCGTGCTCACGGATTGTTGCCGAAGGAGTATTTGTGCAACGGATGGGCAGGAATGGTAACTTCACATCCGTGGATACCTCGCTTCGATGGCAACAAGACAACCGAGAGTACGTTTGTGAGTGCGCGATGGTCGTGCACTCGAGAACAGGACACGTTTTCGCAACATTGGACGACTCTACATCAGGGGTTGTTCATTGGGTCGACCCTTTATTCGATTGTCCACGATACTCATCGTGCATTTTCGGGCAGGCATTTCGTTCCAAATGATATGGCTATCTTTCGCGCCAAAGGTTGTTGTTGGCATGGACTAAACCTTGCGACGTCCACAGAATTTCCGTTGGTATGCTGTCTCAGCTGTGATTTGCTTCAATAATTCCCAAGTTTTCAGCCGCGACGCCGGCAGGTTCTTTGGCTCTGAGATCACACGAAAACTTCGGAATGTCATAATTATTTGAGTTGAGTACCAATCCCCTACTGGCTTCCGAGAGATCTTGTACACTTTCTTTTTTGAGCTTGGGTGGAAGTCGCCCAGGGGGCATTCATTCATCCCGCTTCTCTGGCCCATCTCGTCCGACACTGCTCGTGGACGCCTGATAAACTCCGTTGTATCCCTCAACCTCTTCAGATATTTGCTCAAAAACAATTTGGGCTAGCTTGGCATTCTCATAGAGCACAACACCATTTGGATTCTTGACTTCCAGCAGTGCTCCCATGGCCCCCTCATACCCGGCATCGACGACACCGGCAATGACTCCTACGCCCGAAAGCCACAACGATGAACGAGGGAATACACTCGCCATGCAATTCCGTGGTATCCGAACAGTCTCGTTGAAGTCAACCAAGTAGGCGCCAGGTGGGAGAGGAATTGAATGGTTGGTGGCGTCAAATGGTAATACGGAGGTTTGTGCTCCTTGTCGCTTGGTGTTGTCGAAGTCGATTGTTGCAGCTGAGGTCCATTTAGAGACGTGGCGAAGTGTTAGATCTACACCACATGGTTGCTGTTGTTGGACCACATGGCGAAGATTGCGCACCATTTGTCGGGTGACAATTTCAAGGCCGCTGAGTATCATGGTACAGCTTGGAGCTCGTTGGCTGTGTTGAACTCCGTGTAAAATGCGGAAGATTTGAGTCGAAGGAAGCCTTTTGAGGAAGACGGGAAGTCCTGAAGGCATTCGGAACGAGTTGCAACATTCGCTCTTTGGAACAAGCAAACTAGCGGACGCTCCACGTGACCACGCGTTCAAGAGAAATGGGCCACCTGTTTTCGCGACGACAAAGATCGTTGGCCAGTGTGCTAAAATGAAAGTGCTCTTCCTGTGACACGAAGTTTAAACTGATCTTGTGGCCGGATCCACCATTTTTGAGCCGGGAATGCCTCCACATATCGAACTTTCGGAGGATCCCATGAGGAAATATCTGTCAAAAACATTTGATCCAGCTCCTCCTCACTGGCGCCATTGTCTATAGAAACAGTTAGCAGTTCGCCACCCATAAGTTCTGGGACTGTTAGAAGAACAACGCGGAGTTAGGAAAAGGAATTACCTTCACGTTCGGCCTTCCTCTCATCAGCCCGAGTCTGCTTCAAGATCTTGAACGCCTCCTCCAGATTCGACTCTGCTTCACTCCACGACAATTCCATGTGTTCCGATGTGAGGTCGTCGAACTCAAGTTCCATGTAAGGGGTGCGCTTCGGCGTCTGGAAGTACACATCTCGCTCCTTTGAAGTGGTGGTATCACCAACAACTATGTACAGTTCTTTAACACTATTAAAATGTCGCAAAACATCTGTAGTCCCCTCGTCGTTCTCATCGAGGAACTCTCCCGACGTGGGATCCTGCCATGTCTTGTAATTAACAGCCAGCCGCTTTGGTCGCAGGTTATGGGTGCATTCGGCGATTCCACGCGGGATCATGGTAAAAAGTGATCCACGTTCACAAACTCCACAAAAGAACTGAATAAATCGAGGGATTCGCGAGTATTCGTCGAGCCATAGAGTGTCCGCATCCCTTTGAGACGCTGTCAGCTAAGATCTACAAGCCTCCATCTATGTGCTGGTTATCATCGAAAGAGTAGGTGTTGGACCAACTCACAATTTGAAGTAGAATTTAGGATCTTCTGGCAGCCATGTGCCATTTGGCGATACCTGGAAATATGGAAGCCGAAGACTAAGCCCAACGTCTCTTGCTTCTCTGCAAGTTTGCATGACGAAATTCACTTGACTCCGACTGATCTTGGTCTCACTGAGTACAAGGATCTGCGGTTCCATAAGTGCTTCCTTCCAAATCATCCTCCTGATTTCTGGTGGAAGGCCCGAAAATCGCCGGAATGTAACCCCGCACCTCTCCTGTAGACGCTTCAACTCCGACTCCATATTCACCTTGTCCTGCTGTAACTGGTAAACATCTCTACGGAGGTTTTCAACAGAGGTAAGCAATGATTTGAGGGTGTCGGCGGAGACTTCGATTGAGGCATTGCCTTTGAGGATGTTAATGCTGCTGATCGACATTGCGTAGGCGAAGCAGCACGGTATAGAATTGGGTATTGGCGAGGAAATCTTTCGAGCAATCGATCTTATGGTTTGGAGCGATGATGCCGGTGGGCTTCGAGTTGTTGATTGCTGGACAGTGGAGTCAAGGAGACGCGACTTGCAAGGTTTACGTTGACAACGCGCGTTCTGCGCACGTGATTCGCCCATTCGTATTTTTAGGTACCAGGTACTTACCCAGGTAGGTAAGTAGCTATCACTTTGGTCCAGAAAATACCTAGTGGTTTCTGTGCGAACTGTAAATTTGCTAAGAATCAGGCAATAAGAAGTCAAGTTATACTTGATGACTCTCTGGCTATACCGATCGATTAGGACTGATGCAGCTTTGCTGTTCCTGACATCAGTACCTCTTAAGGTTGTGGGCCCACTGCGAACTTCGAAGCACCTCTGCTTCTCGAGCGAACAAGCTTCAATTTCGATGTCTTTATAATTTGAAAAACAATTGTTTCAGATTTTGCGATGTGCAACAAAATCATGCAGAATCGAAGAATGATTGCCGCCTCTCGCGGTCTTTGTACCCAATCCGGTCATTGTGGCCGTCGGGTTGAAAGTACTCCACAAAAACATCATCGCGCTGACAAAAGAAACACTAGTAAGAAATTGCATTGTAAATAAGCTCCTATGTTTCAGTGATATTTCCACAGCACTTGAGATTTTCTGCTTGGGAAGTCTACTTAGCTGCTGTTTACGTCGAGGCGTTAGCTGGAGGACAATGTAAATCGCCTATTCTTCGGGATCTTATTCCGATGACTCTAGGGAACACCTTAATGACTATTCTGACTAGTTCTAGCTTAATATATTCACAGTATCTGCTTGGTTGAGGATTGACAATTAATGCCACAGTATCCATTGAGCAGTTTCTCCTACCCTCCATTTCCTAATCTATCATCAACCTCATCAACTAGCATTTAACATAGAAAGGCGACTTACCAGTGGAGAGATCTAGGCAGAGTAAAGAGTCGTCTGTATATTAGTTGCAAGACTCCGAGCTCCGAGCTCGAGCAGGGCAACTATTCTCATGTTCAACGTAAGACGCTTCCTCAACTTCTTGATCAGACCGCCGGATGGATCATCGGTGGCCAGAACGCCATCGCTGTTGATATCGTCGCATGCGGTTCCTGAATAGACAAAGTGAGGATATGCACAGTAATAGAAAGGATACTATAGATTTCCCGACGCATTGTATCTTCCACACGAGGTCACATCAAGCAGTCTCTGGCTGTCATACTAACAGAACCCCATAAAATAACGGGAGGGCTATCTCCTATCCTTTAACCGAGGAAATACACAGTTACTTCGGTTTCTCAAGTCTTTACCTTGGCAGTCGAAGTGCTCTCCTTAGAAAATAAACACACCTCAAGCCAATGGGCGGGGGACAGCTGAACCTCCGATAACTGAAGTTGCAATCCCTAACTGGTCTTCAGCCTCAGCCGTGGCGTCCGTGGCTGTTTCTAGATGCCGCCCAACATACCTGCCAAGACCTTAAACACATTTTCTCCCAGAACATGATTTGTTCGAATAAATTGAGGAGAAAGCGAATTGGAAATCTGACGAACAGGAAAGGAGCTTGAAGTCAGGGAACAGTCCTACGATTCCGAGACATTTATCTGGCGCAGGTGTTGAACCTTGATTGGGCTTTGGCGAGCGATTCCAGACAGTCAACCGCAGCGTGCCAAGCGAGTCGATCAGCCCAGCCTCCACAAGGCTCCCCGCATGATGTTTTGTCAGGCTTTCTCAGTGACTTTATCTACCTGCCTACTCGGCGAACAAGTGTAATGGTATTTTTGTGTTGTGGAAACCTACATGATCAGCTGGAAGACTCTGGCAACTCACAGCTCCTCGGGTGCAACTTGTGTATCTCAATCTCAGAACTCCTCATCGCACCCAGCCTCTTACCACATCACGTATCGCGAGTGCAGACCGGTCAGATGAGTTAACGATGTCTACCGAGCAGATATACAACCCTCAATTTAGTGGGAAATCTCCCCAGGTCCATGGTATGCTATCTGAAACTTCCCCAGATATTCCAAGTATTTAATTCTTATACGCAATGTCTCAGTCCAATCACCCTCATCAGTCCCAAGCAAGAAAGTAAAATGGACTTCACAATGCGACTTCATCACCCTGGCTGCAGGTTTGGTGGCCCTCCTAGTCGGCGTAATCGGGCTCGTAGACGGCATATTCGAAAACGCATATCTGAACGGCAAAAACATTAGCACGAGTTGGAGACCGTTCCATGACAACGACACGCCTGAGATCGTGCCCCTTATCGTATTCGGTATTGCTACTGCTGTAGCCTGGACTTCGAGCCTCAGAGCAATCTTTCGTGTGGCGTCTCTGGAGAGCAATTCTTTCTTGGCTAGAGGCGTCAGACAAAGTGATTTGAGCTTTATGCTGGAGATGAGATTACCGAGTTGGAGGTGGTTGATGTGGCGGTGCAGGATGTGGAAGACGTGAGCTGATTCCGATCCCTGAAATCCATCGTTCTCGTCTTGTTCAACATGTTCGCTAAGATTTCTCTAGGTCTTTATTCGCCTTGTTCTGCGTCCTGTCTTACGTAGTCGTTGCACTGATGTACAGACTAGCCTTCAGAACTACGTTTGAAACTCTGCACTACACAATAGATGAACCCGGTACAGCATTAATCGGATGTCCACAACTTGGCTTCGTAGGGATGTTCGCGAGCTTGATGGCGGGAAAAGCAAAAGCCTATTCAACATTCGTGTCCTCAGCCCCGGAATTCCGGGACGCCAGCTCCCCAACTTCGAATTCTGGCTGGAATGTACAGCTCGGATGGCATGGGTCTACAGCAGCTGCATTCGACATCGGTCCCTCGTACGGCTATTTCTCTGGTCCTCATTTCGTCGGTCTGGCTCAGCCTGTACGTGGCCCGGACACAGACTCCTCAGAATCCAACGTCACAGTAGCAAATCATCCAGAATGCGGTCCTATGCTTCAGGTCAAAGCATTTAGAGGTTCCAGCGCGATCGAGGAACGGGCATTTTGGGTCGGTCTCGGCGCAGGACAATACAACGTCACGTTCTCATCGCAGCAAAGCTACCAAGCTACCAACTACTCACTCGTTTCCGGGATATTCCAGCCGTCTTCTGGATCGTGTCCTTTGGCTCTTGATCGGAGCATCTACGAGAATGTCGCTGGAGACTTGGCACAAGAAGTTGGTGCCTACACTCTAGACAGCACCACTTTCTACAATGCGGACGGAGTCCAAGCCAATAAGACAGTCTTTGCTCTGCTTTTAGCGAGAATGCATGCCAATCTGACCGCAATCAACGATAAACGCTCTCTCATTGATCTCGGCTTACTCGGAGAGGCCGGTTCGGATTCTTGTGCTGAGTTTGCGTATAGTGGTCGGCCGGGCTTGTATCGAGGGGAATACTGGGAGCCGCAACACACGGTGACTTTTTTTGCTGTGTATCAATTTCTATCTTCAGGGCTACTTATGCTTTGGGCGCTGATGCTGGTGTATGTGTCGTTACCGTCAGGGAGGTTGGTGGTGAGAGGGTCTTTGGATCAGTGGATGTCGTTTGGTGCGGATTTGGGAGGGGAAGAGATGTTAGGTGCTAGTTCGGGGCTTAGAGGTTCAGGAACTGGATCTGTATGGGCTTTGAAATCAATGGAGATTGTGGACGGGATTAATAGGCTTGGTTTTCATGCTGCTGACGGAGGAGCGTTCGATCGGAAGAATTTGAGAGTGAAGGTAGGAGCTAATTACGCTTGATCAGGGAGACTTATGATAAACTTTCGGCGACTTAATTGATAGTGAATTTTCAATACTCACTCGAATGTCTTGAATTTCATTCCCTGAAAATCACTGCACTCGGAACTGGCGAGTCTGATCCTCATTTTGCTGCTTGAAACTTGATGGAGTTATCGCGGGGCAAGTAAGCGAGAGCGGGCAAAAACAAATCTCCCCGCTCTCTTTACCGATTAGTAATTAAGTAAGTTGGAGAGAAGTCTCGGAACAGTCTCACAGGTCGACAAGGTATGGTGGAGTATGATAAGAGAGAATCTTCCGATAGGATAAAGATTTTAATCTCAGGGCATAGGGTTTCGACGAGAGGTACGTGCGAATAGCATGATGACTTTTTATCCTCACGTTTTGCACCGCGACAGAATCTAGGAACTGACTACTGGATCTACCTGCGGAACCAGTAGTGTTACTGTACAGAACATAGAGCCTCACTATACGGGCACAACCAGACACGGTGTATTGCCTCATCCTCGATGTCAAGATCTGAATTGCCATATGTACATTGTACCTACCTAAAACTCTACTCATATACAGGAGACATCACTATCCTTTCATTGTGGAGACCAATCATTACTCGGACCCGATCTATTGAATGCTTCTATCCGAGGCAAACTCAGAACAGACGACGTCACAGCAGGAATCCTCGAAGTGCGCACGTACGGGTAGTTGAATGTGCCGAATATATCTAAACTCAGTAGTTCGGTGGGTGTGAGTTCCTCGCGGGCGGACACTGGGTCTGTTTGATGGGTTAGTATGTAGCTTGATTGAATATCAGACCTTGTGATGGGTGCCGATGAGGACATGCTTGAGATAGTTCTTTTGTGGGTAAGGATGTGAAGGGAGCAGAGAAAGGGAATATGCTAACCTCTGGCATTTACATCATCGTAGAGTGAGCGTTGGAGGGCGTAGGCAGACCTATTAGCTCAGTTAATGCTTGTCTTGGACATCATCTCAGATCAAACTCGCCTGCGCATTTCGCCAACTCGGGTAGCAACAGAGGTTTCCGATTCTCGGATCACGGGGTCTAAGAGCTCCCAATATGTAGTTGCAATAGACCAGTATTTCCCCAACTGACGCAGAGTATCCATGAAGAAGAAGATATTTCCATCCAGACTATGACCTTCGACTGAGGCATGGACAAGCAAAAGTCGGGTGGCGATCCACATCGCCAATGCAAAGCCTGGTCCGAGTAAGTCGAGCATATCGGTGTTGACGACGTCGAGTGTGAGTTCTTTCAGACTTGCGACTGCACCGAGACATTTTTGCATCGCGTCGTACGATGGTCGGAATAACATTGAAGACTCGGACGGATAAGCTGCTGGAGCATGGAGGTGTATGACGGCAACGACGAATGCTGTCTGGAGGATAATCCAGTTGGATATCTTGCTCTTGGTGTCTGAATGGCAGAACTGGGATATCTCGCTGTATTCACCAGGCAGAGACCGGAGCCAAACTGAAAGCCATTGATCCAATTCAGCATATCGCTGCCGCCACTGGTCGATATCTGTTTGGGACGTGATATCGAGTGGTATTTGAAGGAACTCGTGGGTCTGTGACATGATCTTGAGAAGCTCACAATGATAGGAGTAGCTGCCGAGATTGGCAGCATTCTGGTTCGTGTCTTCTTCCACGTCGCCGTGGAACTCATCCCAACGAGGCCACCTCGTTTCGACGTGTCGATCTTCGGAGAACAAATCATAACGACAGGGCAGACGCCTTCTGGCTGTCTTGTCGTCGATTCCAAATCGCGAATGCGATCCAAGGGTCGTGTATCGATCCATGCTGTAGACGACCCAGAATAGCCTACGACGTTCTTCATTCTCAATCCAGGATCCTGGGGGCGACAGTAGCCGCGACCGAAGAATACTAGTGGTTGTTTGAGCTCGTGGACCAACACTATGGCCAAGCTCAAACCCCAATCTGAAGTTCAGAATACTCTGGGTAATCATTGCAACCATATTTGAAGTCTCTGGGCTATGCGAAGTTCCCAACATGTCAACTGTCAGCAGAACCATGGACTGAGTGGTGCGTATATTTGAGTGTTCCAAGCTATACAGTTGGACCCTCCTTTTCAGGCGACTCCTGTATAGCTCCCGCACTTCTGCTGTATGACCCGGATCCCTCGAGAAGCGAAGACTGACAAACACGATGGCGTGAAGTAGGACACGATCTGATTCGTCGGGTATCCATGCTCGTGACAATATATCAAACGTTACGACACGATCAAGCATGGGTATCCAGGTGTTTATGTGCTTGAAGTACAGATCCACCAGGATATAAAGCTGTTCTGGTGGAGGCAATTCTGGCTCAACTGTTTCGCTTTGCCAGCCGACTGTTGTGTTCAGCGATGGTGAAATATGTGGTGTAACAGGTGTGAACGCTCTCACATAAGTCTCGTTCTGATACTTTGGTGTAGTATCTCTTGCTACCTGGTTTGTCGGGGTCTGGTCTGACAAGGTGACCTGTTTAGTCAATTAGCATTGGCAACATTCAGTATGCCAAGATTTGCCCGGGACATTTATTGTGAGAATTACGAGGCTGGGTTCGAAATGTAGAGAAGCAATTGAGAGCTGGGGAAGGAGGGAGATACCTGAGAAAGCCATGATAATTTATTTCCTTCCCCAGTGGATGGGGTCGGCAGAGGAACATTATTGACAGTCCCTTCCGGTACCTGGGGAGAGTGGCTTGCCGTAGACCCGGATTCGATGGAATTGCGGACACATATATGGTCTTCCAGCTGTTTGCTCAAAAGTTGGACTACAGATTCTAGTCGAGACACCTTCTCCGCCAGGTCGTGGCCGGAACCTGGCTCTATGTGAAGGTTTGGTATTAGCTTCAAGAACAAACAATATGGTTGCCGTAAAATTATCCAGGACAAGTGTAGTTGGTTAAATATGAGGGACTTGATGCCCTGTTGATCTCGACTGTGAACAAGGACAAGGGGAAATTCCGAAAGTACATACTAGGACCAGGCCTCTGCTTCTTACTGTATGAACATTGCCGGCCATTCTTTTCACACCAGCCACACTTCAAGAAGTTAGTACTGTAAAATTCAAAGCATTAGGATTATAGTTTCAGGTCGCAGATCATTCAGAGTAACAGGTGGAGGGAAGCACATACACTCGGTCTAACTCGGTCGCATTTGACTTTCCTTGCTTGACAGGTTACACAACTGGGACAGTTAGCTCAAGACATCCCAGAACGATCAAGACTCGCTTGTTAGAGGTCCGGAAATATTCACCACAATCAAGGCGATATAAAATCATCTGAGGCGAAAGGGAAAATAAGTTGACGCACGATATGAAGTCTCCGCCCTGCCACTCTCTTTTGCCTTGATCGGCCAATGAGAAGGTAATGTAGCCTCCATTGTCGTCACATTGCGACGTACTTGGACGCTTGCCTCTCTTGTCGGACATCGACATGACCTATGGAGGCCCAGTATAACGGAGACGAGTATGTAGATACACCGAGTGCGTCCGATAAGACAGAAAGTTGGGTGGTAGTGGGTTGCTGAAAAGGTTGTCTGTATGTAAGCAACCAGGATACGGAGTACCCCGCAAGATTACATGCTTGGCTTCCTGGAAAGACCGCAAATTTCGTTCCAAAAAACACCGGCCTTCCTAGGCTCTGGATAGAGTGCTGAACTCTGGTCTTTGCTGTACAGAGATTGTTGCACGAAGACCAAAGAATCGGTCATATCGATGGCATAGAAGTGGATGAAGGGAATCACAACAACGGAAGAATTATTGTAGGCCGGGCGTGGGGAGCTGGGGAAGCAAATAAGTGGAGTTCACTCACGGAACGAACGGCCGCTTCGCTTGTGCGGACTTTTCGGACAAACTCCAAAATAGGACAGGACGCGAGGATGCCCCGAAGGCTCTAGTGCCATCCCCAGACATCAGTGGCTTTCTATCCAATTGGATCCTCCCATCAGCAAAGATGATCTGAGATGCCTTTCGAAGACAACGTTGGGTCATGCGGTGGTACTCGGGTAAGTATCTACCTAGTGTACTACACTGCAGGATGCACATGTTCGTGAAAGTTCTTGGACATCCGGATGTCAATTGGTACAAGTAGTCCTTCCTTCCGTTGATCATCTCCTCTGTCTTTGTTATTATCGCTTCGTCAATCAGTTCCTCATCTCGAGAAATACTTGCACTTGGCAGAGCTGCCGTCTCTTTTCCTCTCCACTTCTTTCGCAGAAGCAGAAAAAGCCACGCCTCCGCCTCCTCTGGCATCTAAGATATCCGAAGTTCGCTCACTCGCCAGTCTCTCACAGCTCTCATTGAGCCCATGTTCACCTCTTCACGATTAGCCAGACCTCTGGTCTACGCATACACTGCTGCATTTACTTGCGGAACTGCATTCTATGCCTTCTCTAGCGACAGCAATGATCTTCCAGCGAGAGTTCACAAGCCAGAATTTGACAAGTCCGGCAGAGTCATACCTCCAACATTCCCACGAGTCAAGTCAAGACAGGAGCAAATCTCGGCACTCAAGCGTAGCGGTCTAAAGTCTTCAAACCAAGACCAAGCACAGGAGCGATCATCGAACGATGACGACATTTACGACTTACTCATCATTGGAGGTGGAGCGACAGGAACTGGAATCGCTCTGGACGCCGTAACGAGAGGTCTCAAGGTAGCTCTGATCGAACGGGACGACTTCAGCAGTGGAGCCAGCAGCAAAAGTACCAAACTCATCCACGGCGGAGTTCGATATCTGGAAAAGGCAGTCTGGAACCTCGATTACGAGCAATTCAAGCTTGTCCAAGAAGCTCTTCGAGAAAGAAAGCACTTCACTACTGTCGCTCCACATCTCGCTTCATGGCTTCCGGTCATGCTTCCGCTCCAAAGCTGGCTGAAGGCACCCTACTTCTGGGCAGGAACTAAGTGCTACGATCTACTTGCCGGATCCAGGGGTTTCAAAGGATCGTCCTTTCTCTCGAAATCCGCTGCGCTTGAAGCTTTTCCTATGCAGAAGAAAGACGGGCTTGTTGGAGCGCTGGTTTACTATGACGGACAGCAAAACGACTCTCGCATGAATATTTCATTGGCGATGACCGCTTCGCTATATGGTGCGACGATACTGAATCATGTTCAGGCAACTGAACTCCAAAAGGATTCAAACGGAAAGATCTGCGGTGCTCGAGTACGAAACACGCTCCCGAACAGGGCTACTGACAACGACGATGGAGTCTCGGATGAGTTTGTCGTTCGTGCCAGAGGGGTCATCAACGCAACAGGGCCATATGTAGACGCTATCCGTAAATTCGACAAGCCAGAAGATCGTGATATCGTCGTCCCAAGCAGCGGTGTTCATATCGTACTGCCCGCATATTTCAGCTCGAAAAATATGGGTTTACTCGACCCTAGCACCTCGGACGGGCGAGTGATGTTTCTCCTACCTTGGGAAGGACGCACTTTAGTTGGGACAACAGATTCGCCTTCGAAAGTGTCCAAGAATCCTGTGGCAGGAGACAACGATGTCGATTGGATATTGAACGAGATCAGAGGGTATCTCGCACCTGGCATTTCCCTCCAAAGATCGGATGTTCTTGCTGCGTGGTCAGGTATGCTAAAAATCCGTCCCATTAGGGTTGATACTGGAAACTAATATTCTACAGGTATTCGTCCGCTCGTCCAGGACCCCAAAGCCACCAACATAGAATCACTCGTTCGAAATCACCTAGTGACAGTATCTGACTCTGGTCTCCTCACCTGCGCCGGCGGCAAGTGGACAACGTACCGCCAAATGGCCGAAGACGCCGTTGATAAAGCTATCGAAGTATTCCAGCTAAAACCCAACAAATCCAATGTCGACTTCTCCAGCACTTTGCACGAATTCAACGACGTCCCTATCGTAGATGGATCCTGTCAAACTCAACACGTCCGATTGATCGGCGCCCACGGCTTCCACGACACACTGGCTATCAACCTCATACAACATTACTCTCTTGACGAGGATATCGCAGCGCACCTCGTTCATTCATATGGTGACCGCGCGTGGGAGGTCGCCAGTCTAAGTAGCAAAGCTGGACGCCTTGTACCAGAGCACTGTTTTGTCGATGGCGAGATCTTGCACGCCATGAAAAACGAAGCTGCTTGCTCGAGCAAGAAGCCCGGTGATTTCCGAGTCGACTCTAGGGGCGAAGGCACCGGCGAAGAAACCAAAAGCAATCAAGCTTGTCGGCCAAGGCATCGCAACGAACGGAGTAACATCGACTAGTCTTCCTTAGACATCAATGGCGTCGGATAAATGAAACCGTCGCAATTGCACACTTCTTCAACTTCCATAGACGGGCCGGGCCTTCGGCTTGAACTAGGATACACGGATCGGTCTAGAAGCTTTCTTCCTTGGAAGAAGTTCATCTCCTGGAAGTCACCTCTCTTCAAGCACCTGGGTCAATCTTCATCCAACAACCACACCAAACATTGGACAGTGTCGTACATATTCAGACTCGCCTCGCCACTCCCGCACAAAGATGAGTTCCGAGAAATATTTCTGTCCCGTTTCACACACGGTTGGAGCTCCATAAATAGCCCATATACCCAACAAAGGCTCAGGATGCGTTTCGTTTTTCTGTCTGTGTTTGTATGCTTGGTGGAGGTTGCGCCTGGACTTCCAAACTTCGGAGTTTCTTTTTTTTTTAGGGCACTTAGTGTTCTATTCCCGTCCTCTGAACCCTTCAGAAAATAGATTTTGTATCCAGAATGGGTTGTTTTCCTGAATGAATCTAGAAGATGGTCGAATTGGTGTGTATGCCTCCAGATTTGAGAACGAAATCGTGCTTATTGCACGACTTATTATTCATAGCCTTCTGTACCCAATCACCCCTCGCTTTGAGCTTTGAACAAAGAATGTACAGAAATAGCATCAAGGATTCGAAGCTTCCCCGATTTTTAGACTATCATATGTGTACATTCAAAGATGATAAAGAGAGTGGTAGTGCCACTGTTGTTTGGATAATTCTCGGCTAATTCATCTAGCTCGACCCCTGTCACACGGTACGTCATTTTGAAGCTGTCACGAAGACTGACAACAAGATAACAAAGGCTCTACTTCCCAAGCACTCCAACCCACCACATCTCCATAAAGCGTCAGACGGATCTGACAGGCATACCCGCGAGATTATAATATCTCCACGATGCCTTCTCCAATCGTCAACACGACGATACAGTCGTGTGTGCTAAATGCGACGAGCAACATCATCGCGCAGTTCCTCACCGCATACAGAAGCAGCGTACGTCCTGATAGAGCTCACCCTCATCTTCGATCTATAGTGCTAATACATCGCAGGCATCATACACAATAAACTGGATACCTGTCCTGCAGTTCACACTCTTCAACGCGCTAAACTGTCCACCAAATTTCCTCTGGCAAGCTTCCCCCTCCCCTTCTCCCTCCCACACCAACAAGCAGAACCATCTAACAGCTCTCCCTCGCACAGGCAATCCTTCCTCGAATCCTCCTTTCCCTCAACCTACCTCGTCCCCTCCGACTCCGCCATCGCCGCCGCCGCCAAAAACGACGAAAAAGAGCTCGACCGCGAAGAATCCACCCACACACTCCTTGAATCCAAGCTCTCCATCCGCAACACGCTGATCAAATTCCTGCTCGACCAGACCATAGGCGCGACAGTCAACACACTGCTGTTCTCGCTGGTGTTTGCTGGGTTTAGAGGAGAGGGGTATAAGGAGGCGGTGGGGATTGCGGCGGAGGAGTTCTGGCCGTTGATGAGGGCTGGGTGGACGGTGTGGCCGTTGGTGAGCTTGCTGAATTATTCGGTCGTGAAGAGTGTGGAGGGGCGGGCGTTGGTGGGGAGTTTGGCGGGGATGGGGTGGGGGGTTTATTTGAGTTTGGTGCAGAGTTGAGGGTGGGTTTGGGGGATGATGGTGAGATTTATGGGATTGGGGATATGTCAGGGTATATCTGGATATGACAAGTTGGGGGGATATGTGCATGATACGTAGCACGAGGATACCTATATCGTGGTTTATCGCTCCGACGAAGGACGGTGCGAGGACGGTACGAGGACGGATAGATTTATCTGGCTATGTTAATGGAAGACGGACCACTTAGTGATGGAGGCCATGATAGATTGGTCCGACGAATACAAGCCCCATCAACCTCAGACCTAGGGCCATTTTCTTTTGAATTTCAAGATCTCAGCTAGAATTGATTTACTATCACCCCGCAAACGTTGCTCACAATCAAATGCCCAACACTCTTCCGCACCTGGAAGTCCAGACAAAGAAAGGCTATCCCACCATTTCATGACCCTACCAACAAAGACTCTCAGGCCATGAGCAATGCAAGCTTCATCCTCTTAAGCTTATACATATAAGTTCCAATCTTAATTCGAACTCAAACTTGCACGAGGGTAGTCCGCGCAGCAAAAAAATATCTATCAACAGCACCTCGCTAAGCTCTACCCAAAACAAAATAAGCATATCAACCATGTCAACCAGCACCAACCCCTCATCCTCCTCTGTCAACCACCAGCTCACCCACGCCTCCATCCTAGCCTACTACTCCCGCCTCGATACCCTCCTCAAAAACCTCGAGCGCGACATCACAGTCCTAGAATTCCAATTCCGCGCCGGACCATCCTACATCCCTCCCCCTCCTCCTCCCTCTCACCATGCATCTCCATCCGAATCCTTCCCCTCACCATCACTCTCAACATCAGCACAGCCACCAAGTACGCCATATCTACCATCTCTACCGAGCTTTCCACCTTTCCCACGCTTTCCGTTAGGGGGTAGCCAGGGAGAGGAAATCGGTAAGTTGAGTCAAATAATACACCCGCCTCCTCCGCCGATGTATGTCCCATCTATGCCGCTGATGCCGAGTATATACGTCCCTACTGGGGCGCAGATGAAGAGGAGTGTTGCGCAGGGAAGGGAGGAGCAGGCGAGCATGGGGAGTGAGAATGAGAATTATGATCCCTTGCGCAGCTTCAACCCGCAAAGAGGGAATGAAATGGAAAGAGACAGGCAGAGGGGATTGGATCGTAGCATACTTGATACCGATGAGCCTGAAGAGGAAGGAGGAGAAGGAGGAGATGAGAGAGGAGAGGAGAGGGGGAGTAGAGCGAGTAGTGCCAGTGTGGATAACCTGGAATTGTATGATCCGATGAATCCAATGTTGGATGATCATGCTGGGGATTCTAAGCCGTATGATTCGAAGAGGTTTTGAAGGGTGAGTGGTAACGTTGCTGCTTACGCAGGGAAAGACCCGTTCGAGGATGAGATTGGTTGGGAAGAGGAAAAGGGAGAGGGTGATGAAGATGGGGATGATGACCATTTTGCGGAGGATGGATATGAGGATCTGGGATTGGGGATTGATGGTGTTGAAGATAAGAATGGGCAGGGGTCGATACAAGCAGTGGTGGGTTCTAAGGGATCTGAGACTGGGCTAGGAATTCGGGAGATGGGACCTGGATATCAAACTCAAGTTAAGGACCAAGAACAATTGCTGCAACCGGGTATCTCATCCGAGGCGCGTCTTAAACAGAAAGACACAGACAGTGGACATGAGAGCGGAGACCAAAATCAGCAATCCCATGTCAGTTATATCTTGATTGAGGAAACAGAGGAAGAGAGAGATAAAAGGACAGAGTCCGAAGGGAATATCGAGGATGTGGCAAGAGAAGATATTGACCTGGATGATCAGGAAATGGAAATCGGCTACGAGAGTGAGGATCAAGATCAAAATTCCGTCAAGTTGAGTTCAGAAGCTAGGGAAGATAAGAATCGACAGACAGATTTGGTAAGTGACCAGATCGACATTGCGGTTGAGGATGAGATTGAAATTGAGCTTGCGGACTATGAAATGGAAATCGGGTACGAAAGTGACGAGCAATATCAAGACTCTGATATCTCGGGGAAAGGTGTCAGTGAAGAAAGAACTCAGACAGGGGAGGCAGTAGAAGATGGGATTGAATTTGAAGCTGAACCCGAGGAAGGTTTTGAGCTGAACGACCAGGAGATGGAGATCAATTACGAGACCGACGATCAAGAGCAGCACTCTCAAAAGACAAACGAGTCAAAAGACCACGAAGAACAAGATTCGCAAACAGAAATCGCTGAAGACGCGAGAAGTCCAGTCAACGCCACATCGCAACAATTCTGGTCCCAACTTGTCGACAGTGCGAGAACAACTTCTTTGTCCTCCAAAACCTCTAAACAGCGCCAAGAAAGAACTACCAAACAATTCGGGAGCGCATCACACCACGGGGAGGGTATCGGAAGGTACGCTAAACGTGTTGAAGAGCGCCTCGAGGTAAGCGGAGAAAGACTCGAGCTTCATACCGAAGCTCAAGAAGATAATCTAGAGACGTTATCGAGTCAGGCATACTCGCCGTTCACGAGATCTCCTGCACCAGAACTTCCAAGTCCCGTGCATGGCTTTGGACCTCAAATCCTGCCTGTTAAGGGCTCAGGATCTCTTGTCAAGCCTAGCAGGCCAATCTTTGAACCCGACGTGTTTCGAGGTTTCGGTTCATTGAACCAAGTTGTTAACCAGGCGAGTGAACAAGCCAAGAAACTTTTTCAGCTAAACCGAGCTCAAACCTTCCAGCCTGAGATCATGAAAGAGCAATTTGTGCGCATGAATGAAGTCCTCGGTCCAATAAGCGAGTTCGCTGCGAGTGTGCAGGCAGCTCAAAAGCAACTTGGCAGCGGCTCCCGTTTCACCGCGCCTATCGAGAGGGAGATAGATCATATGCTGGAAGATAGAACGTGGAGTGAGATGAAGCGCTTGAGGCAGGTAGCTTTGGGGAGGTTGGCAGATATGGATAAGGCGGAAGGGAAACCGGCGAGGAAAGGTGGGAGTTGGAGAGAGGAGTGGAAGGAAGCTTTGAGGACGAGGGATGGTGAAGGTGAGGCTGGGGGATTGGTGTATGTGCTGACGCGGATTTGGGTGGATGGGGATGGGAAAAGGAGTGAGGATGGGGTTGAGATTGAGGTCCCGATGTCGAGTGTTATAAGGGAGGTGACAGAGGGAGGGCAACCTAGGGTTACTGATCCAGTACAACTCGTTGAGTCGGACGCTGAGGCACAAACACATGGTAACCCAGGGAGTGCCAGATATTCATCTGATGAGAAGATGATTGAACTCTTTGGCGACGAACAAGAAATGGAGTGGGATGACAGTGGGGTTTGGGATGACTCTTCCGATGTTATTGATGAGTCCCTGGATCCCGAGATACAAGAGATAGGATACCTGAATACTGCGGTGCCAGGTGAATATAGAGGGATGAGTGACGAGGATGAAGAACAGCAAGATGAGGAAGAGCAGGATTACGGAGAAGAAGATGAAGATTTCTTGGATTCGGAGTAGATGTTGGGGATAGCTTGTTTGTACTTCTGCTTTTGTAGCGAAGAGCTTGGAGACGTAACCATTTCAAATGTTAAATTGTCTACTCCTAGCAAGATCAAGGTCCGTAACTCTCTGGCCTCTTGAGAACCGAAAAATGCTGCTGCAAGGACTTAACCACTTTGAACTTGCTGTGTGATTGGATTTGACTTTCGGAATTAACAGGATTTCCAAAACCTTTCAACAATGAAAACATTATGTGGAGCACTGTAATGATACAGGGCTGAGCAAGAGGTGCTGCCTCTTGGAGGAAATAATCGAAGTGAAGAAATTAGGGAGAACTGACCTCCCATACCGTGCTATTTTCGACCAATAATGAAAGGCATGAGACATATCGAAATGGACAATACAGCCCTCGAAAGAGGAGCAATAAAACTCAGATCAAAATCCGAACTCAAGAAGCACTTACTCGTCAAGTCACCCCATCTCTCTCCTTTCTCCATAATCTGGCTCCAAAAATGATAAATTCAACAATCCCATAACGGAGCACAGCTCCGCTCAGATCTCGATCAAAACAGAAGAATCCAACCTCGGCGGTAAAGAGAGTTTGCACTACTGAAGCACTCGCTAGGACAATAGTAAATAAGCATATTCTCCGCAAGTCTCTATTATTTTCGAACACGGTACGCTAGGTACGTGACGTCCTCTATGAAACGCCCGATATGATAGAAGTATTACTGGAATGATAGGATTGAGATGATAGGGTATCATGCTTCAGAAGAAGCAGAAATCAAAAAGGTGGGAGGGCTAATGGAGGGGAGGGTCCGCGAGAGTCCGCGAGTTGTTTATGACTTGCCTAATGTGGAAGCTAGGTGCGTGAATCTTTCAGTGGTCGCATCTCTGTACTTTCTACTGAACAAGCTGCATGTTTACCGGTTCGACTTGCTGGTTTCTGATGAAGGGTAGCGTCGAACTGAGAGGAGATGTGCTAAGACGTTGTTAGAGTTGACGCTGTGGCTTTCTTTCGCTGGTGTTGTTGCAAGCTGATTTTGGAGGTCTAGAAGTTGCCTCCGGAGCAGGTCCTGTGCAAGTGCTGGAGAATATGATGGCATTTCGATTTGCGAGTAGATGCTGTGGCCGAAAGATGCATATGACCTCCCTAGAGGAGTTACCTCTTACTCGTCCCCCGAGATCTTGGAGAAAGTCCGCTGGCAACTTCATCCGAGGAACAATTCAACAGTTATCATTCCCATTGAATTCCCTTTCCGTTCTGTTCTCGACAGAGATCGAGAACGCCTATTCGTTTTCCGTGCCACCGCACCGGTTCGAAGTGAAGATCCCGAGTTCCAGAACAAAGCATCGTCATTTCTGCTCCCCTCTTCGCTCTGAAGCAAGTCCCGAGCATCTGTCAGTCCAGATTCCCCGTTCCCATGTGTGTTTGACCGCCAGGACGAACTCGCAGAACCAACCTGCCGTAGAAATGATAATCAACGCCATCCTGCATCATCTCCCACCGTCATACCACCGCCTCGATATCGTGTTTACATAACGGCGACTTAGAAGGGGTTAAAGTGGGTCTAATCCCAACTTCCTCGGTCGCCTCCATCGACCCCTTCCCCGCATGTCGATCACTGCCGAAAGTTCATATGCGCCAACCCCAGAAGCAGAATAACCTTAAAGGCTAAACCCGCAAGCTGGCTTTGTGGCTTTCGAGATTGGACGAGTCGCGATAATGAACGCAAGTCATCGCGTGGGGTCATAGTTCGAAAGAGTGCTGTGGATGGCATGAGAAGGAGAACATGCGGATCGACACTGCCGATGATGGCGTTGGTGGCTGATCTTTGGGATGGGCTTGTCTCCGCCTTGAAGGATATCAACTTTCCTTTTGCGGAGAGCAAAGGTGGGCGTGTGCTGAGTTTGGCAGTGATAATTGATTCAAGGAGCAGTATTCCTGTAAATCACAGTCCTCGACAGAGCCTATTTTCAGCTCCTCGAAACAGAGTGTTGCCCTTCTACTAAACTCACCGGTCGTAGATTTCTGTGAAATTTTGCATTTCACCCCTTCTATCTGCGCTGATAGGCAGAACCTCAGACTGACCTCACGAGTGCAATCCTGGTTATGCAACGACCAGACGACCAGAAAAAGACGACCGCCTCAACACCAACTCCACATCCTCGGTACTTTTTTCAGCAAATTCCTCTGATTCGCCATTTTCATCCTGAAGGTCAAACGGGATTAAACTTGAGTTTGAACCCCGCCGGCAGTGTCGATCCCTAAGCTTTTGGCACCTCCACATTGCTCATCAGCCGCTGTGGTAGACGCTAGACTTGGGACTAATGACAATTGTTGTCTTGCCCATTCGTAGATGGCTTGGAAGTGGCACCAAGATTTCTTTGGTTCTTGTGCCTTCATACTGACCGACTCCACTTTTATATCGTGAGGTTCCTCGGTTTGTTGTCTGTCGGCCAATTGGGTGGTAGTGATCGTCATTGCTACTCTCCTGTTTCGCTGAATTCTTGTTGACTTGAGCTGAAGTGGATGCTCAGGGATTTCGAATTGTGGATACTTCGTGGGGATTTCGAGGTAAGATGCCGAGGGAAATTCCCTATTTCGTAGGTGGTACTTTCTCATTAGTTGTTTGTGGGGAAGCCTGTTTTCTTCGCCTTGTCGATATAAGACCACAGAAAATCCCCGGAGTTGATCCACACTATATTCATATAATCACTTCATCAAGAGTTCTTTGACTTCAACTTATCCATCATGAAGTACTCTCTTGCAACCATCGCCCTGGCGGCAGAGGCTGTCACTGCGTTCCCATTTGTTGCCATGCAACCAGGCGTCGACTCCAGTTTGCTCCGTGCTCGTCAACAATCTGGTGGTGGAAATCCAGGTGGTCCGGTGACTTGCCCATACAACCCTCCTTCTAAGCACGTCCCAGCAGCACCTGTCACGGCTCAGTTCCCATATAACAACGCCAAAAATGGACAGAAAGGAAACGAGAAGGGAGGATACCAAGTTCCGGCACCTGGCGATACCGCACATCAGTTCATCGCTCCCACATCATCTGACATCCGTGGGCCGTGCCCAGGGTTGAACGCCGCTGCCAACCACGGCTTTTTGGCCCGCGACGGAATTGTCACCTTCAATGAGCTTGTCGATGCTCAACAGAATCTGTACAATGTCGGCTACGATTTGGCTCAACTCCTGGCTGTTCTCGGCCTGACGCTCGCCGATGGCGACATCGTCACCAACAGACTTTCCATTGGATGCGATGCGACAAGCAGAACCTCATTCAACCCTCTTTTGACCGGCCCACAACCTGGTCTCAACGGCCACAATAAGTTTGAGGCTGACACTTCCCTCACCAGGAACGATTTCTTCCCAACTGGCAACAACTACGAGTTCAATGGCACCCTCTTTGCCATGATGACCGAGACCACTGGTGGTCTTTATAACCGTGACAACCTTGCGAAGTACCGTTTCGAGCGATATCAACAATCTCTCCGTGACAACAAGAACTTTTACTTCGGCCCCCTATCTCTCCTCCTTTACGGAGCTTCGTCGTTCTTGTACGAGTTGATGCCCTCAGGACCAGACTACATCCCAGACAAGGCCACCATCTCATCATTCTTCGGTGCTCAAGACAATGGTGACGGAACATATTCCTTCAACAACGCGGAGAAGATTCCCGACAACTGGTACAACCGTGTTGAGCCCTACTCCAACTCAGATGTCACTACTGAGATCCTTGCTCAATACCTCGAATACCCAGTACTGTTCGGTGGTGCCACCGGTAATGGAGGATTCAACCTCATCAACTTCAACGGCATCAAGGATGGCAAGCTCATTGCTACCCCTGATACGCCAACCGCAACTTGTCTTCTGTACCAACTTGCTACTGAGCGTGTTCCATCGTCGTTGAACGGTATCATCACTCCTACTGTTGAGACTCTCTCATTCGTCTTGGGCAAGCTCTCCCCAGCAATGAAGAATCTTGGTTGCCCAATTCCCCTGACATAAAGACATCGGAGGAACTATGGTCTGGATAAGGTCCACTTTGAGGAAGGTTGTCAAGTGCTGCGGCTCGCGCGCTGACCCGCATCCGGTGGCATGTTGCTGAGATTTTTGTTGTTTATTCATAGCGATTTCTGGGAATCTTTCGATGATGGATTGAAAACTTGTATATAGTTCGTTTCTCAACCTGGAATAGAAGTCTGCTGCACTTCCATCAATTTGGCCCACATCCTGTGATTTGACAAGTCGTGATTTGAACTCAGACAATATTTGCCAATTGGCTGTCATGGATGCCTTGCATCGTGTGGCTCCAGAGGCAGTATTGGACTCTGCGTAGGTTTGGCAATTGAATTCCATCGATAAATCATGTGAACCCTAAGCTTGTAGTACCTACATCATAGCAATGCCATATCGCTGTGGAGGATCTCTTGGGGAGCTCTTCGGGAGATCCCATTGTGCCTGTACCAATGGAAGACTACAATCACAAGAGAAGGAGCTTCGGCACGGAGATAGTGCCTTTTCATACGCTGCGATATCGAGAGCGAATTTGATGAAGCTATTGATGAAGCTATCGAAGTTCGATGTTGATACGAGTCGAAGTGTTTGATATCACAGCAAGCACGTGCAAAATCTATTTTTACCTCATCCCTCCACCAATCAATCTCGCTTCTCTCATCCCTGCTCCGTACAGTACCCAGATCTAACCTCAACTTCTCACCGATCACCAGGATACACTCGGCACAATAATCAGCAGCCTCCTGCGCGTGACACCTTGGTGGCGTCTGGGTGTACTCGATACGGTAACGATTATGATACCGGTAAGTAGGTAAGGGGCGGGTAGATTGTTGTTTCTTTTCGACTGTTTGAATTGATTTTGCGTTGTGATTGTTCGCTGGTCTCGTTTGTCAATTAATCTTTAAGGCTGAACGTACTGGTACAACACGGCTTCGGGTGACTGTGTTATCACTGACCAGTTGAGCCGTAAATGCCTCATTCTATACCGAGATGGGTACTCCCTCTTTCTACACTTTATCTTCGGGAGCTAGCAGTGTCACGGTAAGCTGCATTTACCTCTTCCAAGCTCAGACGGATTACATGCTGATTCTTGCTGGATACCTACCCAGGATGATTATCCATTGACGCCTTCCACCCCATCGCTTCACGATACAGCGAAGTCCTCATTTCATATCAGTGACATTGGGTCTTTCGCGGAGAGCTTGCAAGATGTAATTTCCTCTCTTCTTTCTATTCCAGTGCCCTATTCACACTCCACGCAGGCAGCAAATCAAGCCTTCCCCAACCGTGGCCGTTCCCGCTACCACACCGTGAACGTCTGTCTCATCCGCTGGGCGGAGGACACCCTGAATATCAAGCCGGAGCTCGACGCTCTGCACGACACCTTCTGCCAACTCTACGGCTTCAACACCGAAATATGGCTCATCCCATCCTCCGCCTCCCAAATTCAACTAACGTCCATGACATGCACTTTTCTTCAGAAATTCGACGAGGGAGGCAATCTGTTTGTTGTCTACTATGGCGGACATGGGACTATTAATTCTGCAAGGCAGAACATGTGGTGGTGTTCCCGGGAGCGCGATTCACCATTCGTGGATTGGAGTGCCATCCAGACATTATTCGGGAGCGCGAGGAGTGATGTGTTGATCTTACTTGATTGTTGTGCGGCTGCTAGTTCGGCTGCTGGGATGGGGCCAGGGACTATGGAAGCCATTGCTGCCTGTGGATGGGAAACTAGAGCGCCGCCTCCGGGACAGTATTCATTCACGAATACTCTGATTGAGGTGCTTGAAGAGTGGTCAAGTAAACCTTCATTCTCGGCGGCCATGTTGCATACGGAGGTGTTGTTTGTGTTGAAGCAGAAGAGGCCGGAGAGAGGGAGGGATGGGAGGTTGTTGGAATGGTGTGCTACGCCTGTGCATTGGGTTTACACTGGAGACCCAAAGGCGAGGGGAATTGAGATTGCAAGTTTGAGGGGAGATAGGGAAGAATTGGGCGGTAAGTTGGTTGGGAAAGGAAAGGAGAAGGAGAAGGATAGAGGTGCTGTGGGAGGAGGTGTGAGGAGCACGGCGTGGGTGGATGCTATGGATTTGGACGATGAAGACGTTTTGGTCAATCCGTTGACTGATGTCAAGCCAAATGGAGAGTATAGAGTTCCGCATGTCCTGATCTCAATTGCTCTTGAGGGAGATCAGGGGACGTTGGACGCGGCGAGTTGTAGGCGATGGTTAGGAGGTCAGTATTTGTGTCCATTCCCACCCATTACGAGCTATGTTTTCCCCATCTCTCTTCTACCCTCAAGCACAAGCTAAAAACTCTCCAGAATTCCCTGCCCTCGCAAAATACGCCACTGTCGAAGGGGTCTACAAATCCTACTCCACCCTCCTAACCCTCTCCGTCCCACTCACAGTCTGGGATCTCCTCCCGAATGACCCAGCATGCTCCTTCATCGGATACATCACAACACCCAACAAACACCGACCTGCCATGCGATCAGGCATCAACTCGCCTTACGGAAGAGGATCGTTTTCTTCGATGTATAATCGACCAATGTTGGGCAGACCGCGGAAAGCTGATGGGAAGTTGAGGAGTGCGGATAGTTCGTATGGGTCGGATGGCGGGGAGAGTAGTGGGAGTGAAGGGGAGGGAGATGAGGAGTGGGTTGGGTATGTACTATCATCACCCCATAATTTTCTTTCTCATATTCAAATCGCGCTATTTGGAAAGAAATAAAAGCTAACTCAAGATCCAACAGCAATGAAGCCCGTCCATACTGGCACCCCATGCGCCCCACCCGCCTCCACGACATATCAGACCATTCCGAAGAAGACGAGGGCGACGATTGCGCTCTTTCAGATAGCCCATCACCATCCTTATCATCCATTAAAACCATCTCCAGTTTCAACTCCAAATCCAGCTCTGCTTTCAGGTCAAGCTCACTTCCCCGAGCATCTGGACCAAGCACCGCTTCTCATCTTGGAGTCGAGACGGGCGGAGTCTCGCTCATTTCATCTATGCTGCAAGATCAAAAGCTAGTCGAGGATGAAGTGCCGACCAAACCAATTGATATTGATGTGAAGGGGAAGGGAAAGGCACAAAAGATCAAGTGGAGATATAGATCCCCAGAACAACTTGCTCTTACTCCTGCGGCGGCAAGGAGGAATCTGTTGTTGGGTGAGGAGTGGAGAGAAGTATGGATGGACTCAAGAAGACGGGACGGTGAGCTGGAAAGAGTTGGGAGAGGTGAGGAGAGGAGGGATGACACTGCAAGTCGGCGGTCGAGGTCTGTTTGAAGCGAGGGACTGAGAGTCGAAATGTATCCGGAGACAAGGAGTCTGGAGGGGACTAATGTTATATCTTCCTGGAGTTGAGTGAATCAGCATATTCACTTGGGCCCTAGTTCTGCTTGGGATGGCGTTATGAAATACGAGTTCACGGTCTCCAAACTGTAGAGCGTACGGTTGAGGAACTTACCGAAATCTTTAGAGATTAGTCTTCTCATTTACTTACATTCACATCGACTTGTGTGCACGATGTACTCTGTTCCATCAAGCAGGATGTGCTGTGTTTTCGTTTCCCCTCGTCTCCTCATCCTCGCTTATTGTTCCTCTCCGAAATAGGCGACCTCAGTTCATTACCTCCTCACCTCTACCAGGAAAACCAACGAACGACCTTACACGATCCACTCACCTTCGAAGACAAGAGCTGGTACCAAAAATATCCTCGAATTCACTTACCACTCCAAAATTCTCAGGCCGAAAATTACCTGCACAATGACTCCACCTGCGTCCATAGATATACCTCCCCTTTCTTTGTTCACTGCGTCATCTACTACACGACACGACATATCCCCGACAGATCGAGATCAGTCTTTTACTCGGGCTTGGAACAGAGAGGCAAGACAGTTTCATCGGCGGTATCAAGAGACACGGAGACAGAGACTGAAAGGCAGAGACGGAGAGATGGACCTGGAAATGGGGAGAGCAAGAGATAAAGGTGGAGGGCAAGCCATTGTGTATCATGCCACTTGCTCTTCTCGAGACGGTATGAATAGACAGGGAGCTGGGCTAGGCTCTGGACTAGGAGGACGTTCTCACCCACATTCTGATTTTCAATTTCCTGCACGTTCTCGATCTCGGTCACACTCGCGCTCGCGCTCAAGAACTCGGTCTTCGTTTCCAGATCAAGGGCAAGACCAACAAAATGAGCAATTGGATGAGGAATTTGATGAAGAGAATGTGGAAGAGCAAGAGCAAGAGGAAACTCGATCTCAATTGGGACGAAAGTGGAATCAATGGGCGGCAGCCGACAACAGCGATACAGAGAGTACGAATACGGATGATAGCTCGTCCGCTGGGCTGGGGATCAACTTCTATGATCATATGGGTGTTGGGAGGAGAAGTGTTGTGTTTGAAAGTGTTAAGACGAGGGATTTGGAAGAGATGCTTGTGTATGAACGAGGAGGAGAGCATGATGAGGAGGCAGAGGGATGGAATGAAGAAAGCGAAGACGAAGAGATTGGATACGAAGCACTTGAGGTTCTTTACCAACAAGGAAATCCAGTTGGAAACCCAAATTACAAGAACACATACGCTGAGCAGCTCACCAGTAATGGACACACGCTCCGAGCACAGTATCAACAACAAGAGCTGCAAACGCCGTCTATCTCATCCCTCTACGACAAGACGCCGAGACCATTCCAAGCTTCCCCTCAACCCCTAAAGTCGCCAGACACTAACATCGAACTGCTCACACCGAAACTGCTTGCACCCATTCAAGATTCAGACTGGGACCACGATGCGCCACTCGATCTGATAGACAAGTACCTGGAGCACAATTACCGCGAGCAGGCTGAGACGTTCGTCAGGATCGCGAGTCGAGAGACGCCTGTTCGTGCATTGTTTAGTACGAGCAGAGCTGCTAGTAGCAGTGCCGGTTCCGGATCACAGCCAGGATCTCGCTCTCACTCCGGGAATAATCGTGAGAACCGGAGGAGGTCTGTGTTGGGATTAAGTGCCAGTGCAAGTGGTGACATTGAAGGTGACGGTGATGCTGACAATGACATTGGAGTTGGGCTGGGATTGGGGCTTGGTCTTGGCATAGCCACAGTGGATGAAGCACCTGCACGTCCAGTGGCTAAATCGGCTGAAATGCCCGTAGTGGATCCGCCCAGCCAGTCGCCGAGCCCTGAAGGTGCCGCAGCCGGGTCGTCCAACACGAGGACCAACGACGACGAAACGTCGCCCTCTCCCTCTGTCGCTCTCATCGTCTTCGAAGATCAAATTGAACAACAGAAGGAGAACGAAAGCCCCTCCGAGCATCACTTGTTGAATCTGCAGTTTCGAAACGGTCAGAAGTCGACTCTGACTCGCAGTACAAGCAGCTCATCCAGTCTCTCGATTCCGGTCCAGCCAGCATCTAAGATCCAACGAGCAAGCAACCTCAGAGCACAAAGAACAGGAAGCGGATCCAGTCCCTCAGTCTCTCTGCCTTCCAGATCACCCTCTTCTCCCTCGACGCTCGGCACAAGTCCACTCACCCTCCGCCATTCCGGAAGTACACTGCGCATCCCTCTGCACCTCACCTCGAAATCAACGATCGTAAAGCGCTCTTCTCGACCTCTGACCTCCTCCACGACAGCCACAAGTGCCACACCTACATCGAAGTCCCGCCCCTCGAGTCAGATTGCCCGCGGACCCGAATACTTCACCCACGAAGAACGACTGTACATAGCGAAACTTGTGCACGTTGAGGCGAGAAGTTGCGAGAGACATACGAATTGTAAGGATTGTATTGATACAGAGTACGCGTACTACGAGAACAAGTTTTTGCCACGCAATATGGATCCAGAGCAGAGACAGAAGATTATTAACAATAATCGGTCGTTGAGGAATATCAAGAATGTAGGTTTATTTTGTTACATTTCCTTCCTGTCCCAGCGACTTGGATCTCAGACCCTAGCACCTGGAAGTCATGCAGGCCGGAGCTTAAGCTTATTTTTAGGGTATCGATCAGTACTAACCATTCAATAGGAACTGGAGAGCCTCGCCGAACATGGAGCTATCAGCGATGAGGTCTACGACACCATCATGGCTGCTTTACCTGCAGAGTCCTCCCTAGGTGGATCTGCTCACAGCAACCCTACGCCTGTCCAAGCACAAGCACAAGCACAAGCTCCCGCTCCAGCCCAGGCACCTACCAATGCTTTCAACAACATGCGTCTCAATGACCCTCCTCCACCAGCATATACCACACCCGCTGCTCCCTCTCTACCAAACCGGGCGCCTTCTGCTGCCCCTGCGAAGCCTGAAATCGCTCGTGCTACGGCGTTGTACAGATATGCAGAGCCAGATGACTGTACCTTTGAGCCCGGTGACCAGATCGCCGTACACGAGTACATGAAGTAAGTTTCCATTTCCCCCTTTTGCAACTTCAAAATAAGGGCTAACACCCTCCAGCAACGACTGGTGGCTCGGCCGCAACCTCCGCACCGGGAAAGAAGGCGTCTTCCCCGTAAACTACGTCCAAGTCATCCCCTCCCAACCCCAAGGACCACCCAGCATGCACGGCGCCTACGGCAACGAGAAAGCCAACTACAACAACGCATATCCAGGCCAGTATCAACCACAGCAACAAGGTCCTCCCCCTCCAGGCCCAAGCAACCCATATGACAGCTCCGTCCCACCTATGGCTATTGCTGAGGAACCAAGTAAGCCTGGTAAGGGTCAGGAGATGGGCAAGAAGTTTGGGAGGAAGCTTGGGAATGCGGCGATTTTTGGTGCCGGTGCTACGATTGGTGGGAATATTGTTAATAGCATCTTTTAGGAGTTGTCTACTGTTTGGTTTCTCAAGAGGTTGGGCGTATTGTTCAGCGCGATGGGATGCTGAAGTGGTTGGTATGATGGATATGATGAGGAAATGAAGCTTGTGCATTGCTTGCTTTGTTTCTTTCACGAGAGAATCTCGTTCGGGCGTTTTGGATGGCGCGTTTGTGATTTGCTTTTACATTGCATGGCTCTAAGGAGCACGCTTCGCATGAGTAGGAGACAAGTACCTCGGATAACGCGCTATTTGGAACTCCTCGATAATGACGTTCTTTTGGAATTCAGATGTGGCATCCTCAATTTAGGAGGCTTCGAGTTGCATACTGCTGAAGCGCAATTCAAGAGTGATTCGAATCGTCGGGAAAGTCAAATGTTCATAGATAATGAATGCATTTCCATCTACATTGTGACTTCTTGTTCTGAATTGCACTGTAAGATCTCTGAATTTAAGGGATGATTGGCCAATCACATTCAGTTCTTACCCTAAATGTCCAAGGACCTAAAGAATACCTGAGGGTAGGTAGACGACGATGTTCCCCTGCTTGGCAGAGTCCACATGTCAGAACTTTAATAAAATTCCCATCCCATGGACAAGAACGAACTTGGCGCTTCTTAATTACTGAAAATCTGCATATCACCAAAATTACCATTTCACTGGACAGACAGATAGACAGCCTAATGTACCCCGGTATCTCAACAAGAAGTGCAGTGGAAGGGCAATCACGTGCCAATGGAAAACATGGAACCCTCCTTTTCGGCGTTAAGAATCGAGTTAAAGTTTGAGGGAAAGTGTCGACGTCAGGATCTACCCCGCAGACCCCTCTTCCGTTAGAAAAAGCTTCTTCTTCTCGACCACCTCACCTCACCTCTCTTTTCAATTCAACGTGAATTCAAGACGTCAACTATCTCATGAACAGCAGGCTCTTGTTTCGAACTGCATTTCCAAGATCGACATTCTCAACAGCTCAATTGACCAGAGCTTTACCAACAACAGTAACAGCAACAAGAAGGCTTAGAGCCTCATCTGTACAATCTCAGTTCGGCAAAAGAAGATTTTCGACATCAATAGAAAGACAAGTCAAAATGGCTCAAGTCCAGGGACAACACGGTCATAGTGCGGCATGCTGTAGTATCCCTCCTATTGTTGCGAAGGGGTATGAGGAGAAGGGGAAGTATGAGACGATTGGGGGGTTGAAGACTTGTGAGCCTGTTTTTTTTTCTTCTTCTCATCTTCATGTCTTTGATTTCTGAATGAAACTTTTTTCGAGTTGAAGAGAAGAATTGAGGTTGGATTTGAGAAACAGGAATGCTGATACTCTTGATGATAGATGTCACTGGATCGGGCAATGCTTCGAAGGGATTGCTGTATATCTATGATGTGAGTGTAACACTTCTCCACTATGAATTCCACCGCGTCTTGATTCACCTATCACTGACTCCCATCCCATGTCATTAATTCCAAAACGCTCTCAGAAATGAATTAGCCACTGACCTGACCCTCACAACTAGATCTTCGGCTACTTCCCACAGTCAATCCAAGGTGCTGATATCCTCGCTACTAGCGATAAGGATAATCAGTATCAAGTTTTCATCCCTGATTGGTTTGAAGGCAAGCCTGCTGATATCTCATGGTAAGTTCTCCTCCTTAACAAATATGTTCATCTCCTTTTCCGGGTGACAGATCCTCACAAACCAAAAGAGTAAGAAAACTTATGAGATTTGAATAGGTATCCACCCGACAACGAAGAGAAGGGAAAGAAACTTGGCAACTTCTTCCAGGTATGTCATTTCCCTTTTTAGTAAATTTTAACGAAGACGACAATACTGACCAATCCCCCAGACCACCGGTGCACCCCCCACAACCGCCTCCAAAGTCCCCACCATAATCGAAGCCCTCACCAAAGCCTACCCCAGCATCAAAACCTGGGGCGTAATCGGTTTCTGCTGGGGCGGCAAAATCGTCTCCCTCACCACCTCCACACCATCCACGCCCTTCAAAGCAGCCGCCGAATGCCACCCCGCAATGGTCGACCCTTCCGAAGCGTCAGGCATCAAGATCCCATTGTGTATGCTAGCCAGCAAGGACGAGCCTAAGGAGGATGTCGAGAAGTTCGAGAAGAATTTGAAGGGCGAGAAGCATGTGGAGATCTTTGCGGATCAGGTTCATGGGTGGATGGCTGCGAGGGCGGATTTGGAGGATGAGAGGGTTAAGAGTGAGTATGAGCGGGGGTATAAGACTTTGTTGGAGTTCTTTGCGAAGCATATGTGAGTGGTAAGCTCGAGGCTGAAGTTACTGCTCTGCCTTGGTTTGCTTGGCGGCAACTCGTCAGAGACTGATGCGGGTACAGACATGAGGGTGGTGCGAAGCTTTAGGTGTGTTTGTTCTGATATGATCCGTAAATGGGGGATGAAAGGCCTGGTAGCTAAACTCACTTTTCACAATTACCTAGAAAAACACTACAATACAGCAATTCCTTTCTTGACTCGTTCACTCAAGCACTCACGCACTCACCAAAAGATAGCTGGTGAACACTGGCACCGTGGGAAGGCAACACATGCCTCTTTAAATCACAAGAGTGAAAGTCTCGGAAGCAACAGAAGCAATGTCAGCGCCACTTCAACCAACTATCGTATCTCATGAACGTAGACCTTATATCTTTCGTCGCGTTTCTCATTCTATTTCTCATATTCCTCCACATCCGCACACTCCCTTAAACACTGGCCGATACTTGCGGGTTGAAGTAAACCGTCATAATACCCTCAACACCAAGAGTCTTCACACCAGCCTATTCATCATCACAAGTTAGCACTTATTATCTAAAATCTCCCCTTTCCCGTCTCTCTCCCTCTATTTGCTTGTGCCATCCGGCCCTGACTATATCTCCGACACAGATTTCCTTAGATCTGCCCTCTCCCCCTCCTCAACCAAACCACCATCCCTTCCCACTGCCATTCTCCTCGCTCCCTCAAAACCCCAACATAAACAGAAGCAAACCCAGTCAACTCACCTTCAACTCCTTATGCGCCTCACACGCCTCATCATAAAACTTCATGTCCTCCAAACTCCCAAACTCACTCTTCGCAATCAGCGTGTAGCCTTGGGATCTCACGTCATCGTGTGCGGGCCCGGCTTCGAGGGAGAGGATGTAGGGGGATCCGTCCTGTTTTGTGGGAGAGATTAGACTTGATGGTTTTTAAGTTTGAAGTAGGTAGGAGGGGACGGAGAGGGAGAGCCGGAGGGAGGGATTGGGTAAGAGGAAGGGAATGGGGAAGGAGAAGGGGAGGAGAAGGGAAGGGAGAGGAGGGAGATAGGAATTACCTTCTTCGCAGTCTGGCTGAGAATTTTATATAATCCCAAGAGCTTCTGCTGGTTCTCCTTGGAGGGGATCTTGAACATTGTAACGCGGATGGTTTTGCCTGCCATTTTTGCGGTATTTCCTTCCCTAAACCTAGAGGCAAATCTCGATGATCTCGTTGTTTGATTTTGGTTGTGTATTTGAAAGTCCGGTACGATACACTGCAGGAGCTGGTACGAATTGAGAAGTACTGCTTGTATTATCTGATACGGAGAAACTTTACAAGAAGAGAAGAAGGAGAAGGAGAAGGAGAGAATCGGAATCGGAGAAATTGGAAAGTCTAATGTGTTTGGCGTTCCACGCAAGACTTTAGATGGGACAAGGTATTTCTCCGTGTCCAGGTGGAGGGAAGCTTAGAAATGAGGGGTCGGATAAGGGCGGAATGGCGGGGTCAAAGTCAGGGGTGCGGAACTGGCCGCGGGGAATGGAGAATATTAGGTACCCCACTATTGACTTGGATCGGGACTTTCGGATGTGTAGGTTTATCGTGGGCAAGAAGCAAAGTAAATATGAAATATACAGGAATTGCTGAGATGATAAGAATCGCTTCTTTACAGGATTCGTTTTTACGGGAAATGTTTTGATATTCGTAAATTTGATTAGTCGGTGGTGTATCCACCTACTTGGGCAATTCTACCCCGCCAGGTTGAAGTTTACTCCAATTTTCCACCACACCTTTCTCAATATCAGGGATTGGTCCCATCGGTGTGATGGCTTTGGGGTTGATATCTCCATGACTCTTTGTATACTATTAAATCCGATTAGCACCCTCCAATTCGTAAAAGCTCGTCCAATTCAAAGAAACAGTAGAAGAAATACTCACATTCTCCTTAATATGCTTAAAATCCGTCGTCTCCCTAAACCCCTCCACATTCCAATACAAATTGCTCAACCACGCATTCAGCACCGGATAATCATGTCTAATAGTCCCCAAATTACACTTAAAATGCTGCACATACACCACGTCGAACCTCACCACTGTAGGATACAACCTCAAATCCAACTCTGTCAACCTCTCGCCCAATACATACGGTCCACCATTCTCATGAATGATCTTCTCGAGCCGGTTTAGAGCTTGGAAAACAGGAACGACGTTCTCATCATACGTTTCCTGATCTGGTGCGAACCCTGCTTTGTAGACTCCAGAATTGAGATCCGCTTGCATCCACGCCCCAATCTCGTCGATCTTTCCTCTCAAGTCCTCGGGATATAAATCCAACTCTTTGTATTTCCCATCTAGCATCGAATTCCACCCCTCATTCCAATTCCTCAACATCTCCAAACTCTCATTATTAACCAAGCAATCATTCTTTGTATCCCAGAGTACAGGCACGCTGTACCGGCCCTTGTAGTCTGGTTTGTCTCGGAAATAGATACTGTGCATGTATGGGCTGTTGAAGAGATGGTCGGGCGTGGAGCCTGAGTACGGTTCTGATTCAGAGGGGAATTTCCAGCCGGGATAGCCTGTTGAGTCGCCTTTTGGGTAGGGTTTGACGATTGAGATGGGGATGGCGGTGGTGAGGCCTTTGAGGTGGCGGATTAGGTTTACGCGGTGCGCGAAGGGGCAGAAGAGGCCTACGATGTAGTTAGAATTGTAACTTTGGGAAGGTGCTGGGAGAGAGGGGGAGACACAGACCAATGTAGAGGTGGTAGCGGCCTGCTTCTGGGGGAAATGGTCCTCCGTCGGAGATTTGGCCGTGCCAGGCTCCGTCTTTGAATGTTGATTCTGGAGGTGATTTTGAAGCCATGTTGAGGTGTTGTTGAATCTGCGAGATCCGGCTCATAGACTACTGCGGGGTTTCATTCGAGTGTGGTGGGGGAACTGCTGGATATACAATATCTCCTGTCAGATGTAGGAAACTGCGGGGTCGCCGAAGCTCCGTGAAGTAGCCTTGCATGCGCGGCTAGGAGTCAGCCTTCCCTGCACGTTATTGTGCCATTGCTTGCAAAAAGGTGGAAAATGACATAACATATCGAGAAAGATATGTTTCAAGGATTAGCATGATTCGTAATTGTAGTTTCCAAATCAAGTCGGATGGCCGATCGCAAAGTGGATTGATCAGGGTGGTGGATTCGCTTATTTCTTGATCAACAAACAAACAATGTTACTCTGGGAGAGAGGTTGCCGGAGGTACGATTTGTGACTTAAATCATGTACACAGCATATCATACCTCTGCGGAATACTTCTCATTGTTCGAATGCAACAGATGTGTTTCAGCAGCGACTTTTTGTTCTGCGACTGGGAGTTTGTGATCCTGGCTCATCGTGATCCTGGCTCATTGTGATCTTGGTACACTTGGTAAGATTGGGTATCAGGCTAGCACCAAATTCAAAAATGTTTTGCAAAGTGAACTCTTGAGAAAGCGTATTTGACTATCTTTTCCTATATGCCAAGGCTTCCACAAGGCTCTGTCTTGACCATCTTCAACTCTCTCATTCTCAACTATAGTCACCTCGCATTCGTTGCCAACCACTCTCAATATTGCCCACTCGAGTTGCGATAACAACACCTAGATAATTTATCACGATTTGAATACTCGAAGAGTATATTATACTGATCAAGATGTGTACGTTTCCCTTATTCTGATTTGGTGGGGCTAATAGCTGACCCCATAATTAGCCTCTCCTGATCTTATTCTTCTTGCTCTGGAGAAAGAGCGTCAAAACTTGATCAAAGCGATACAAGAAAGTAACAAGAGTGGTAAGATTACGTCGCCATGCAATCTTCATTAAAGACTCTTCTTGCTAATCATATCAACAAGCTGTGGCAGCCACTGCAGAATATCAGAAAGCCATCACCCAAAAGCATTCTGCTTTCAGTGACACGAGTCGCAAGTGTTCGTCCTATCTCTCTGGAACTACCAGAACCTCAGTTGACAAATATTGCAGACCGCAGATGGGTTGACCGACAAGCACGAAAACTCGATGCAAGACTCGACAAGAAACGCAAGCAGATGGAGAGGAACAAAAAGACGATGGGGTTGAGGAAGAACGTACTCATGGCAGAGATTGAAAGTCGTGAGTTTGAACCTCAATTTTCTTCTCAGGTGGTTTAATTTTGTTGAACAAAGGCTGACCCTGATTCAGTTCATGCTAAGATTGCCCAAGCCGAAATTGAGCGAATAATCAAAATCACAGAGGCAACCAAGCAACTCGAGGAAGTCGAAGAAAGAGCCAGGGAGACCAAGTTGGAAACCACAATTCGATTAGCTAGATCTCGGGCTCCATCTCCTGAGCCACAACATTCGACTTCAAACACGATCAGATCGAACCGAGTCGTACCATCTCCATTGCCTACCGAAGCTAAACACCAAATACCATGCCGTGCCGAATCTTCTCAACGAGTAAGACAATTGTGCAGCAACACCCTTTCAACCTCTACTGCGAACCTTCCCGAGAGAATCTGCTCCAAACCTTCATATAGAAAGATAATCTGGAAAGTCACCTACAAAACCGACTCTCCCCGTCCTTTGCCGTTCAATACCGCTATCCAACGCCCCAATCCGAAACCTATCGGCGAGAAGAACAATCGCATAGGAAAGAGGCAAAATAATATTAATCCATCTTCTAAATACATTTCTGAAGAATACGACCATTCAGAGGTGTTCGAGGAGCCTGATAACCCTGCTGATGAGGATTATGATCCCGAGATTGAGGATTAGAGAAGTTTCATCTGGGGGTTGAGGGGTGGATCTTGTGGAGATTGAAAAGACATTTGGGATATATGTGGACTTGGGAGGGAGGATTGAGGATATGGGTTATATGCTTGAGGATGGTTTTTACGAGGCGCAGTGAGGGGAAATTTTAAGGGGTATTGGAAAGGAGGGGTTAAGGACTGAGAAAGGAGCACGCACGAAGGAAATGGATCTAATTTGTGGTAGCTGGAACAAATATAAGGCGTGAATGGGTTAATGACTTATTCCATCACAATTCCTAATCTTGAAAGTTTTCAAACTAAAGGTATTGTGATTTTCATTTTCTCTGACTCTAGAAATTGTGTCAGGAACGATATGTCCTCCATTCGACTAAATCCGGAGACGATACATGCGATACAAGAACACTATTATAGGAACCAAATTTTACATCAGTGATGGTTTTAGACTTCTACTACCACACTCAAAATTCTACAAGCTTGAGCTGAAAGTGGCCTGTTTTCTCCATCTCAGCCAAGGTAAACACACCACGCTCGCTTAGTCCTGATACTGCTGCCAACTCAGAGACTTCGAATTCATGTTACAAAGGCTCCTCGACATATATAAATGCGTCCAATTTACAATATTACAATCTGAGATGTACATGAAAATGCTGCGGATACGATGAATGGCCAAGGTAAGCAGAACTGTTCCATGGCTTGCACGGCACAAATGATGAATTCAAACTCGAACTAAACGGACGAACGGACTTTGCATTCTCTTATCGCAAAGCTGTGGAGACCATCGATTATCCAACGTAAAAAATCAACGAAAGGGCACATATGAAGCTCGTCAAAGCACTTTCCAGCATCTCCAAATAGCTGCAACTATACAACATCCTCCAAATCAAACACCATCATAGCCTGTGTTTTCTCTCTCCAAACTCACCGCATTGTCTAATCTCCTCGAGCCTCTTGTATAAATGTGATTCGCCCTCTCAAGTCCATAGAATCCAACGCAAAACACGTTCCTCTCAGGCTCAGACGCATCCACATTCACTGTCTCCCAATCTCAATTTAACTTACATACTCACGCGCAACGATTGGTCTCGAGAATGGACGTCCAGCAATCATCGGTACGATCTTCTTCGGTTTCTCAGGTGCGTAAGCCTTGGCGGTAATGTCATCGAGCACTTCTTGACTGTACTCGTAGTTTGGGTAGTTGTTTGCCCAGGATGGGCGGGAGTGGGAATGGTCGTCTGGGATTGGGAAACTTTCATCGTCGAGTTGAAGATCGAGGTCCACACCCAGTCTAGTTCGCTGGCGTGAGCCGGCATCGATGTAGCCCTGATTGCGGTTTTGTAGTTCTTGATCCTCCATGCGAATGAAACTCTCGGTACCCGGCTCCATTTCCCAGTGCCAATCGTCGACTTTTTCCTTGTAACGAGATTCTCGTGATGATGGCCGCGGCTCAACGTTACCGTCGAACTTTCGCACCAGATTTCTCTGTGGCCCAGTCCTATACTGGCCGTCCATCTGTATCGAATTTCCTCTCATGACAAATTCGTCCCGAGGTTCATGTTGAATAGCGTGCAGATTGGTGTCATGTCTTCCATCCTCAGAAAAGTCTTTGTCCACGTAACCAGGTATAGGAATTCGGTTTTCCCAATCGATTGACTGAGTCGGAACCTTGTACCATCCAGCAGCAACCTGGGTGGAAACCAGAGCAATAACCTTAAGCCTTGGAGGTTTAAGTCCAGCCTCCAATTTGAACGCATTTTGGACGCGGTATGTGGCTTCGTGATCTTTGAAGATGGAGTAATCCATGTTGCCTGATTTCCAGCGGATGAGGAGTTCGACGGGTGACCAATCACGCCAATTCATGTAATCTGACTGTGTCACGTTGTTAAATCGCCAGTACTTAAGTTTGAGTGTGCCGCGAAGAGGGCGCTGGGGCTCACCTCCTTTTGGATCTCCATCTCCAAATGCTGGATCCGCTGTTTGTGTACATTCCTCAACTCTCGATACCACTCCTTCTGCTCCATCGCAAGCTCAGTATGACGATTTCGAGCAGATTCTGACCCAAAAGAGAGTGAGTCCCATTCCGTGTAGAGTTGATGCTCGATGTTGGCCACTTGAAGTGTGAGCTCATAATTGGCTTTCCTGGCAGCTTTCAGACGTTGTTGGAGGGAGTTGAGCCTTTTTGCTGGCATTCTGTTAGACGGTGTGAAAGATTGGCTTGGCATATTTGCAAGTGTTGAGGGTTGCGTACAGTCAGGGTCCAAGCGACTCAGATTTGTGACCGGAGGTAGCTGAATTGGAGCGTAATCGACTTCTTCGGAACTGCTGGAACGATCTAAAACGTCTCTGGTGGTGGTGTTTAAACGAAAAGGTGCCATTACTGGTAACATATTTGAGATTTTATGGTGCGTAGCAGAGGAAAGTTGAGTTATAGAAGTATTTTGAAAGTGGGACCCAAGAGCCCTTAGACAATTGACTGTTGACCAGACCTGATCGCTATTGAGACAAGAAGTGACAATCAAATGGGAGAGGTCTAAAAAGTACAAGTTTACCAGTATTCACCAGAATATTTACTTTTTGCGTTGGTCAGTTAGAGTTTCCAAGCATTCTCAGTGAGAGAATCAGTAGACTTTAGATATTTCCAAGCGGTGAGGAGTCGGATGCTGCTACTCAGTAGTCTTGATACCGCTTCTTGACCAAATTCATATGGCAAATGGCAGTCCTTCAGTCCCTCTGCTAAAGACAGACGTTCCACAGTTCCCACCAATTCAATTCATGGGAGGATTATGCACGTCTTGGCATGGGTTGATTAGTAAACAATTAAGCGAGGTTTCAGAATATTATATTCAAAGCCTGGACTTCACGAACATAAATAAAAAGGAGCCAAAGAATTAGGATAAATCTGAATAGCTCTTTTGGATGAACGAATAGTACACCAGTGTGGAAAAGGGCACCACTTAAAGCCAGAGGTCAGGCTGGGAGTAATAACTCACAGCGGTTCTCCCAAATAGAAAATAAGTGCCAAGAGTCTTTGAAAGAATTTTTCTGAGAGGCCCTAATCTGTTCTTTCACCAAGAATGGTTGAGGTAGCTACCAGCCCGAACTTTATCAACTTGAACCGCACAAACAATCTCTATCATTACTCGTATGCTAAGAATTATGCGTACGCAGCCCAGGCTATCAAGTGCCTTCCTTCGTAGAAAATATGCTCTCAAAGTTCATTACATCCACCACAACCACAGCAGGTCTCCTTCTTGACCGTCTTTCCCTTGCTGCCTCCCTTCCTCGTGATCTCGTTCTCCATCGCAACTTCAGCCTTGCCACTGTCTTTGACATCAAGACTCTTGTCGAACTGCTCAGCGAACTCGTTGTCCTTCTTAACTTTGATGCGTTTCTTCTCGATCTCCTTTTCGGACTCAAGGTCAAAATTGAATGAGGTTAGGGCGTCGTGGATGGCACTCTATGAGGGCCCAGAGAAGTCAGCCGTGATTTAGAGGAGGTGTGGAACAGCAGCATGTAGCCTGAAGATGAAGAAAGAGACGAAATGTTCTACGCACCATGTTATCACTGGCGTAAGCACTAGAGAGTTGATTGAGGGAGTCGTTGAGTCTTTGAGAATTCGGAGTGGGCTTTGCGTGAGCAGTAACGTCCTCCTTCTTCACCTTGAACTGAAAATTTTTCCGTGAGGTAGCTGTTCCTATCATGTCAGTAAACGTCTTTTATATTCGAGGGTGGTGCTACATACACATTTCAATTGTAATCCTATTGTTTGGCTTGAATGTAGTGAGGTTTACTTCGTTGCTCTGCAAATTCGATGTGGTGCGAGGTAGTTTGTGTGTGGATGTGGAGGAAGCACGAAGAAGTTTATTGAGGCAAACCTAGGTACGGGTTTTGAAGACGCGCCAAGCTATCTTATTGACAATAAAGTCGTGATATAAACATGCAGCCTTGCAGCCTGGCAAGATTAGGCCGCTCATTATCCCACCATATCACTTGACGAACCAGGTTGAACAAGTGAATTCAATATACAACTGTTCGAATCAAGCACCATACGAGTTCAGTCATTCAATCTCTGATCATTCAAGCCAATGCCAGATTTTCAGACATCTGCAGAAACGAGTAGCACGTGACCGAGCTTCCCGACATTGAGCACATGACGCTACCGCTGCTGATTGAGCAGATTGTTAAACACGATCAGATTCAGGCTTATTAAGAAAGCTCAAAGGGGTCTTCGGTCATATTGACGAGCTTCGTTACTAGTAGGAGCCTTGGTATCCTGACGAGCATTCTGGTTTCGTACACGGCTTGCGAAGTTAATACTGGGAGGTGGACAGGATGTAAAAACTGTAAGGTCATAGTGAGAGAAGAAAGAAGGATGTGCCTTAGCTTCACAGTCAAAAAGTGACCTTTTACTTGGAAGAAGAGAATGACAGAAAAGAAAGGATGATGTCGCTTCTCAACATTAAATTTACTAGATAGTTGGCAACAAGCTTCTAGATGTATTCACGAGCTTAAGCGACCCCGCATTGTCCGAGGCAGGGGCTTTAGCGACATCCTTCTTTACTTCGCCCCACTTACATCAACAAACAATCGGCAACAACTTTCGCTATGTAAACAGCTATCTGAAGCCATCAGATTACCGCGATCTTGTCCTTATCTGGATGGGACTAATTTTCCCTTGAAGACGTGAACCGTGGTCCAAGAAGTATACAGGCGGACATGTCGTCGGTACCACTGCCAGAAGCAAAGTCCCACCAACCCCGCACCTTAAAGCCGAAAGTCTATCAACTAGTCGGTCTGTGTATCCCGAACAAGCAATCGTACGATACCATTCGTCTAGGTGCATGGAACATCTTGCTCAGTACTAGACAGCCTGTGATGAAAGTAGAAAAACACGAAGCTGGAGAACAAGAGAAGGGAAGTTTTTGGATCACGTACGACTCTATTCTGTACACTAACGTCCTTAAGATAGCTCTACAAACATGCCAAACTTTAATAGCTCATTTTCTAGATGCGTGGCTCATAGACTTCTTAAGAAGATAATCTCGAATAAGCTTTGTACAGTGGTTAAATGACCTGTTCAAGCAAGACCCAACGACATGTGGTGGTGTACCAAAGACCAGCTCTTGTTACTTGAAGACAAGTTATCAGAACAACTCGAGTCTCACAAAGATCTTCCAATCAGGGAAAGCCAGCACTAGTGTTCTTCGGAAGTTTGAGGCAAGCTTCTAGTAGTAATCTAGGCTTTCTGCTACTAAACTATCCGCACATCCTTACCCCGCGTTGAGGCGTCAAATGTCATGCAACCTTCATCGTAGTCGGACACCTCGTACTAAAACTCACCTCCCCATAATTACGAGGCAGATTATATTTGGGAAAATCTTAGTCTGCATAAATTCTTTCAAGAACCAGGGACTAGTACCAACCTACCTTTCTTTGCAATTCTTTCTGGAAATCCTCCTGCAGTTTCTTTTCCAAGATGGCCCCCGACATATCCCAGCTGGGAGCAAATGGTACCACGGATACCAATGGCCACAATGACGGCTACGTCATTCCAAACATCACTTTCCGGTCTCCCGAGAACAGAAGAATGAAAGTCCTGACAATTGGTGCTGGAGTATCTGGGATTATGATGGCTTACAAGATCCAAAAGCAATGCCAGAAGTACGAACCTGACCTTTCCAAGTCTTCAAGAAAGTCCACTGGTATCTCATCCAAGTACTGACAAGCCTAGCGTGGAACATGTCATATATGAGAAGAACGAAGACGTTGGAGGAACATGGCTGGAGAACAGGTACCCTAATGCAGCTTGCGATGTTCCCTCACATGCCTGCACTTTCAACTTTGCTCTTAAGTAAGCCTCAAAGCTGACTTCCCCTGAGAAAGCTAACACAGAATCTTGAAGTCCAGATTGGCCTCTCTATGCGAGTCGATCTCCTGACATATGGAAGTACTTGGACAAAGTCTGTGAGGTGTTCGATCTTCGAAAGTACATGACTTTCAATACAGCAGTTGTGGGATGCTACTGGAATAAGGAAGAAGGCCAATGGACCGTCAGGCTTTGCCAGACCAAGGCTGGCTCGGCGCCTAAAGAGTTTGAGGAAAAGTGCGATCTACTTCTTCATGCAACTGGCATTTTGAACAACTTCAAATGGCCGGATATCGAGGGGTTGGACAAATTCAAAGGCAGAGTTGTCCGTACGTTCTCTACCATCTAGTTTGCAACAGAACACTGATAACAGTAGACACTGCTGCCTGGCCAAAGGACTACCAAGAAGAGCAATGGAAGAACGATTCAGTCGCGATCATTGGCTCGGGAGCCTCATCGATCCAAACCCTACCAGGCATGCAGCCTTTTGTGAAGCACATTGATGTGTACGTTCGAACAGCGATCTGGTTCATATCTATCGCAGGTAATGACGGTATTGCCACGCCATATGCAGAAGAGCAGCGCAAAGAATTTCGAACAAATACAAAGGCATTGGTGGAGCATGCCAGATACTTGGAAGGGCAACTTAATGGTCTCTGGGATTTGTTCTTCACCAATTCAGAAGGACAGAAAGCGGCGCAGCAAATGTTTGCTGCAAGAATGGCCGAGCATATCAAGGATGAAAGGCTGTTGAAGGGGTTCACACCCAAATTTGACATTGGCTGTCGAAGAATCACTCCAGGTAATGCCTCCGCGCTCAATCTGCGAAGATAACGTGTTGATCTTCTCAGGTGATCCATACTTGAAGGCTATCCAAGAGCCAAATGTCGATGTACACTTTGCTGCAGTGAACAAGATTACTGAAGATTCAGTGATCGACACTGACGGAAACGCGAAAAAGGTCGACACGCAACCGGCTTCGATGTAAGCTACCGGCCTCGGTTCCCAGTCGTGGGCCAGAACGGGGTCGACTTGGCAGATAAATGGAAGGCCTGTCCTGAAGCTTATCTTGGTATCACAGTGCCGGATATGCCTAACTTCATAACATTTATTGGGCCAAGTTGGCCAGTTGAGAACGGATCAGTGATGGGGCCTTTGAACTATGTTGGCGACTATGCAATTAAGTTCATCAAAAAGATGCAAGGCGAGGCGATTCGGTCGATTGCCCCGAAACAAGATATCACTGATGCCTTCAACGCACATACCCAGAGTTCATCAAGCACACGGTCTGGTCAAGTGACTGTAGAGCTTGGTTCCGAAGTATGTTCTCCTAATTGATGATTGGTTATTAGCTGACCTGATTTTGATAGACAACGAAACCGGAAAAGTCAATGCAGTGTTCCCAGGCAGCTCGCTTCACTACTGTCAGGTTATCCAAGAGCCCAGATACGAAGATTACAATATCACATACCAGAACAGGCACAATCCGTAGGTTCACTTTTACCCATGACAAGTAACAGTCACGCGTTTACAAAAAATCTATCAGATGGGCATACCTTGGCTTTGGCTTCACCTACGAAGACATGAACAAGACCAAGGAGGGTGTCGATCTCACTCCATACCTCAGTGAGGAAGCCATCGACCCTAAGTGGATGGAAGAAGTAATCAAGACCGGGGCGCTCGTCGCAGATCGAGAAGTCCAAATGCCTCAGCCGGCCAACCAGTAGTTGACTATGAACACCAACATTCTTTTGAGTTTCAATAAATTGATTGTAAGCAGATATCAAACATTGCCTGCGAGGGCCGGAGTGCCGCAGATCGGCAAATTGTTGATACGTTGAACTGTTGCCCCTGAATATACCCCGCAAATGCGGGGATCGTTAACTTAAAGGCCCTTTTTTCTTTGCCAGCACACGGAGAGCTACGTTCCGCAGAATAAGATCAGGAAAGAGCTTCACATTAGGATGATAATTTGACACATTATCAGGACTTTACGGTCGGCAAAGTTGCAATTTAATTTGGCGATATGAAATGCCTCGATTGTTCACGATTCTTGTTCGGTTGAAGCGCTCCAAAAGAAATGGTGCTGATGGTGCTTCATCATAACTGCTATTTCCATTTAGGAAGAAAGTTCACTCGGAAGTCAATGTAAGTTTACATGCATAGAATATGATTTCGCTAAAGATCAGAGACAACATTTTCGAGACAAGCTTACCACATTCCTCCGCGATTGTAAGTTTGTTACTTGAACCTAGGACGTTTCATGTTTATACCCAACTGGTGGAGAAACAGCCTCTTCGCTTTTGGACTATCTTATGATTTAGTAAGCGACGACATCAAAATGGATCATATCAATTTATCCCAGGCCATAGATCACAAGATACCAACAGTAATCTAGTCAAACTCAGATGCCTGCCCGAAAGATACTGCCGACTTAATCGATCGGGAATTTTTCCATATGAAAGTCAATGCTTGAGCAAAATTCATCTGCAAACACAAATGTATATAATACCATCATAGTATCCCCTTTTTCTTCTTCTACATGCTCTTCTTGCACATCCTCTTCCTCTTGACTGAAGTACACTTTACACTTGTCTGCTCCTCCAATCATGCATCTAGGGAACCTGCTGCTGGTTGCCAGCACAGCAGTGCTAGCTGTTGCTGCTCCTTCAGACAAACAAAAGCGAGCAAAGAACTTTCAATTCTTTGGTGTCAATGAGTCGGGTGCTGAGTTTGGCAGCGGGAATCTCCCAGGAACCCTGAACAAGGATTACATATGGCCTCCAACGTACGTTCTCTACTTGGGCGAGATGTCGCTATCACACCTAACGCATTAATAGATCTACCATTGATACCTTGGTTGGCAAAGGGATGACTGCTTTCCGTATGACATCCTTTGTAGCTATGAATCCGACTTAGAAGCTAATTATCGCAGGTATTCCGTTCTCGATGGAGCGTCTCATCCCCTCACAAATGACTGGCAGTGTCAATCAAGCCTACGCTCAGGGACTTACATCCTACGTGAACTATATCACAAACACGAAAGGCGCATACGCCATCGTTGATCCTCACAACTTCGGACGCTACTACGGGAACGTGATAAGTGACTTTTCGGCCTTTAAAGCTTGGTGGACTACAACAGCCAAGCTGTTCGCCTCTAATAGCAAAGTCATCTTTGATTGTAACAACGAGCCACACGACATGGGTTCAGTCAGCACCAAGAATCTTATGCAAGCCTGCATCGACGGTGTCAGAGCCGCTGGCGCGACCAGCCAATACATCTTCGTCGAGGGTACGAGCTATAGTGGAGCTTGGACATGGACCACGTCAGGAAATACCGACCTCGTGTCACTCTCTGACCCCCAGAATAAGATAATCTATGAGATGCATCAGTATCTTGACAGCGATGGATCTGGTACCTCGACTGCTTGTGTCTCTTCTACAATTGGCTCTGAACGCATCAAGGCTGCTACCGCATGGTTGAAGGCCAACAATAAGAAGGGTATCCTCGGAGAATTCGCTGGTGGCAACAATCAACAGTGCAAGTCTGCTGTTTCTGATATGTTGTCATATATGGTTGCCAACAAGGACGTTTGGACAGGTGCTTTGTGGTGGGGCGGAGGACCATGGTGGGGTGATTACATCTACAGCTTCGAGCCACCGAGTGGCGTTGGATATCAGAACTTCCTGTCCATCTTGCAACAATACGCTTGAGAAGTATATGAGCGGTGTCGTGCGGAGTGGGGGACGCTTGGGTAAGCGAGCAATCCTATTTCTTCAGCTGTCCAGCAGGAGCTCCATGCTGATTTGCACGACAGGGTATGAGAGGATGTTTGTATATATGGAAGCGTGCGGGAAGGGGAGGTTATTTGTACATACTTGATTCAGTCGTTCATTTCTCCTCAAAAGTCACTTGAAATGGCCAGTACTCACGAAATCATTCGAGTAAGTTGCTGCCAGCTTTCTCTCCTTCGCCTCAAAATATGAAACCTTTAAGGGTACTTTGATTCCTCGATTCAAGCACCGAAGGTCCGCTTTCTCTTCTACGTTCATTCACTTAGAGCGCTTTCGGCGTACGAATATGCTCTCTAGTATAATCCCTTCTTGACAATGAGAGTCAAGAGAATAATCGCATCAGGACCTGCGATGTTTAGTCTTCTCTTACGCTCCTTCACGAAGTACCTCCCATGAAAATCTAGGATGCCTAGAACCATTCAAGATACTGCAGCTGAAGAACCAATCCCGGCTGCATGAACCGACTCCAAAAAAGCACTCCCATATGAAGTACGCAGTATGGAAGTTCAAGATGTTGTTTGATGTCTTCACACAGCCCCCCTGAGCGCCACAAATTTAGCGAGGCGGCGTGGCTGACAATAGTGGGGCATGGGCGTAAGAGGGGAAACTTGCATCCGACTTCTGTCTTCACTCACAATCCAAAGCAGTAATTCAACCGTGTCAAGATCAGACTGGTCTACTCGTCCTCTACTCAGAAGCATCATCACAGGGCCGAAGTCGATTTTCGGAAGTGCTTTTACTACAACTCGGCTCAGAAGCGGCTCGAGTGTTTCCCTCGGCACCATCAATCCGGCTGGCCATATGCTCAGCAGATAGGTACCTCTCCAAACAGAATGGACCCAAGTTTCTATAGGAACTTGAGCATGATGTATGCAAGAGATCAAGGTCTGAACCAACCTAATCAAGCTGCTCCCCAAGAACAACAACCAGATCGCATGGACATGAGTTCGGGCAACAAAACCGCCGCCTCGCCAGACACGAATTGGACAGTGTATGGCCCAGACGTGTCGAGAGGCAATTTTCAAGACGTCACAAAGAAAGCCGATGATAGTGATCCGAGAATGCGTGTAGGGTGGGCTTCGGACTCTAGTAGTAAGCCGAATGGTGTCGGAGAGATGGGATGGATGTCAACGCGGGATCAGCAGCCTCTGCTGTGGTCAATGCCAGATACCGAAGCGTAAGATGGGTTCTTAGTTTCTCTCACTTCTATATTCTGGCGTCCGATTTTATCACTAATGGCTTCATTTGGTCAACTGTAATCATGTGGCGTTGCGTCTTCTTCAACATCATCATTGACCTAGGCTAATTCATCTCAAGTACACCCCGAGCCTCAGACCAGGCGTCTCATTATCCCTACCCAGATCTATCACTTCCTCATCCAAGCTTGCACCTAGACTTCCGTATGGCCGTTACTCTCAACCCACGTATCTCAGTAGGCCCTACACCGTTCGGCCACCGGAATTGGATATCCTTCACCGGAGGCAAATGGTCAGGCTCCTGGGGCTCAGGAATCTGTTTAGTGAGTCGCATTACCCCACCAACTCTTCCGATTCCTTCATCCATCCATCCATCCATACAAAAGTACATCCCTACTCACACTTTCCAGCCCGGCGGTCAAGACAGCCAACTCATCATAAGCGACGGCTCCGCCCACCTCCAAACAAACTACATCCTCCAAACTTACGACGACCCACCCGCTCACATCGTGGTCAAAACGCACGGGTGGCGGACAGGACCGCCTGAGATTCTCGCGCAGCTTCTGGATCCCGAACAGGCTGATAGGGTGGATCCGAGTAGTTATAAGTTTCGAATTTTTATTGAGATGGAGACCGGGGATGAGAGGTATAGGGATAAGGTTAATTGTGGGATGTGGGTGGGGAGTGGGATGAGGAAGGGGGCGGAGGTGATTTATGAGTAAGTCATAATTTTTCCTTAACTCGCTTTGAAATTTTGAGGACTGAGCTGATTTGGAGAAGTGCATATCGACTTTCGTGAGATTTGTTGTGGAGGTAGAATATTTTACAGGGAACAAGAGTTTTGACTTTTTAAGGATGTGCTTGTTAGAGGAAACATTCCAGAACTTTCATCTTGGCACCTTAAATTTCACAGGAACTCTCATCCTTTGTTGCACATCGCAAGTAATATCGCCTATAATTATATAGGGTATAGCGCATGCCAAAGCCGTCAAGATTCATAAAAATAAGACACGAATGTTATTTGCCGTTCTATGATTTGATGTCATGAGTCGTGCTTGTCATGAGGTTTCACACCTCTAAGGCACATGATCCCTGGATATGCCGGATTGTGAGACATATATCAGCGTTAACTTATTTCGATGATTGTCCGGTTTGTTCTTAGTGGCTTGAGTAGCTTTATTAGCACAAGCGGTGAGGTACAGCACAGAAGCAATAATTTGTTGCTCCGCAAATTGGTTTGATACTCATCACTCATTCCGCCCAATACGCACCACCATTATTCTTCCCCAACCCACCCCTAAGATCAGCCTCTACATAGCTTACCTCCCTCTCCCTCTCCCTCTTTCTCAAACTCTCCGTTTCATTGACTGTATAATTCCCAAACCCCTCATACGTCCCCAAGCTAGGCGGTAAATCCTCCACCCGCGTCCCCCATGCACTCTCCGTACTCCCCAGAACAAGAACGAGTTCCTTCCCCTCCGTGAAAAACGAATGATCAATCCAGTTCTTAGTATAAGGCTGACCATTCAGCGTCGCTGACTGGATGTATATATTCTGGTACGTCGAATCGAAATTGATGTTCCTGATGGTAGAAGTTTTGTTAGTAGCAGGTGACGTGATAGAGACACTTTCGAAGTATGGCGGGATGATGAGGTAGACGTCTTGTCCTGGGTTTGGGAAGAGCCCGATCATGGAGAAAGCAACGAAGGAGCCCATGGCGCCGCTGTCGTCGTTGCCTGGCAGTCCGGCCGGGGTGGGTTGGAAGAACGATGGGACGTAGAAGTGTGATCTCTTTGCTGAGAGGGCGGGGCGGCCGGCGTAGTGGTACTGGAAGACTGTTAAGAAAGCGGGCTCGTTGCCGATGTAGGTGATTCCTTTGTCGTGGAGGTAGTCGAGGCGTTTGACGAAGGCTGCTGGGCCGCCGAATGTGGTGATTAGGGTTGCTTGGTCGTGGGGGACGAAGCTGTCGCGGAGTTTGTCAGACGAGATGGTAAACATTGCTGCTAAATTTGGTTGACTTACAAGGAGTATTCCCAGATCGAACTTTCGAAAGTTTCCCCTGCAGTGTTTTGCAAAGAGCAAACGCTGTTTGGATTGGTATCGATATTGCTGCATGTGAGAGGATCCTGAAAGCCGAACGTCCTGTTCAAATACCGAGGTTGGAAGAATCCCGTAAATCCAGTATTTGTGCTGTTGATGAAAGAGGTCTGATCGGCTTTGAACAGATTCTTCCAATTTCCACTTCGAGCAGTGTATTTCTCAACATCAGCCTGCCTTCCACCAAGTCCTGCGGCGATCTTGGTAATTACAAAATCGTTGTAGCTATACTCCAATGTCCGCGACAAGCTTCTTGTCATCGTTCCGAAGCCCTTATAGTCGAAGTCTTGGACTGGGATGTAGCCAAGAGACTTCCAGCTATCGAGTCCTCCTCTTCCCTCACAGCACCAATCGTAAGGCTCGACTTCTGCATCTTTCACGACTGCTTCGTAACCGGTCTGCCAATCGATGCCTTCGGTAATACCTTTCAGGTAAGCATCAGCAAGGACGTTGTCGGCATTTGATCCCCCCTGAGTAAGACCTTTGCAAAGACTCATCCGGCAATCAGGAAGCCATCCTACATGCCTGTAGGTGTCGATTAGAGATCGAATCTGGCGTGCAACAGTAGCAGGATCAACCACAGTCAGGAACGGCATCTGAGACCTGAACAAGTCCCAAATACAATAGAACGAGTCAAAGTACGGCTCATCACTCTTCCAGAGCGGATTCTCTCCAGTATAATCTTGCGGGTTGACGAACGTGCGATATATCCCCGAGTAAAAATTTGTCAACATGGACTTATTCAATCCATTCCTACTGACCACCACTGGGCTAATCTTTTCTCGCCACATGTCTTCGGCAGCTTTCTGTGTTGCAGCGAAATCGAACGAAGGAATTTCTTTCTCTGCGCTTGAACAAGCTTGCTCGCTACTGATGAGACTTACACCAACTCGTGCAAGAATAGCGGTATCACCAGGCGGATTGAACCTGACGAAAGCTCCTCCAGGAAGAGGATATCCGTTGATAGATCGTGAGATTGTCAGAGCCTTGACATCAGCACTTGCTCGGCTGTTGGCGAAGATACCATTATCTCGGATCGTGCCCCCGGAGAAATCAGCACAGAAGTAGGCGACATAATTCCCAACACCAAAACTGGGCAAAAAGCGAGCATTTCCCTTCATTCGACCTGTTGTCCCATCAACAGTCACCGTCCCGTTATCCTGGCGAGAATCCGACAGGTCCGTTAAGTCCAGGAGAATCAAAGGTTTAGAAGGATTTCCGCTCTGATCCGTAGCCGGGAACTTGAAGCGGAAGAGAGAGGTGTGGTGAGCTGCAGTCATATCAACCTGGACTCCGCTGAGAATTTGCAGTCCGAAGTATCCCGGGGACGCTTTCAAGGTACTGTTGATGAATTTGGTTTTCCTGGATTTCTTTGGGTAGTTGCACCCATTCACATCGTCGCCTGAACATCCGGCATATGGGAAGAGTGCAAAGTTTCCTAGGGATGGGTTTCCTCCGGTCCCAGAGTCATGCATGCTTGAGAAACCTGTGATGTTGGCGCCATCGGTCGTGAAGCCGCCCTAATCTCGAATCAGCTACAAATTCATAGGTGACCATAAACCCTTGGAAATGAGAAATCATTTGAAAACGCTCATAGTATCATGGTAGCAAACCAAACTCACCTGGTTACTCTCAGAATCCGTGTCCGCAACAGCTTTAGCCATTCCTGCAAATATCAGCACCACCTCTCCACTCCGCCACGAACAGCTCACCATAAGGAATCGTCGCACCCGCAAAGATATTGCCTATCCATCCATAAGTAATCATCCCAACTCACTCCAATTCGAGCACTTCTCCCACACATACCTCCATTGCTACTCCCAATCAACTGATCGACATAATCAAGAACGTCATAGGTCGAACCTTCCGCCTGAGCTTTCACAAAAGCTGGTCCTCCTCCAACTCCAACAACAACAATAGCAGCAGCAAGAAGAAATCTCATAAAGCCCATCTTCAATCAAGTTTACGAAAGATAGAAATCAGGCACTGTAGCAGCGACAACAAACGCCACCAAGCCACCATCTCCACCCCGCGCCGGGAGGAGCCATCGGAAATATATATATCTTTATCTCTCCGCATACTGTCCCTACCTTACCTTACGTAGTACACCTCTTGCATAATTTACAAGGATAAGATTGCGATCGGCTGGTATACGTTACATTTTCATGCGGTGCAGAAGCTTAATGGAGAAGGTGCATAAGGTAGGCACTGTAGCTTGCTGGTGATAGAAGGTTCACAAGGTTCACAAGGTTCTTGTACTTCATGTGCCTTGGTGTGCGAGGACGCGGGCATGCGTGTACTGTATGCATGCAGCGAAATGCGAAAGTAAAAACTTGGCCAGGGAGAGGCTTGTTGGGTGGGTGGTGTGAAGATCCGGGGTCATGGAGCGCCGCCGCTGGCTGCCGAGAACCCCGCGGTGAACGGTGGACAACACCAGTTCAGACCTGCGGCTGACCCCACGGAAACGGACGGACAGCTTTGATGTGCCACGAGATCTAGGGAGGGCGGCGATCTTGAGCCAAACCTGACGTTTATTTGTTCTTGATTTGGAAGGTGGGGAAATTATTTTTTCTCGCTTTGGATGTGCGGTTCTTCATTTATTTATCTTTTGGTTGTGGTTGTTGAATACTACGTTGTCTCTGTCTCACTATCCAGTTTGGATATCATTGAGGCACACTCTTATATTTCCATGTATGAGTGAACATGGACACCCGCATACACTACTGCTATCCATGTCAAAGTCCCTTCCCATTCCATGCAGAAGAGCCACTTTCATCTCAACCTTTCCTTGAACCTTTCCTATTCAATCGATCCAAATCAAAGCACAACCCTTATCCCCATCCCTTCTCGTCCCCTTCATCTCATCTCCTTCCTTCCTCTCCACTATTACCCGCCTCTCACCTCTTCCCCTTCCCATCCTCAAATTCACACATATTACACTCCCAATGTCCACACGTGCAACACTGCACCGCTCCCGGTGTGAGCTCGGGCTGCTTGATCGTGGTTGTCTGACCGCAATTGCAGCATGTGAGAATCATTAGCATATGGAGAGGCATGTTGAAGGTGAGTGTGTGGGAGTGAGATTGGAAGGTGTTGAGTTGAGTTCTGTGGTGATGTGTGTGGTGGTGTGTGACACACTGACAGTGTTGACAGTACGGTGGTTTCTCCCAGTGTTTTCGTTTCCGAAGAGAAAGAAGGATTGAGGGGCTCGAAGTAAATTGAATCGAAACTATATGTATATCGAGCGTTGAGCTGCTCCCGTATGTCGTTGCGTTGTAATCAGGGCTTATATTTGGACTGGTATTTCTTCCTCTTCCTGTGGGATTGGTTCGAGTACTGCCAGAAGCTCTCCTTGACTCTCGAGCTCGAGCTTCAGCACGAAGTTATCTGGCTCTGCTTGAGTAATGTAGCTGTTCTGCTGAAGTCGATTCACGAACGTGGACCTCGCCATATGTCGTTTGCGCGTCGAGACTCTTGGAAAAGTATGAAGGATTTGGTAAATGTCTGAGTGAAAGGACCTAGACTCTTGAAACTTCTGCATCGTGCCTTCCGTGAATTCCATAACGATAATTCACTCGGTCACTGTGGGGGTTTTGGCACTTTAGGATTGATTTTCGGATCGAGAAATTGTTCCTGAAATGTCGCGGCCAGGAATATTGTTTGTTGAAGGTTCGCTTACTGAGGACAATTGCGGGTCTTGATCTACTCCAGGGCTCAGGAGAGGTGAGACGTCAAGTCAAGCAATGGGACAGTCTGGAGCATGATTGATAAACATCTATTCTTCAATCCCTCACTTTCCTCTTCCTACGTCACGAACGGCCAGGACAGATCCTCAAGCACTGCAGCAAATCCGCCGCGACAACTTTTCCATACAACCCATTGTTATCATCAATACCCACACTCAAGATAACCTCATCATCCAGGTATCCCGTACCCTTCTCTCTGATATCGCTCTCTGCTCTTCCCCACGCATACGCGATAGTTGTGGTATAAGTGAAATCGCCCCAGATTCCCCTCTTCTCGTCTTCAGCTTCCGGAACATCGTCCCAGATCTCGGCTGGTTTCCAGCCTCTGTTGGTCTCGTTTGCTAACAGAATGGGATTTTGACTGACTGCTAGCATATTAAATGGCCATGTGGCGGACCAGATGACGAAGTAGCGTTCGTAGCGTATTGGGAGGCCGAATCCGTTGTTGTGTTTACGTTGGATGGCGGCGAAGAAGACGGTAGTGGGGTTGTCGGCGATACAAGTCGTGTTTGATCGTGTGCAGAGCACCAGTTTCAAGGCAGGTGTGGCTTGATGCCATGATGAGCTGACGGTAAATATGTCTGTTTCTGTCTCTCCGAGTCCATCTGCAAGGCAAGGTTTTTCAAATGGATCGGTCATGTTTTGCGTTGTCAAGCCGCCGCCAATCAATTGAGCAAAGGTCCGCGTTGTGGAGTTCAATTCGTATTGCAAGTAGGATGTCGCTGGCGAAGGGAAGAACATCACCCAATTCTTTTCGTAGCTCTGGCGTGTCGAAGGTGGGTTGCGAGTGAGTTCCGTCAGTGTGGAATACGATATCAGCGGGCCGGGTCCAAGTCGACGAGGAGATGAGGCAAATGTTTCTTGGATGGTTGGATATATAACTCGTAGATCGATTGCCCATAGGCCAATACAGGCGTATCTTGATCTGTAAACTGTTAGTACTGGACAAACATCTCTCAAGAAGGATGCCTTACTGCGAAACAACCATGAGAATGGGTTCTCCTCTGCCAGAATAAAACAGCCTTGGATCATGAAAGCCTGCAATATCAGCCATTACCTGTTCCATGCCCGAACAACGCTCTGCTGGAGTCGGCGGAACATCAACCTCTATCGGCGTTGTAACACATCTCAATCCTCCATTTGGACCCAATACTCGCAAATCATCTTCCGTACAGATTCTCTCGCGTCTTGCTATTGACCGCTTGTTCTTTGGGCGGCAGAAACTCGCTTCACAAAGCACGTTCCGACGGTAAGCTTCGCCGTGCGCGACGACCATGCTGACGATGATGTACTGATTGTCTGCCCAATATGGCAATGCGAAGATGGTTGGATTCCAAATGGTGCGCCTTTCTTCTGTCCGGGTAGACGGTGGGTCCATGGAGATATTGAAGAGGGGGTTTGGGAGACGGATGTGTCCTGTGAAGCGGTTTGGGGACCGAGGACATGTTGTGAGATGGAGCAGAGCTTGTGGTACTACTGTGTTTATTCCTGAGGGGGCAACTGGAATGATGTAGTCTGCTGATGGTTTGTTGAGTTTTATCTCTGGTACCTCATCTGCAGCGAAGCTTCTGTGGGTTGAAGTATTGGTGAAGGAATGAGATATTGGAACTCTTAGAGGGTCATTCATCTCGAAAAATTGTGAGGCATATCGTGAGTCCGGAGACACTGGTGCTTCGAGCAAAATGCAGATGAAGCAAAGACCAGCAAGAGGCAGCAAGAGTCTCTTCAAGAATGGCAACATGGTTCTGGTGCAGGTGCCAGAAGTCTACAAACGGAGGACATAGAAACAAGAAGTTGGCGAGATCTGGATATGATGAAGGTGATGAAATCTGGACTCGTCCGCCGTGAGCGTGGTCGCACCTGCTGTTCCTGGATGCTCATCAAGTCAGTTATTTGCAGCAATCCAATCTTCTCAAATCTTCACAACAACACTTTACGCTCTCGGATAGTACTCTTTGTATTAGCTTCTCATAGATAGAGCTTCATTACCAATAATGGTTTACCATTCGCCCTACTCAACACCAGATGACACGCCACTGGCACCCACGGTGGTTGATGCATCAACGCCATGGTCTGACGTCCTACTCGAAGATTTGCGCACCACGATCCAGTTTAATCCTCCTACTCAGCTTATTCGGAAGTACGGATACGGTTCTCACAAGACGCGTTTGCGGAGTTGGGGCAAAGTGGTGTGGTTATGTGTGTTCCTTGTCGCTGGGCTTTGGTGGGCGTTCCTGAGAAGACAAGACGGCCGATATCGTGACAACACGAAAATGGTTCTTGACATTCCGACCTTGGACAGGTTGCAGTTCATAGATGCCAGCCATCCATACATTCGGGTAGACTCCTTCTCCAGCACTGCCAACTTGCAACCTCGATTGACAATATTGCAGTTTGTCGGACGCTGGCTTGCGACTGCAGACGGAACGCATAAAGATGGCTCATTTCCAGGTAAGCACAGGAGTTTGGCATCGAAAGCTGCTAAAACTTTGCAGGTGTGTATTTTGACTTCGCCGTCAACGGGAGCTCAACCGTGCTCATTTCTCTCCACAACAGCGAACAACAGACTCAATCCTCTGCAAAAGAATCGACAAATATCTCCCCAACTTTGCCCTTTCTACCGTTGACCAATACCACCCATGCAGCACCGATATCGTTGCTTGTCAGAATCGATGATGATGAATATCTCATATTTCCCAATGCCACTTCGCTGATATCGATATGTCGGGGAAATTTGAATCCGCCCTCACGTCACGAGATTCGGATCATTGCTCCCATGGTTGGAGGTGATGCCGTTGAGACACTCCAGATCAAGGGGATCTGGATAGACGAAGGGGGACAATTGCTGCCATTCCAAGATGCTCCTACCGCCACGAACCAGTTTCCGCAGCAAGCGAAGAGCACAATAAAGAGAAGAATGCTAGAAATAGTGACAGACTTGCCCGGATTTAATCCTAGCGGAGACAAACAGAAGACCTCTGGCAGTAGCCGTGGAATTCTGGGAGGTGTAATGGGATGGGAGTATCTGCTCGGAGAAATGTTTGGCAGTGACCATGTTACCATTGGGAACGATGGTATGTGCCTCATCCAGGACTGCCTTGGTGGAAGAGGATCACCTGCTGGACTTGCAGATGTGTTCTTTCAAAGGTTTGGGCCTGTTCTCGATTTCATCAAGTCAGGACTAAATTCTTGAAAGCGGTCCTGCTGGCTCAGAGCAGTACACACATCCTTGGTTCTTCCAGGACTACACTTCGGACGTCATCGTAAGAGACTCTGCCACGCAACTTCCAGCTCTAACGATTGACCCAGGTTATGAACATCGGCACTTCTGACTGGGACTCATTCCAGACGCATACTCAGGAATACAACAAAACATTGTGGGAGCTCAGTGTTACTTTCGAAGAAACCTACATCACGATGATACAGGCAATTCGGGCTCTGGCATATCCCAAATACTCGGCAGCAACAATGGATTCTTCGAGATACATTTATTCGGCGCAGAATGCAGCTGCAGGTGTCCCTATCTTTATCATGAGACCATTCCGAGGACAGCTCGAACAAGCAACTCACGCGGTGGTAGACCGATTACGAACGGACGGCGATAAAAATGTGTTTTGGCTCGATACCTCGGGGTGGTTGAACACCGAGGTGGACTTCGATGGCCGGCCGGAAGATCAACATTTCTTCCTTGATGGTAAGGATATCGAGTCAAAATAGGTCTGTGAGGCTAATAAAATTGATAGAGGAGAGTTCAAATAAACAATGGCGTCTGACAGAACGAGGTCACCAAAGAGTGGCAATTTTGCTTCATAACCATGTCTGCAGATATCTTGCTCGAGAGGTTGACAAATGTGCTTTTCTACCACCTGAGATATATCTCGGTAAGGCGCTCGATCATGATGCGATAAGGCTCAATGACTTTTTGGAGGATGAGAAGGAGAAGAAGCTGAAGAAGCTCTTCTGGATTTGAAGTCACTTTGGTGACGCGGGCTTGGCGATATTGGTGTTCCATCGGACCCGGCGATGTGGGTGATCTGCCGTCTGTGCCTGAATGATGTGATGAGATGTCGATGTCGATGTCTCGCAGTTGAAGCTGGGATCTTACCCGGATTATTTATCACTTTAGCCATCAGCATTCTCCATGCCTTCAGACAAAATGTCTACAGTATAAGAGATTTTCCCTCAATCCTTGATCTCCCAATTTTCTTGTCGAAGTTCTTCCTTCATTGTGGATGTGACGATGACAAGGAAGTGCAGTGGTGGCTGCGCTAGGATCGAGTTCTGCTCCAAGCGGCACCGACGATGATGTCGATGCAAAACTGGGTGGGTAATGCCCCGGCGACTGAAGGAACCTCGCCCTGGCTGCCTGGGAAGGAAGCTCGAACTTTGCTTTTTGCACCACCACGACCACAACCACAATCTTCCACGTCCCACGATGGCATCGCCGATGGATTGATCTTCTGACAACAGGAAGAGACATCAAGCTCTTCTCTTCCCTCTCGCTGACTAGTATTCTTATTTTCAGTCTGACTCCACCTCTGCCGGTAACAGCCCACTTTGACGACGAGCACACGACCAACTCCGCAGCCTCGAACTTGCCTCCAGAAGCCGATACTGTACGACAAGAAATACCCATCAGACGAACCTGACGACCCAATCGACACAAATTCCCTCCAAATTGGCCCTCAATGGCCTCCAAACGCGCCGAAATGGAGCGCCGCAAATCCTCCACCCCTCACTACCAAACCTTTCCCACACCACCGCCCAAATCCCGTGGCCGACCACCCATCTCGCCCTCTTCCACAAGCAGCGTCGGTTTTGATGGCTCGCATAATGATGGCCATCAGTCACATCCGAACGGCGGACTCGCAGACAATGAGCACTCGAAGTCGCCCCTCCCGAAGAAACAACTCGCTATCCTGGCAGTCATCGCGCTAGCCGAGCAGACGGCGCTGAATTCAATCTCGCCGTACCTACCTGAGATGACGAGTACGTTTCCTGAGGTAGACGTCGGGCAGATAGGGTTATATGTGGGGACGATTGCGTCGTCGTTTGCGCTTGCGCAGTTTGCGACGAATTTCTTCTGGGGATGGCTGAGCGATCGCGTGGGCAGGAAACCGGTCGTGATGCTGGGGACGGCGCTGACGGCGGGGTGTTTCGTCGCGTTTGGGTTCTGTAGGACGTTGTGGCAGGCGGTGCTGGTGCAGGCGCTGATGGGGCTGGTGAATGGGAATCAGGGTGTCATAAGTACGTGTCTGGGGGAGATCACGGATAGGAGTAATCAGAGTAAGGCGTTTGTGTATCTGCCGGTCATATATGGTATTGGGGGCATTACGGGACCGGCGGTGGGTGGGTTGCTGGTTATGCAGGATAATCCGTTTAGGAAGGGCACGAAGAATCCGTATCCGTACTTGTTGCCGAATCTCTTCTCGGCGACGATACTGGTCATAGATCTGGTGCTCACGGGATTCTTCTTGGAAGAAAGTTTGGAGGAAGCGAAAGATCTGCCGCCGCTGAAGGATAGAGTAGGCAATCTGTTCAGCTGGATATGGCAGTTCACAGGCGCATCACATCGCCCTACATATCTACGAGCGCATTTCGGACATCAGGATTCTCGGCATAGAACAGGACTGGACGGCCTTGATTCAGAGGAAGAGACGGACAATGAGAGCGAGACGCAATCTCTCCTCTCCATGCGCGGCTTCTTCGCACATAACGACAGTCAGCTCACCAGCAAGGAAGTTCTGAATCGTGATACCATCCTCCTCCTCTGCACCTACCTCGTCTTCCAGCTATCCAATATATCCTACAACTCGCTCTACCCGATCTTCGCCTCGTCTCCTCAGCCGACAGGCCGCAACCTCTCGCCAGAGGAAATCGGCCTCTCGCTTTCTTTCGCAGGGATCGTGACGATTGTGTTCCAAGTCGGCATTTTTGGGAAGCTGAAGGAGAAGATGGGAAATAGGGCGACGTATCGAGCGGGCTTGTTCTTGTTCTTCATCTCGATGCTCTTGATGCCTTGGGTGGGGTATAAGGATTCAAAGCCGCTGTTTGGATTGGCGAATGGGAAGGTGTGGTTATGGGTTGAGCTGGGCTTTGTATTGTTGGTCAAGACCGTTGCTGCTGTTGGGGGTTTAACGAGTGCTTTACTGCTCGTAAGTATTGCATCTTCATTAGTTCTCACCTCCTCAAGAAAAATCCCTCTTTCTGAATAATAACGCTAACCTCCATGTCTAGATCACCAACAGCGCACCCAACCACAACGTCCTCGGCACCCTCAACGGCCTCGCCCAAACTCTTTCCGCCGCCGGCCGCGCAGCCGGCCCTTTCCTATCCGGCGGACTCTTCTCCATCGCCACGCGTGTACATCCTAAAGGCGAAGCCCTCGCCTGGGGCGTCTTTGGCGGTATTGCTTTTCTAGGTTTCCTTGCAAGTTTCGGCATCAGAGGGAAGGATCTCGAAAGTGGGGAATGGGAGGATGATGAGGGGGGTGATGGGGATGAGAGCGGTAGTGATTTAGAGGGAAGTGGAGAGGATGGTGGGGTTGGTGGGAGGTGATGACTTTGGATTTTGATGAGAAGGAAGGAAATGAAAGAGGAACGGGAGGTCTGTATATTTTATGATCACTATGGCGGGAAATGGCGTTTTGGAGACTGGGATTGTTGGATTGATTCATCGGGGTTTTGTTGGGTGTATATGTCGTGGTGGGAAAGACGTAGATGGAGCATCGCATTGGATTAGAAGAAAGAAGAAGTAAGTATAGAGAGATACAGATACAGGCCAAGACACAGACAGAAGATCGACGATCCGGCTTCAGAAGCTGGATCGTTGGTTGATTGGTTGATTAGTAAAGAATTATGTAGTGGCAAGGCAGGGCATCAGATTCTCTGCCCTCCTCTGGTAATGAAAAGTATGAATGATATCCTTCACTTCAGTCTACTGTAGTAATATTACTTGGCAATAATCTACATTTGGTTATGAGATACGGGATGGACAAAAGTCTGTGTGTGCACTCGGGCTCGTTTGCTACGGAGGGTAGTGTTACGTTTTCAGCGATGTGATTTATGACAGAAGACTTGTATGTTTACTGCGATATATCTATTTCACTTAGAAACTTTCGCTACTTAGGTCTAAGTATATAGATTTATTGTTCTAATACCCCTTCCACCCTCAGAGGGTAGGTTTTTTTCGACAACTCAATTGAGGTAAGGTAGTGGACCAAGCTCAAAGAAGAAAACTTCTTATCTTTGGGCTTGCAAATGAAAGTGAGCATGAGGATGTGCGGCTTGAGTACAGCGTGGAGATGGAGATTATGAGGTCGAGGTTGGAGAGGTTGAGGTGTGAGGTGGGGGCGTGGGGTGGATGTAGGTTGGGAGAGGGCCGAGGAGGGATTTGCTGGGGGAAGGGGGTGAGTGGCAACATTTGAGATGGTTTGGGTCTCTGTAGAAAGAAGATTTGTTTTAATGGTTGCTGTGGGCTTTTCTTTGGTGGTTGGGTTGCGGGTGTGGGCTGTTTGTAAAGCGTTGGTGAGTTATGGGATGTGAACCAGTCAGGTGTAATCACAGGCAATTGGCTATGTCTCTTCAAGAAGCACTATCACAAGTCACAGCACCTGAATTACATGCAACAATGTGAGATCCTTTCAGTTTCCGTGCTTGTGCCAAATGTGTGATCGTGCGTAGCGTGGCAGCTAAGCGAGGATGTAAACAAACCTGCATCGTTTCCCACTACTCCACGGGAAGGCGAAACCTGTACAGCAAATACATGTCTCGCGAGTCTGACCTGAAAATTAGATATCAATGTTTCGATAATTTGATTAAACAAACATTAGATTCACGATAGCATGTTTCATTGCCTCCTCAAGGTGAAATAGGTGGTGAGGGGTAGAAGCGGAGTGAATGTATTTGGTCTCAGTCACTCCATTTCGTGGGGTTGGACTTTAAGAGGGATAGGCAGACCTATATAAACATCATCTTAGCTTCCGATTGTAGGACAACAAAGCAGCGAAGTTACAACAGTAACATTCTATGACTTGGAGGTGCCGTGTGTGTGTGAGTGACCAAAATCTTAGCGCCAGTTTTCCATCAAGGTGTGGGAGCAAGAAATCGGACACTGCAAGCTCTACAGTCCCAGCTCCAGCTGGCAGGAAAAAAGACTCCATTGATGTTGGGACATTTCCTTGAGAGAGATCCGTTGTTGTCATCCTCTCATCTGTTGTCAAACATCACACTTCTATCACCCATGTGTCACCAATTGAATCTTTGCGGGGTATGTCAGACTATTCCGAATTGTTAAATTCTGGAGAAAATTTATCCACCAGTTGAACACTAACACTACAGCACTGATGCCATGAAAATTTGATAAAGAATATATGGAAACGAGCCCATTTCAAACGCCACTACTGAGAGTCCATTTCTTAGTCTGGCCGTCTTTGTCTTTTGTTTTGGTCTGGTGAGGCCCACAGAGAGTCTTTGGTACTGAAATACCTACGAAGTTAGGCTTGAGCCTGGCTTTCAAATTTTGTCGTTATTCACTAATGGTTGAATGTGAGGCAGGCTTGTTCTGTGCTACTCTTACAGATTGTTTGAAACAAATAATTCAACAGCGGCAAGTCAGGCTCGACCGAGAAGCATGGTTGGAATGTCAACAACAGGTTATCTCATTCAATTGTAGCATTGAGTGTCGCACTGTCCTGATATAATGTCCTTAGCCTCAATTATTTACAGACATGCCATGCGCCACATATTCTAGAAACATATTTGGATTGAAATGTCCTACTCCTCACGTACATTTTCCAGAGGTTTTTTGACTACGGCACTGCCATTAGCGATGGTCGTAGATTTTGAAATATAGAAAACAAAACTTACCATCCACTGCCACAGTGTGCAGCCGTGTTTCCACAAAATCCACCTGCAGAGCAACAGTTTCCGTCAAATGGCCCTCCAGCGCAAGTGAAACCTCCCTTTGCTGAACCGCACGAGCCATCCAGGGTTGGCACATTACTTTTCAAGCAAGCGCTCGAGAATAATGTTTGACTGGAAGATGAGTGTTAGAGTTATCACATGAGGGACGAATATTCATCCCTTACCATCCTTGAGCGCAATGGTTTACTGTGCTTCCACAAAAGTTCGTTCGAGAGCAGCATTCTCCCAGCCCATTACCTTGACATTTTTTGCCGTTTGATCCACAAGCGCCATCGGTGGATACGTCGGTCGGCTTAGGAGCTTGTGAAATCGTAGTGACAGCTGCACACGTCCCGAAGGTGAGTTGGCAGCCAGCACCGCAATGATCAGTCGTAGCTCCGCAGAAGCCGCTTGGGCTGCAACAGTCTCCAAATGATGATCCTTTACATTTATACTTATTAGAACCGCCGCAAGTGCCATCTGGTGATAGATCGGTGCTTGTGCAAGTTCCAAAAGCCGTTTGGCAACTAGCTGTGCAGTGGCCTGTCGTGGTTCCGCAATAGCCGGAGGAACTGCAGCAATTTCCAAAGGTCGATCCTTGGCAAATATACTTGTTGGCTCCTCCACAAGTACCGTCCGGTGACACTTTACTTCCAGAGCAGGTCCCGAAAGTTGATTGACAACCAGAGTCGCAATGAGCAGCGGTGCTACCACAGAAACCCCCACTGCTGCAACAATTCCCAAACTCGGAATTTAAGCACTTATACTTCTTTGCACCGCCACAGGTTCCATCGGGAGATGTATCGGTGGTTTTACAAGTTCCGAATGGTGTTTGGCAACCAGCAGTACAGTCTAAGGAAGAAGAGTAGGTCAGTCCCGTTTCTAATAGAGGTAAACTCAGTCCACCAAAACTTACGCGCAGTGGTACTTCCACAGTAACCAGCAGAGCTACAACAGTCTCCAAATCCTGAGCCGACACATTTGAATTTGTTTGCACCACCACAGGTCCCATCCAGGGACAAATCGGGAGCAGTACAAGTGCCAAATTCGGTCTGACAGCCAGCAGTACAGTGCCTATCAGTTCGGCCACAATACCCAGAAGAGCTGCAACATTCTCCAAAGCCGGAGCTGACACATTGGAACTTGTTCGTTCCTCCGCAAGTCCCATCAGGAGATACTAAAGGATTAGTACAAGTTCCAAATGCCAGCTGACACCCTGCAGTACAATGACCTGCGGTACTGCCACAAAAGCCAGAGGAGCTACAACAGTCACCGAAACCAGATCCTGCGCACTTGAACTTATTTGCTCCTCCGCATGTCCCATCAGGGGAGCTGTCTGTTTTTGTGCATGAGCCAAATGTTGCTTGGCAGCCAGCGGTACAATGACCAGTTGTGGAACCGCACTTGAAAAATTAGCACTGGCTCGACTCTTGATAATCGCAAAAGATACTTTCAGTCTCTCGAGTAATGGGATAATTTTGAACATACAAAGCCACTTGACGAACAGCAATTACCGAACGGGGAGCCTTGGCAGACATAGCCGCTGCTTGATCCGCAACTACCGTCTGGAGAGACGCTTCCAGGAGTCACCAGTTGCCTTTTGCAGAGTCCGAATGCCTCTTGGCTGGTTAATCTCGAGTCAGTAAAATGTTCAAAATATATCAGATTCTCAATCACATACCATCCCGCACCACAATGTGTCTCTAATCCTCCACAAACTCCGTCTTTACTACAACAATTGCCAAAGACAACGTCGCAAGTATGGCCCTTGGCACCTCCACATGTCCCGTCAGGAGTTGTGCCAGTTTGCCATGGTACAGCAGCGCCCGCAGTAGCAGTCTCGTGCAGTATGCTGCAATTGCCAGATTGACAAGATGTTTTGCCACAGAATGCCTCTCCCGTACCACATTTACCACTATTATTGCAGCAGTCGCCCCACTTACCACCGCACTTGAGATACTTGTTTTGCGAACCACATGAGCCGCCATTCAATGAGAACTCGGTCGGGAACCCGGTGCACCCCCCCTCAAAACATGTTCCCGCTTGACAGTCCGACCTTGAACTAGTTAGTGCAGACGACAAGAAACAGTATTGTAGACTTACGCGGAATTGCCACACTTCCAGGTCTCAGAATTGCAACATTGACCACCTGAGTATCCTCTGCACGAAGCATTTCCGTGATTAGGACCACAGAAGCCATCTGTTGTGACAGTTACCGCTGTAACTACACAATCATCATCAGTGAAGTCAAACAAACAAGGGTCTTATCGTTCGACAAACCTCCAGCTACACAGTACTTGGTATTGGGTTTGATGTTGCTACAGTCCGTCTTGAGATCTGGATTGAACAGGAAGAGCTGCTCGGTCGAGATTTGATATCTCAACGCAAGTTCCGTACATGTGTAATAGTTTACATTATCTCGGGTGTCTGCTTTGTATCTACAGTCGATAGCAGCTAGACAGTTGCCAGCCAATGTAAACAAAAGCGTGGTGGCTCGAAGAGAAACAAACATCATGAGTACTCTGGAACAATGTTGCTGGGCAATCGGGCAACATACAGAGGAGACTCAGTATATGAATGAACTGATGAGGATACTAGTCCCTTCGAATTGAGAACGAAGATCTCATACGCCGTCCTTCGAAACCTATCCTCGGTGTCCACGATGGAATTAAAATGATCCCTGAGAAGCCATCAGGCTCATTTGGCACACCCGAGCTTGGCATAAGCCTGGCAAACGCATTCATTCAATATTACGTCCATGGGCTTCGATACCAGCATCCAAAAGTACCTACCTACTAGGATTGATCATGCAGCTTCTAAAGAGATATTTCGTTTGACGCTGACGGGTACCTGCATAGCTTGGCTGCGGAAAAGGAGGCTTGATGTGGAAGCAAACGAGCTCGCCTATCGCTTGGCAGCCGGTCGATCTCCTACATCCAGTCCGCACTTCGCTTTCGCATTCGCATTCTTTTTAAAGTGTTCTTCCTCGAAACCGATTCTTCTTTCAATTTTCTGCAGTTGCATTTTAACTTCATTCACAACGTCCTCTGACACAAAGAAAATGTCAGACTCTTCGTTATCCCAGCCAATGCCAAGCTCTTTCGCCCAACAACGTCAGCACATGGACTTTCTTATGGACCTGGAGGTCATGCAACGGCTACGCTGGCCTCTATTTGGGCCCAAAGAGGATATCATGGTCGCAGAAGGATCAGCCTTACATCCTCTTCTAGACACTGAGCGGCCCCATCCGCTTGCAGACCAGCCAGCAACCACGCCACCTCGGGCTCGAATGTTGGTACAGGTAGCCGCGATTGCCACTTGGGACTATTGGCAAGACAGCGGAGATACAGCCTCCGAGCCAACACCGTTGATTATCGAGAACGAAGATGGTCATGCTATTACCATCGGAGAACTTGTTGGAAGGGTGCACCAATACCTTACACCATTCGAGATCTTGCTCCGCGGAGTGTTTGGCCTCTCGAAGACGGGTCCGGAGAAATTCCATTGTGCCGGTTTTCAAAATGTTCTAAGATACCATTCTCCTGAGCCTGACTTGGTCTTTCAGATCGAGGTCGATTATGATTCTGGTATCAGGGGTATCGAGGAGTCTTCTATGGGGGCCCAGCAGCAATACGCCGGAGAAGGAAGTTTGGTGCACGTTGGGGGATTGGAGGGCCTCGCCGCTCAGGCTGGAGACTTTCCACAGCATGATGCTTCATAAGTTTAGGAGATGGAAGCTTTGTGGTTCTCTTGTGCGGTTTTGATCAAGGATAACATCGGTTGGTTCACATTTACAGCCAGTGTGAATGGCCAGGAAAGGTATTCTCTACATTGAAATATTGTACCCTGCAAAATATCGAAATGGAGCAAAACGCAATTGAATCACTTTCTAGATCCTCTAAATGAGTTTTCAACCACTGTCACTCTTACCTACTGCCCTTCTCCTATGTTTGGCAAGTGGAAGTTCACCTTCCCTTTCTGAAACCAATATAAGATAGAAATTCTCAATAGCAATCTTAAGACTTTGTCAAATGACCTTTCGCCGATCGACTTGAGTTCGAGTAAGCATCTAGAGTCCCCGCCAAGAATTAATGACATGCAGACTACGTCGAAGCATGATCATTACGATCCACATATCTTTTCCCTGTCAGACATGTCAAAAAGGTGCATGGTGCCAAGCCACGTCTCGCGCAGGTCAACGAATAGGGTGACTTGGTTTGTGCTGGCATTCTATTCCGGACCCTTCCAAAGTACAAGTAACGCTTGTGCCACTTGTATCCGAATACTACTCTAAGGGCACAATCGATGACATTGCATCGGACCGAATCCTGTTCTAGCAAAAATCCCGCGTACATGTTTGAGCGAAATGGGCACAGAATTGGATCGTTCCAGGCGGCGTCGAACAGAATTGTGCCATGGAACAACTCAGGACCGGCCCATTCTAGACTAGGTACATAGTAGATTGTAGTCGCGAGAACATTTACATGGCGGCTTGTATGAAAATCTGTTGACATTTGATCAGTCATTCCTTTCTTCTCAAGCTCTCCTTCTTCTTCTCAATATTCTCTCGTTCAGATTCATGATCTACTCTTCCAGACCATGTAAGATATCTTTCACCATCACCAACTCATACTAAAATCAACTCATAGTTGCCTATCAGGGCGTTCGACGATAAATTCCAGACACAATTGGAATCTCCAACATCATGTCTTTGTCATGGCTACACAAAGTCGTTCTCTTCATCATTACTTGCCAATCAGCGTTGTCGGATGCTCAATATATACAAGATTATGTATGGCACGTTGATAACGGTGTTCATAGGCCATCTTGGCACCGTGAGCCAAACATTGCAACACATCCATACACACCTGTTGTTGTCCCCGTAACAACCTCAACGATTCTTCAGTATAACTGTTTTTATATGAGAGCAATATGCCTGAATATGAGGAACTGGATGAGTTCCCCTCGTGCTCAAGCTCGTTCCATAGTAGGACACATCAATGGTGGTGCTACTTTGTTTAGCTACGATTTCCATCCTGGCACAAGTGCCAAGAAGGGAAACAAGATGTGTCCTGATAATTGGGATGCTGGTGCCCCATGCCCAAGAAACAACCAGCCACCGGTGATGCCTGGACCTTGGTTTTCGACCGCTTTGGAAACAATCGATCCTTTGAATCACAGAGAGATTCTAGCAGAAAGAGGGCCAGATCCAGATGACCCAACGGGGCAACAACAGATAATTACCCGAAGAAGTGGCCGACTTTATACCTGTGAAGAGTTCCCACCCCGCACGTAAGTGTGAAGAACATCCACCACAATATAGCATGGCTGATTGCTGATATACTGTTAGTATGGTTGAGGGCGGTATCGGTATTGGAAATGAACCAGGATTAGCTGGGACCGCAGTAGAGGGCGATGGCGGTCCAGGGTTGACATATTGCGCTCCGATGGGCCTGAATGTCGGCTGTACCGGAGGACTGATCCCCGGCCCTGGTCCAGTAGTCCCTGATCCTACGGATCCAGATCCAGATCCCGACGACGCCAGAGACTATACTCGATCCGAGCAGAGTAAGAACACTCTATGACTCTGAATCTTATGATGCTTTCCTGACATAATTAGACTGGCAAGCTACCGCACACTCACAACTACAGGTATGTATCTTCCATGTTTAAAAGCTCCAAATCGCAGGAATTATCAATGGAAATCGTGCTCAGGTAGCCGAGACACGTCCAAGGTGGCATTTCAATATCTTCCTGCCTTAACTTGAAAGCTTGGGGTCCGAACCTTTCGAACTTGAGAAGATGGTGCTAAGGCATAACAGAGGATACTCAAGCAAGAGGCTATCAATGAGCTTGCCAGAAACGGATTACCTTTCAGTACCGAGCGTCACGTTGCAATGTTTGGGATGAGGATGGTCAACGAGCCCAATAACAACATACCCGCGAAAGTTTTCAAGACTGGTGCGGTTCCGGAAACATGGTACGTATGAGTTTATTTCCCATTGCGTTCTAGAGTATTAGAATATCTTTTGCGCTGTTGTGGCTTCTACCGTTCTGTTCTGAATATGGAAGCTCACCATATAATTAGGACGGGAAATTTGGGACGCCGAACGAAGGTCAACTCGGCAGAGATGACAACTCATGATGTGTTGGAGTATATGGCAGGTCTAACTGATGAGGATTTGGTCAAATTCTCTAGCATCGACATTCCACTGGACACGCAAGAATTGAACAGCAGCTCCATGCTTGACACTCCTGACGTGCAGCACTCTTCCGAGTTTAGTGCATTCAGTAACCCAACTCCAATGTCACTGAATGAGACGGAATCATCAGATGATACGATACCGGAAAGTGCGAACTCGACTAGGGCACTGAGAGTTGCGACTACCTCAAGCAACTCAACCTTGGCGAAGCAAAACCGAAACCGAGGAGTGGTAGACATTCTCGCAATCGGAACAGAGTATATCCTCGCCCAGCTAGGGGGCCACAACGGCACAAGTTCTAACACATCAATGCTTGTAAAGAATTCCACAGCTCCCCAGAAGCTCTCGATTCGGAATAGTCTGCGACATACATCAAAGAATACGGTCGGCTTGTCCAGCTTCGGCACCCTCAGCAAAAGAGGGCCTGTCACCTGTTCAAGTGGAGAAGAGTGCAAAGATGGTAGTTGCTGCGGCAAAGACGGCCTGTGTGGTTTCAAAGAAGTGTAAGATAATTATGCAGATGAAACCTGCCTCCATAAACATCTACTAATACCACGATAGGCATTGTGGCGCCGGGTGTACATCCAATTGTGATGCCAAGGCTATGTGTGGTATCGACTCCGAAGATGGAGCAGTTTCCTGTGGATTGAAGCTTTGCTGCTCTTATTATGGTTGGTGTGGCACAGAGGATGGTAAGTACTTGCAATCCATCTCATTTCCACCAAAAGTCGAAAGTCTTGTGGGTGTATAACGTGGGAATGCTAATCAGCATGCCCTCTAGTTCATTGCGTGGATCCAGAACCACAGTTTGGATTGGTACGTTAAATGGCATTGTTTGATAAAATCCTTCATGCTCCAGCTACTAACTAGAAGCAACAGACCTCTTGTCAGAAAGGCTTTGGAGGCTGTGAAATCAAGGCACCGCCGTCTTGTGGTGCTACGTCTGGCACATCTTCTGGAAGACGGGTTGCCTACTACCAGGGCTGGAACGTCCGAGAAAGACTTTGTGATAGCATCGCTCCGAATCAGATCAACACTCGCGGACTGACACATCTCTTCTACGCTTTCGCCACTTTTGACCCGGTCACCTTTCAAATGACCCCAATGAACGCGCGAGATCCTCCGATATATGGTCAATTCACGGCACTGAAACGAAATGGGCTGCAGACATGGATTGCAATTGGAGGGTGGTCGTTCAATGATCCTGGACCTACCGAAATGGCTTACAGCGATATGGTGTCTAGCGCGGCCAACAGAGCTGCTTTCATAACATCAGTTATCTCATTCATGACGAAATACGGATTCCAAGGAGCTGATATCGATTGGGAGTACCCCGCGGAACCGAAGAGAGGCGGTCGTAAGGCAGACGCCGACAATCTGACGCTCCTGATGAAGGAAATGAGAGCTGCATTCGGCAGCAATTTTGGACTCAGTGTAAGCCATAACAGAGTCAAATTGTGTCATACGATGGGAAACACTTCGCTAACGCAAAAGCAGCTTACACTTGCACCTGATTACTGGTACCTTCGTGGATTCAAGCCGTCCGAGATCGAAAAGTACGTTGACTTCATGGGATTCATGTCATATGATCTTCATGGGCCTTGGGATACCGATGTCAAAGCTCTGGGCTCCATTGTTCGCCCACACACGGATGCAACCGAGATCGACAAGAACCTCCTGCCGCTCTGGTTCGATGGAGTGAATCCTGCCAAGGTAAACATGGGACTGGCATACTACGGGCGTACTTACAAGCTCAGTGATCCGTCGTGTGGCGCAATGGGCTGCGGATTTAGTGGACCTGGAGATGCTGGATCATGCACAGGCTTCGAGGGAGTCCTTTCTAACCGGGAGATCCGACAAATGATCAACAAAAATGGCTACACTCCATATCTCAACACTACCGCAATGGTCAAGTACTTCACCTATGGTGAGGACAACTGGGTTGGATATGATGATGAAGAGACCTACGCGATGAAAGAGCAGCTGGCCAACGAGCGTTGTCTTGGTGGTATCATGATCTGGTCTATTGATTTTGATGCTGAGACTGGAGGGGGTGGTGTTGGAAACAACTTCACATCCCCAATCAGTGCCACTGTCATTCCAATGGCCCATACTACGGTTGCTCCTAGAGCTACATTCACCATCAGCGATCCCTCTGCGACCGACGTTTTTCAACTTACGAGTGAAGGAGCTCAGAATCAACCTCGTGGACCAGGATCATCGGCATGCGGCTACTGCAGTTTCTTCCGTTTGATCACATCAACATGTTGTGGTTTTGGAGGCAGTGTTGGTAATGCAGTCGAGATTCCTGCAAACGTACCAATCCCGCTTGATATCCCCGTTGCAGCTGGCTTCGTCCCAAATCAAGCTTTCAACACGACTGATGGAAAATACATTCCCGCAAACCAGCCATTGGACGCTGGAGTCACTATACCATGGGGCACAACATTTCCCGCTCCTTTCATATTCCCACCAGGTCAACCACTGAAGAATGGCGAGAGTGACGAGGAAGAAGGAGGTAACAGCAGTCTCATCTGGATAGATCAATCCATATGGAAATCCCCTGAGCCAGAAATATGGTGTTTTTGGCCATGTACTTTTGTCCTACCTCCATGGCCGAGTTTCACGACCACAATCGACTACCCTATTATCACAGTCTCAGAATCCAGCTGGAAAACGACTATCACAAAGCCACCAGTCACAGTGAGCACATGGCATATCTCGACAATTGTGGTAGGAAGCACGAAGAATGACAAGGAGACAAAGAAAACTTCCGACATCACACTCAGCAAGGACCGAACTTGGGTGGCAGTCACGTATCCTGACAAGACTGGAAGACCTAAAACCACGAGACCTCCGTTTCCACGGCCGCCACCACCTCCTATCACAATAAGATTGCCCAAAATAACCATTCGGAATGGTTCTCCCAAACCAGTCGCTTCAAAAAGATGGCCAGATCCTTGCTGTCCAGGCGTTGTTGATAACGACAACAAAACAGAGGAAGAAAAGGAGCAGGAAGAGGAGGATGACGAAGCAGAGAGTCCAAGCGTTTGTGTAGTTCAGACCTTCCCTACTACATCTGACCCTGAGGTCCCAGCAACCACCCCACCACTCCCACCGCCAACTACGATGTCCACTGTAGCTCCTGTACCAGCCCCTACGTCACCTCCAGCGCCACCTCCACCTCCACCCCCAGCGACCACTTCGAGTGCTCCACAGCCGCCACCTGTTTCTGTCCCAGACTTTAAGCAAAACAAACTAGAGTGCTACTCGACTGGTCAAACAACCAGCCGTGACAAGCTTTTGGAAAGCGTTCGAGACTTCTGCGGCAGCTCATCGTATTTTGGGATATGGGAGAATGGAAACCACAACACAAGAGTAGTCAACTGGCCATGGGATGCTGCAGACGGAGCAGGTGTCGACGTCCTCATCTCACTAGAAATGAAATGGAACTGCAAATGGGTTTTCACCGAGGTAAGCGACCCCTATGCCCTGTGTCGGAGAGTAAAAATTGCTGACGATCTCAACTCCAGGATGCTTGCAATGTCCAGTTTGCGAAACTAGTAGACGAATGTCAAACGAATAGTAGGTCAGCCAAACAAGGAGCTAACATGGAGAACAACTGCATGAAGTTCCGCATTGACCCAAACCTGAACAACGCACCCCCGCCTCCGCCTCCGCCTCCGCCTCCACCTCCTCCTCCAGCACCTCGCAGAGCACCAACAGATCCGATGTCAAGATATAAGATATTCGGACAAACGCATGCCGAGGAGAGCAGAGGAAATTACAATCACATTCACGAGTATCGGGGGTACGCAGCAACAAAATCATACTCCATATGCAAGCAATCCATAAAGAAGACAATCACGGCCACTAAACCGGAGAGCTTGGACGTTGATCTGATTGGCCTGGAAGAGGTGTTCGGAGACACCTGTGATTTTTTGAAGAATGGACAGGATTACAAGAAGGCAAAGATTGCTGATACCTTGGGCGTTTTGCGCTGTCCGAGCTATGACGATGCTATTTGTCGCAAGATCACAGGCAGCGATTGGTGCGGTGGAATCGGTGGTGCATATACTATTTTTCATTTGTTGGACTGTGCTTGGCCATAAGGTTCTGAGTAGTGGCTGTTGAAAATATTTGTACAATATAGAAGGATGCGTGTATTTATTCTGTACGTGTGAATGAGGCTCTCTCTTTGTTTTCTTAACATCTCGCTTATTTCGCAATCAATGCTTTGAAAACCTTGAAGACTTTCAGTTCGCGACCACCTCGCAAGTCCAATGTGATCACAATGCGAACAAATAACTCCTAGTTTGACAATAAAAAATACTAAAATTCGAGACAAGGAATAAATCTACAAGATCTTGTAGGGCAGCATCCATGTCTTCCAAGTCCCAAGAGCCTCAGGATGATGTTAAATATTCTTGACGGTTCTCGGTTGGATAGTTTCCAGCTGTCGAACTAGCTGATACTAAAGAGTCTTCTATATCTCCTTTCCATGTGTACTAAGAGGCACTGGACCTGGTACTTGCAGGCACATGCTCAAATATTGGTCTGATTCGACAATGTAGGCAGCGATTTGTATGGAGATTATTATCTTGTCTTTTCCGTCACTGACAGATGCTCCTACAACACGAAAGGAGAACGAGAGTCAAAGCTTTTACCCATACATCAGGTTCACTCCAAGGAACCAAACTATTAATGTACCACCAATACTTCTCCTCATCAATAATCCCATCCATCTCAGATGACTGCTGTGGGTCCAAATTCAAACCTAAGCGCCGTGCTACATAAGTCTCCGGGCTCTCATCCCAAGATAAACCCAGCTGCCGTAATCTCACCTCAGCCACTATCCATAAGGCTGAGCTGCACTGCTGCTCCACTCCACTCATGTCAGCATTACCGGTGATCATCGCTTCTTCGCATCACGTGCCATCCTATTGACGTCCTCTGCCCCAAGGCCCCCACGCCATCCTTCCCCTTCCTATTGCTCACTCCTACTTTCACAGTCTGCCTGACAGGATGAATCAGAGAACAGAAAACTCATATTAAACTTCTCTTCGTGGTCATCAGAGATATATTTGTAGACCGGGTAGCGATGCGACCGGATGCGACACAGGGGAATGCGATGCTGAATAGGGGGTATACGTGATAGACGATGCGGCGATGCCCGTTGGCTTCGTGGTTTTCAGTACTGCTTAGGTGGCATGTAACTATACAGCACCTGATCATATGATGACGCCCCCAACTTTGGGTTGTGGTATTTGGAGTTCTTGGAAAACGGAAACTAGAGCAACTAGGTGCGGTGGCAATTTGAAGTCGAACTTTGGCGCGAATCCGATACAGGCCACAACCGCGTTTCGTGGCACAGGCAGTGAACAGACTCTTGAAAACAAACATGCGCAAACAACCGATACAGTGGACAGCAAAAATCAAAAATTGGAAAACGGGAAAAGCAGAAACTTAAGAACAGTGTTCCCGAAGTCTAAGAATAACAAGATGAACAAATCGGATAATAGAAAATCAAAGAGCGTCCAAAAATCAAACGAGATCCCCCGCTGTTCGCCTTGTGCAATGCTGTATTCCTGTACCCATTTCCAATTTCCATGCACCTGCACGCTATGCATCCAAAGCCATAATGTTGAAAACAAAGGAAATCCATCTAAATATTCAGACAATCATCGTTTATCGAAGCAAGTCTCCGGAGAAATTTCACCAACTCATGCGCAGCTCAAGTGCCGTCTCGCTTCGCCTCCAAACCTCTAGTTTGTTAGGCGAGGGTTGCTGAACAATTAATACCCAGTTGTGGTAGGAGGCACATCCCAATGTCGAAGCATCTGGTCCAGGGCCTCGTTCCACTCCCAGGCACAGCAAGCAGCTAGCTGCGATGCCTCTTCGGTGTCAGGGAAGCGACCACCCCACATCTCGGGTTTGGCAGCCTCACTGGCAGCATACGTCTCGATCATTTGACTCGAGGATATATCAGAATCATTTAAATCTGTCACAAGGCGAATAACTTACTCGTCACGCATCTTGACTAGCACCAGCCATGCGTAATTCCAGCTTCGATTACTCTCTGGGTCGTTGCTGACTTTCCACTTTGCGTCGTCCAGGCATTCACTACTGAAAGTGTAGTTCCGGGTAAGACCACGAAGCTCGTTGAGGAGATTGTTGGAGGTGACATAGTAAGTCCAAGCACTTGTCATCGGCTCTTGAAAGGCTAGTTGCTCTTCCTCTGACGCTGTTGCAGCGACTCGTTCAATTCGACAAAGTTCAGTGAGAGTGTTGATACGATGGGTGTTCAAAGAGTCAATCAGTTGCGCTGTACTCTGCTGCAGTGGGACGTTAGCCAGGGAATGGACTTAGATAGAGCGGTTGGACGAGACAGTTCCTAGGTGATCGGGGGGATAGATTACGAAAAACAATCCTTGACTCACTTGGGTTGAGCGACGAGAGCCTCTGCTGGACGAGCCGCCATGGGAACGTTTCGCGTGTCGGGATGACATGATGTGTGAAGTCTATCAAGAACCGAAGCGTGCTCCTTTATCGTAGTGCTCGGTTTCTTTCACTGTCAATGATTGATAAGATGGTAAGGTAAGAGTATGTATACCGACACGTGAGCTTTGGTTTCGAAGATGCTACAAGATAGATAGGCAGGTCGTAAAGACAGCTTGAAAAGATATGTGAGGTGGACTGTTCTCAAATTCTGACTTATGGCTTGAACATGTATGCGACGAGACTCTGATATATAGTCATGAACTCAAAGGAACTGGAAACGCCTCCAAACATGTGTAACGGTCGTGGAGAATAGCAATGACTCTTGATATTGAAGCAAAGCATGCCGCACTGACGCATCGGCCAGTAAAATACCAAAGTCCATCATCTCACCAGAGTGGATACGTCAGGACTCCAGAACATGGGGCAGAGCTGGAGGTGAAGATGAGAAATTGAGATAAATATCGGAGAAAATAGACACAGTATGGATTGTAGTGACCAGGGCAAGCAACATCCAAGCTTGAGTAAGGCATCTTTCTTCAGCTCTGTGTACACCATGGTAGGCTAGAGCCCTTCGAGGCACGTGCTAGTAGCCCATTTGGACTTCCGTACTCAGCTCTGGATTGCTATTGGTCAGACTTGAAATGCTCCCTTGGCGGCTTAGCCATGCGGCGTCGCAGACAACAGACCAGGCAAGTAATGCACACGGAAATCAGAGGATAACAGATAATTTTTGCGACGCATAATGCGCGTGTGGGATCCTCTTGACAATCTGGACTTCTGGCTTGTTACTGGTGAAGAGTGCTCTCTGTTTGGAAAGTCCAGTGAACCCTAACTTGCCTGGTGCTGACATCCATTTATAGGCGTGAGAAGTGGCTTTAAACCTGCCAAGGATCATGAAAACCAGAAATACAGTGGGAGCAGCATACGTACAGAACGTCTCCTATTCCTAGAACTTAGACAGTCACTGGACAAGGCTTTCTATAGGAAAGCTCAAAGAGGAGCCTTGTATCTTAGCCTCGGAGGAAAGTCCTTTGAGGCTCAGGAAACCAGTGCCTCGATTCGAAAATCTATTTTTCCTTGTCGATCGTGGCTGTCTGAAGCAAGCCAATAAAAATGTGATACGGCAGGACATTGCACTAATTGAAGTACCAATCTTCAATTCCGAGGATTTCTGGGAGCATCTTGTCCCAGAATTGAGGTCCCATGCGTTCACGGGGGGATGTCTGTGGCAACAACCCCAAGTGCTTATGAACAACAGCCACACATTATCCAGCCCTATTTACGACGACTTCGCTCCCATAGGTCAATTAAATGGAAGCATCCGAGGTTTCCACCTCGTCGGTTTATACTGCAAAGAGTAGGTAGGTTCATTGTGGGGCTCAAGGCGCAATTCTTCCCCAATCATGTCAAACTGAATGCCACTGGCCACGATATTGTGCATGATATCAAGAGCAGCGCAAGAAAGGGAAGCAAAAAATTAAAACGCGAAAGCGATGCTATTTGAAGAGTGCGGCCGCTTAAAGCAGGCCAACAACGCACTGAGAAGGCGTATTTTCCGTCAGATGATCATAGAATCAACCTGATATTGTATGTTGTGTTTCCGGGAAGCAATGATATATTTCCATTCGTAATTCGGCGACATTAAATCCACGACCGACGGGGGCAGATTTGCGCCCGCGCATGCGGCACGGGATACGACAGAACATTGCAGCAGCAACTTCTCCAAATCTTGATGAGCCCAGCTACCTACGTGAAGAAGTGTGAGCCTGGACTGGAGCACAGAATTACAAGATAGGGAACTTACGTGCTGGATCGACAGCTACTCTCCAGCCTCACCCTGGGTTGTTGTGTTGAGGAGAAATTTAATTCCTCAGCAGACTGTGGATGTTGCCTGTGGGCGCTGTCATGTCATCTCAGGTCAGCATCGACCTTCTAGAAGGCCCACCAAGCGCGCCACCCCACCTCTGGCTCTCAGCCGCAATACTGTCCACTGTATTACCTCCCTCGTCTCCAACAGTCTCTTGTCTATCCTTTCTTCATCCGAAAATAGTGCCATCCTGACGAACGGGGAGAGTTGACTGGCGAAGTCGCAAGACTTCCTCCACTCGAAGCTTCATCGCCAACTCATTGCCACAATGTTGCCACAATGAAAACGGTGTATTCCTGATCACCCCGGCTTCAGGGTCTCAAGGCAACAGCAGCAGTGACTGCTGAATGTGTCGCATTCAATGGGATCGATATCAACGCCTTTCAAAACGCCACTTGGACCTGCAATTGTTGGTGATGCCTCAATCCATGACCATGACATTCCAGCTCGCAATATCCCACGACTCGTTTGGTGAGGCCAATAGAGTTCTGGCATCCGAGTGCTCTGAGTACTGATGAGGAAATGGAGACGGAGGAAGACAGAGGGTGAGGATACCACCTAAGACATCGGGTTTCTAGGGCTCCAGATGGTTCCGACGGGTATGAGCTAGTAGTGAGCGCATGGCTGGTTGTCAGCTTCCATGAACGGAATCACGGTCGGTGTCGTCCTTGAGCAGACAAGCTGATCGGTCTTGTGAAACCGACAATCTATCCTATACGCTTGCTTGATAGCACATAGAACCTTGAGATTAGAGGAACCGAACCGGCCATACAGTCCATGAATGCTCCCTGCTTGGTGCCACCGAGACTGGGAATCGCTTTGGCACTGGTCCGGGAGCTTTCTGTCGTATGAGGTCGAGGTCGAGGTCGATATCCCAAAGAAGGATGCAACGCATGAAATGGAAATCGAAACACAGTACTGGAGACATGGAGTCGTGCCCACCTATGGAGGTAGGTAGGATTCCCGCCTTTGTATGACAAAGCTGGAAAGCAGATCCGACGAGGCAGGAAAGGCAAGATATCCCCGAGGTATCTCAAGCAGTTAGTACATCGAAGGCAATCGAATCTCTGGTAGGAATCAAGACGTTCATATCGTTGCTCCCAAACGACTACCGAAACATATCTCGGCGCCGTGATCATGCTAAAAGGGGTAGCGAGAATTTAGGAAGCCACACCGCAATCTTATCTTTCTGACTCGCATTCCACACTTCCAACTTCCAATTCCACCAGGTTTCTAAGCTTCAATCTAAATTCCGCTGTTCCTGACGCTTTTCCCAATGCAGCCCGATCGACTTTCTAGCTCGACGCTATCATTAAGCTTAAGGTCAAGCTTGAGTTTATGTTCATTTCCCTGTCGTCTTTCACTGGTCGAATCCTCAAAACAAAGTCACTCTTGCGCAAGTGCCAATCTTCATTTGCCATAGATCAAGCTTGTCTTACGGCTTCGATCTAGACAGCCTAGACTGGCGATCTGGGGAAGCTTTCGTCGGTTGGCCCACAAGCCGAGTACATGTTGCTATGAGTCTTTGCATTCTCAAGCCAAAATGGCTTCAGAGCAATCTCTTTTGAGCATCTTTACTTTGCCGTATTCAGGATGGGCTTTTGTCGAGAGAGACCACTGTCAAGCGAGAATGTCATTTACGACGATGTCAAAAGAACAGGTCTCCCTGATTCCCCCAATCCCCTCTTTGCCGTGTCAAGCATCACACACTTCAGTCGTTTCCATCAGTCTTTACAGCCACTCACCAAGTCACTCGTTATTTGATACCTCCAGCTCTCTGTCATCATGAAGTACGCATTCTCCATCGCTGCTCTCGCAGCAGTTGCTTCTGCCGGCCCAGTCATCACTCAACGTCAAGCCCAGGCCGCTGTCACCGATGGTTCGTCTCCCCTCTCTTCCAAAGCGTTCCTCGCTGACCAAAGCTACAGTTGGCATCCTGAACTATGCTCTTACTCTTGAGCATCTCGAGGACAAGTTCTACCGTGAAGGTCTTGCCAACTACACTGCTGCGGACTTTGCCAAAGCTGGATTCGACGCCACCTTCTATGCCAACCTCAAGGAGATCTCCTACGATGAGACCACTCACGTTTCTTTCTTGACCACCGCTCTTGGTGATGCTGCCGTTGCAGAGGTGAGCCAACACCCCAACCTCTTTTACCAAGGATCGCTCTGACAGAACCCACAGTGCACCTACTCATTTCCCAGCACCGACCCAGCAAGCTTCGTTGCTCTTGCCTCCGTTCTCGAGGGCGTTGGAGTTTCTGCCTACCTCGGTGCTGCAGCCTCCATCATGAACAAGGACTACCTCACTGCGGCCGGTTCGATCCTCACAGTCGAAGCCCGCCACAACGCCTACATTCGCTCATCCATCAAGCAATCCCCCTTTCCTCAACCATTCGACGCCCCCTTGACCTTCGACGAAGTCTACACCCTCGCAGCAGGCTTCATCGTCTCCTGCCCCCCATCCAACGCCGGCAAGCCTCAGCTCCCCCTCAAGGCTTTCCCAACTGTCGCACTCGGCACCACCGGTCCCATCAAGTCCGGTGACACCATCGAGCTCTTGACTCCCGGCTACGTTTTGGCACCAAAGGATGGAGCGTCTCCAATCTACGCTGCGTTTGTCAGCGTCACTGGACCCATCTACGCCGATGTTACACCTATCAAGGGTGGCTTCAAAGTTGTTGTGCCCAAGGGTGTCAACGGACAGAGCTACGTCGTCCTCACTGGATGCAAGGACCGTGTCACTGATGACACTGTTGCCGCTGGACCAGCGATCGTCGAGATCACCAACCCATACCCAAGCACCGCATAAATTTCTTCTGCTACATGCGAAGGGAGGAAGTCGGGTATGCGCGGGGTGATTGTGGATATTGGGGTGGTTGGTAGGGTGGAGAATGTTGGTTTGTTGTTGTGATGAGATCAAAAGATACGCGACTTCTGTTCCTGTACATATTTCCTAATAAGCAATAAGTCCATCGGAACAATTGTTCCGTTGAGCAAAAATAATGGAAATAATGTCTATATGAAATCATCAAAACAGACACAGCTTCTCCACAGTCTAGGCATCGTGACACTCCTTCTATTCAAAAGTGTTTTAGACCATTGCAGCGTACTCATCTTAGTGCTCCTCCCCTCGGTTCTCTGGGAGTGTGTTTAATGCTAGTAAAAGATTTGAACGGCTTACCAGACAATATGGCAGCAACGATAACTACGTACCTCACCGCCGGGCGGCACTCAACGCTGAGCAGCTACCAATGCGTCCTCCAATAGCATACAAAAAATGAGGTTAAAAATTGCCGTGGTCATGTTGCGAGCTCTATTCTCTAGCTTCTGCAAGAGTCATGCGGAGGAAAGTGCGTACATATCCCTTGAAGTTATTGTCAATTTCTAGCTCATTGTCGTTTCATCTGCTGTCGCTCCCGCTCACAAGTGCTCTTGTACAACTCTCAAGTTCCACACACTCGACGAGTCTCCCACTCGTCTTTTTAGTGCCTGGGTTCGGTAACTATAATTTCCCTCCACTCAACACAGACTGACATAGTGTGCTCCTGTTTTCCCTTCCTGAGCTTCCATGTAACTGGTGATGATGCGTCTTGTGGCTGTTAGTTGACCATTTACTTCCCGAGTCTTGGCACATTATATACTTCTTCACCATTGCACGCCGAGCGCTTTCACATTTTCCAATAGCTATACAGCGCAGCAGCTATTCACTGATGACCAGTACAGTCACTCTACAGCACGCTTCTTTATAAATCAAACCTCAACGGATGAGACAATCAGTACTTCACCACTCTGCTTGAGATGAAGAGAGCATATATGCCTTGATTAAAGATTCAGATCTTCAGAATAGTTCCCTGAAGCTAACATCACTTAAGAAGGACTTAGGCATCTTTTGCAGATAATCGCGCTTTTCTGTCTCCTGCACACTCAGTCGATGCGGATGAAACCTGTAGGTGAGGGAAATGACAGCGACAGGGAATATCATTTGTATGGCTGTCAAAACGTCGATCGTTGCCAATTGAAAGCGTCACAATATATTCATTACAAGCACGAGTGATAATATGGCTCTGAAGTCCGTGTCGAAATAGCAACGTTGAAGACTCAGTCCATTTCGAAGCCGCGTCGCCTCTCTTTGGTAAGCAGACCACTTCACAATATTGATGGGAGCAACGTATCATCTCCTCCGTTACTAATCCAATTGCTGCCTCTGGTACTCCTTCAAGATATCTGTATTTATACTAGCTCGTAAGATGGCCTGATTCTCAATGGTGAGTAGTTTTCGGCCACCAACTTGAAATCAACACTGCCCCTCGCTTAACCCCGCTCTGATTACCCCGCCCCCTGTTCACTGATCTTCATATGAATGAGGGCAAGGACTTGGAAAAGAAACAAGGAACTTCTTGGAATTCCATTCATCTATTAACAGTCTTCTCTAATAGTGAGAAAAATTTAATCTGGCGTTCGGAGGTGCCGGATGAGGAAAGTGCCGATCAGATTCCTAGAGCGAAAATGATGAAGTCGAAATGCAAATACCCCAGGGCGTTAGACAATGCGATTTAGAGGTTCTCAAAAATATTCGGATGACTTCTTACTCATAAGCTCCTTATAAGTACTACATTGTTGAGGGATCGCTCGGGAGTAGAAGATGAGATCTTTGGAGTCAGTTAGAAATTGGACCGCCTCATCGGTGCACCATGTCAATTGACAAGTGGTGCCACACAATTTTTCGTAAAGGAAATAAGGCTTTAGTTGAATTCACTTACCAACCCAATGGAGAATTAAGTTACAGATAGCCAGATGAATCTGCTAGCTCAGGCACAGGTAATATAAACACAATCTGGCGCCACGTTCTGAGATCATTGATCTCAAGTCTCAACGAAACTCAGACCTCATGCGTAGCTAGCAGTTCCGATCTAAGAAATTTACCACAATAGCAGTACGTGTGTGTGATACTTTCATTATCGGCAATGATTGAGGCTTTGGGAGGTGGATCTCTGAGACCTCGTCTGCACAACAACAGCGACAACACTTGACGACGACAACAGCAGCGATACTGATAACACTCACGTAGCACGATTTCGAGCATACAGAACAACAAAACCAAAAGATTCAGTATCTGTGTTTAGCAACATCCTGTAAATCAGTTTAGAATGCCTCAACACTTTGTTATTGCCAAACTCTCAAGATGCACCCCCATGCGACCTGGTAAAGCATGGCATTGTGGCGAGCTTCAGCAAAGAACGACCTTGTGAGGCCAAGACGTAATGCTTGTGCAATTTAAAGGGAATATTTTCAGTACAATAAGAATGCAGCAGTCTCAACATGCTACCTATGTAGAAAACACATTGATAATTGAGGGCTAGAGTGAATACCCATCTCTCCCAATCACTGACATTGAAATCCGAAGTGAGAGAAATGTTCAGACTCCGTAGATTTTCTTTTCCAAATAATATGATATAAGGCAAGCCTTTCGTTCTGCTCATTCTGAAAGCAGGGAAACTCACATGTACCCAAATGGGTTGCATGGCGGGAAGTAAGCTGAGGTACAGGCAAGAAGATTTAGAGAAAGTTAAAAAGATGCGGTACTATAAAGACAATCTGAGACATAGTGCCGAAGTATAAGATAAGTGTCTGACATGGAAATGAAGGAGCTTGGAGCCGGGGATATGAGGGCTAGCCTTGGAATCACAAGGACAGGACAGAGAAGTGACAGTGAAGTTGACACGGCAGCGAGAAGAAGGAGAAGAAAGTTTTTCAAACTGACAGCAGGCAGCATTGTAAGCAATTCGAGCAAGGGAAAATGATGTCCAGGGCATTTCTTCTGGTCCTGTTGGAACATCATTGTGAAGCCATCCCCTCATTCGGATAGGAGACGTAACGGGATGAATTTGAACTTGTGGTAGGTAGAAGGACCAAAAAGTATTTTCAACCTATTTTTGGCTACAAAGAGTTTTAATACTACTTGAAGTAGATCTTCATGACTTTACATTCCATTCACAAAGCATGATGGGACGAATCTGACGACAGAGCTAAGACATATCGACGAGCGAATACCCAATAGGCCTCACCAAAGCAGGACTAGCATTTGAAAAGCTACCTATAAAGCCATTCACTCCAAGCCACATCAAGCGAGTTCAGCATTTCCATTAGCTCCTTCAGAGGTTCTGCTTCTCCAAGCAATAATTAGCTATTACATAAATCCATACCCGACCTTCAAGAACAAGACTTAAGTCTTTTGGTTCTCTTGCACCATACCACACTGTCTGTTCTGCCTTATACTCGTGTCGCTTCCATCCTAAGAGCCTTTGATTTTGCGTACGATCTATCTTCTATACCACCATATCGAAAATGCTCAAGCCAGCTTAAGAAGATACAGGATTCACCCAGGCAGACATCTCAAAGGCTCAGCCGGAGTTTGACGATGAATGGACAGCGAATGAGAGGATGGCAACATACGTCAAAATGACAACAATACCTTCCATCCTTCTTTTGGCGCCAGGTGTAATCTTATTATAGGAATTCAAACCAGAGAGATGGAGAAATCAATTCGCAATACTGTGAACATGCGCCTCTTGAGGAAATCAAGAAAGTGTCGAAAGTTCAAAGCTGCACATTGATACCTCTCGGCTTTTACAAGTGATGTAGTGGTTGCTTTCTATTATACTGGAACATGGACTGTCTTATATATCCGCTCGAAAACCTCTAGAATTGACTCATGCAGTCACCATTGTTTGCCCCTGCTTTGATCTGAATTTTCAATCAGCACACTAGTTTGAAAACTGGCAACTGTTGCAGGCTTGCAGCCCAATTCTCATCATCATTTATCCTTTACCTGCTCTCATCTTGTTGGATTGCAAGAAAACGAGGATTTGCTCACGAGCGACGGTGCGAACAGAACCGAATCCAGGTTTCAGCCAGCGCTGGATCGAGTGCTCGCGTCTATATTTACACTTTCTGAAGCTTCTGGTTGCCGGCAGCTATGGGGTAGTGCGACTGCAAGGGTGCTTTCTTATTTCTGCACTGTTCATGTAACTGGGAGATTTAGGCCGAGACGAGTGGTTCAAGAAGTCGAAATTTTGGACATGACACGTCGAAGGAAGGAGCGAGCGACATTCACCTCTTCTTCATTTCCAGCATTCACAAAGATATGCCAGCTCCGTAATTCATTGAGTCCTACACGTGAACAAAATTGAGTTCAACACCCAAGACTTCTTGACCCAGACCGGTATAAAGAGTACCTCCGTACGTTCGTAGACAACCACATCTTGACCAGAGTTATGGAAACGACTTATCGAGAGCGAAACAATCCGAGCAGCGAGTAACGAGCTAGACATCATTCCTCACTGAAATGTTCTTCCATACATTTCAACTGGTATACAATTCCGATTCCAATTCCAACTCAGTAACCTCGCTTCGACGTCAAGTAAACAAACCACCACAAGCGAGATACAGATTGACGACAGCATGAAAGATGACAATGACAGAATCGATGGGAGCAAAACAAGAACGAACGTATTTTATGGCGATCAATTGGGGTATCTATCTATCAAATATTTGATCTAGGCGATTACGTTGGGTCATGTGAAGATTTTCTGATCTGGATAAAAGAAACAGAATTTGTTACCAAAGCTAAGGAAGGGACAGTTGAAAGCATGTCGACCACCGCGCCCTGTGGGCGAGCACATCAATTGCAGGATGATTTCTGTGGATCTTACATCAGGCATTTGGGGTATTTATATGTCATGGCTGTGAGAAGTGTTACGGAGGATTCAGCAAGGAGGGTGTGGTTGGAGCTTGAATTGGAAGAACTGG